CTTTCTAACCCTCCATCGAAATACCCGGGACCCCGGGACCACTGACGAAGGTTTACAATGGTTTGATCAGTTGAATCACTTTCGAGAATATGAATCGAAGAAGATGGATGGAAAAGATCGATGATCGGCTCGATATAGTTTCGATACGTTTCAATATGGTTTTCAATGTTACGTGCACAAGAGAGAACTACTAAACGAAATGAACGAAGTTGACGAAGAGAATCTTGATAGGACGAATTTGATATTTCTTGTGGTAGATTGGCTTGAGGATAATCACGTTCGAAAAACGAACGATTTTCAGATATAGTGTATGGTTCGCAAGTGAAGTAAACGAATGTTCTTGCTACTTTTAGTGCAGAAACGATGCGTGAATAGTTCTTAGTGGCAAATAAGCTAATGACAACGAGACATGCGATCATCAAGAGAATTAATAAATATTTGAATATAAGACATTTTGATTGACATCCGATAAGTCTTCGTCGTTTTTGATAATAACTAAAATTTAATTCTTGGACGAAATCCACATCGTTCATCTCAGATCGATTCTTACACCAAACTTGAAAGACCTACGTCGACTATTTGCAGCACTTTGTTGATCGAAAAAAATGTACTCGATAACGATTGCGCGATTGACAGAAATCTACGACATTTCAAAACCTACGCAGAAACCGAAAATATTACACTCTGCTATTCTTTTCCAATTACTGAGCTGTGACGCTGCGCACATATTGCGTCATACACTACAGGTTTCCATGCTGAAAAACGTCAATTAATGAAAATGACTCTTTTTACACATCGAAAAACAAAAAAGTAAACGCATTTTGCATGACACAACGCATTTTCAATTTCTATGTCACAACATTCATAGATTATGTTTGGGCTTATTCGCATCAGGAGTTTTTTTCACGACGCGATCGAAGTTGTCGAATGAATTCGGTGCGAAATAACTTCGAATTTAAGCAATGCACATAAAAGTTTATCTGTGGAAAGGAAATATGTTTGAGATAGTGTTCATTTTTAGACTCTCAAAAGTCTTATAGGTGCTACTGTTCGCTTACATTTACATATAATGATAGTAATATCTAGCTTAGCAACAATGATGATTACAGCTGGTATTAATGGACTAATCTATGCGTAGAACAAACGCAATCGATTTTATTTACCGCATGAGATAATCCGGACTAGCATGTTTAACGGTTCATTGAAAATAGAAGAAAGAAAAATACTCCACATTCATAAGACTTGGCGTACAAGTGATTTTTCGAACTCCGATGAAGTCACCAGAGGTAAGTGAAGATCAATGTCTGTGATGAGAACTATAAACATCGCCAATAGAGTCTTCCTTAGAGTGCACAGCGAAACTGATTTGACTGGAAATCGAGTCCGAATCCATCGATAGCGCGAGGCTAGCACCGAAATTCAACTGAATCAAAAACAAAAATAAATAAAACGAGCATGTTGATGGCGAATAGAGCAATGACGAAGCATCCGATTGAGCTATTTCTTAAATGTCGACTGTGAAAAGGTGAATAAACTAAACAATATGTATATGTCGAAACACTCACGCACACTTAATTTTTTATTTTCTCAATGTGTGTCATAAAAACTACGTTTAGAGTGTACATTATAAGAATTGTTAATAAAACTTTTCGAAATTATCATAAAACTTAAAACTGCATGACCTGCAGTGTTACTTCTTCATTTCATTATTAAATAATGATGAAGATAAAGTAGTAGTCCTACTATAATGAACTTGATTCATAAAAAAATAGAAGAATCTTCTGTTTACTCTCTATTGTAGTTCAATTCCATATGAGATCAATTTCATTCTATTTAAATAAAAATTTATATCTAGAAAAATTGCTGCTTAGCATATTCATTAACCAGATAAAAGTACCTGTTAAATAATATATTTGACACTAAGGTATAAAAGAAACTTTAACGATCACAAGATTAAGCAGAAGTACGTGATTTATTGGTATTCAGCTCGATTATTATGTTTCTTCTATCGTTTCTAATATCTATTCAATTGCATAAACTTACGATTTAGTTAGTATACCAATCAAAATATCATTTGCTTTGTATAAAACAAAACCGAGCATGTTTTAAATATTTGTCGCAATACAAGATCTATGTGTAATTATATTATTCATTAGTAGATAAATTTCATTAGAGTAAAACGTAATGGAACTAATAATTTTCAACCATTCCGGAGTGTCGCTCACTCTTCATTATGTCTAATGACAGAGAGAAACGCGTTAAAATCAACCTAGATATATATGTTCTGTTTGACGCATCATTTCGGATTAATTAACTTTTCCTTTGAGAGACTTCTCTAATTAAAAAGACTATAGCCTAGGTACGTGTTCTGTCGCATTCATTATACAACTGATACTTTGCAATCTCTTTTCTTATTAAAATGAACATTTCATTCGTAAATTCAACGGAAACCATTGTCGGTTTCGAAACGCCATGGACAAGAAATATCAAATTCTTTGTTTTTGTGGCACTTGAACCGCCAGCACTGCTTATGAACAGTCTTCTTATCTTCTATCTCGTTGCTGATCGAACACTTCGTGGCACTCTTCAATATCATGCCGTTTTAGCATTACTCATCGTCACTTTTCTCACCAACTCTATCGAAGTACCACGCATCATTCATTATCTGCACTTAGGCATTGTTTTACCACAAACCGATCTCAACTGTTTGATATGGCAATGTTGTGATTATCTCTTGTTCAGCTCTGTCAATGTTCTCATGTGTTGGACATCGATCGAACGATATCTCTTCATTTTTNAACCATATGGCTGTAAACAATAGTACAACTGATAGTAGGTTACAGATATCTGTAAATACTGGTATTTCAATCAAATTTATTTTGTATGTAGATCAAAAGGTACGAAAGGCTCTTCGACGACAGACAGAGAGCGATGAGCTAGTTCCGCTACGAAAACTTTCGGATGAATCAACTGAAAGAAAGCAATTTAGTAATAGTTCGAACTATGAATTATTATCTAGCAAAACGCAGGAAAAGCCCGCTGTTTTCAGTACTACAGTTGGAAATGTTATTCCAAATGATGATGTTAATCGACCAAAAGCCCAAAGTTTAACGAAAATGCAATCTCAATATATTGTTCAAGTATGTAATCTGAACAGAGCGATGTTTATCGATGGAGAAAAACCAAAACACAGCTTCGAAACAGTCATACAAATGAAAGATGATGTAAAGCTAAAAGCGCTTGATTTCGATATAATGAGCTTCGATGCACACGTTACATACACTGAACGAGCTAGTGCATACGTGGAAAATAAATTAACCGGTGCGGATTTAAGTTTATCTTGTCCATTCATTGCGGTACCCGTTGAGGGCGAGAAAAGTGAAAAGAATGCCTCTACAAGTCGAAAGAAGCAGATTTACATAACGTGCACATGGGATTGTCCACGCATGCGAGTGAAAATCGATGAAGACCGTTTTGAACCAACACGAATATTTCTAAATGAAGTGGATCGAATATTAGGTTTGCCGATAGAAGAACAATATGGTCAATTTGAGAAACTACATACTAAGTATGGACATAAAATTGCAACAGAAGTAGTGATTGGCGGACAGTTGTTCCATACGGATGTAAAGAACCAAGACAGTGTCGTCGACGTATCAACTCATAAGAAAAATCTGAAAGCAGCATTTAGTGCATCTATTACCAAAGTACCAATTACTGATGAATTAGGTATGACAGTTAAAGGTGGAATCGGAGGTGGCAAACTGAGCGAAAACCGATCACATAATGAGAATGATATCCAAATGATGCATTTTACATTTAGAGCAACAGGTGGCGATACAGTTTTATGCCAAGAACCAGGAAAATGGATTGCAACTGTACCTGAATATCATAATTGGCGAGTAATTGCAATTGAAAAGCTTGAGCCTCTATATAAAATGTTGGATGATGAACGGCAACGAAAAATCGAATCGGCATTACAGCACCATAATACAGTTAAATTAGCAAGCGAACGTTCTTTAAATGATTCTTCCGATATCGTCAAACTGGAAATCACTCTGATAGCTGACGATAGATTAGTGTTTAGACAAATATACCAGCTACTTTCCACAACCTTTCCACTGGTAGTTAGCCAAACGAATGAAATCCACATCGGGACTGATTTTTTGAAAGGTACAAAACTGTGTTATTATGGTACAGCACCTAGAATCTTGAGCTTTATTGAGATGATGGATGTATCTATGGATTGCCCTCGTATGATTTTGGATATCTTTTTCCCGCATTGGAGAGATCTCACTGATGATACTATAGAACTAATTCATCGAACGCTCAAATTTAAAAACACCAAAATCGACACTAACATTCATATATCATCATACAAGCAAGTTTTAACAAAAACTAACACCGCATTTTACATCGAATCTGAACTTCAAGATGAAAAAGCGATGCAGAATGTATGGAAACTACTCAAACAACTGGATACACTTACAACAATGATCAATGACCATACTATTGATTTTTTTTACGATCTGAACGTACTGGCTGTGGCACTGAAAACCAATACAACAGTTCAAACACTAAATTTGTCGAGTTGGATTTTGAGAGAAGAACAAGTGACTGCACTGGCTCAGTCAGTTGAAGTGAATAAAACCTTGAAAAATTTACAGATTTGTCTCGGTTGGCATAATAACACCGAGCATTTATTAGCAATGACAAAAATGTTAAAAAACAATCGCACATTGACAGCTTTAGGCCTTCGGGTATGTTGTGAGAAGCAAGTTTATGGTATTATAGAAGGTTTAAAACTGAATATGACCTTAAAACAGCTGAGTTTCAAAATATTTTACACAAAAAATGCGATGTTTCAAAAGTTATGTGAATCGCTGGAAAGTAATACATCACTAGAACATTTGAGCTTTTGCCGTTCTGGAATCGATGATGACACTGTCAAGATACTGGTCCAGTTTCTTAAAACGGATAGGACATTGAAACGTCTTACAATCAGAGTCAGCCGTATCACTGATAGAGGAGTACAACTATTGTTTGATGCCTTAAAAATCAATGAAACATTAGCAATACTCGATATCAGTCACAACAAAAAAATGATGAATTTCAAGTTTACAACCCCGAGGGATGGCATTCAAATACTTTGTGAGCCCTGGCTACCGCCATCAAAGCGTCCAAATAAAAATAACCATGTTGAAGAAATTCGTTTTTTTGCCGCATGTCATCGTTCTTCACAATGATTTGCATTGATATATTTTGAATTATTTCGTTGTAAACGTGATTAAGAATACAGAAAACAAACGACTATAAATAGAAGTGTCTTTTATTTTCAAGAGGGACCGATACTACTGGAAGGAAAATAATAAATTGATCCTGTCAGAAAACGAGCATTACAGGTCGATGAAAATCAAGGATTGGCTAGCGCATATACTTCACTAGCATTGCATGCACGCGAATAGATTCGAAATTCATCCATCAATCCACGGTATTGCCCGGGCACGACGGCACCCGACGAACAAGAACAAAGAGTTGTATTACCACAATGTCCAACTATTACAGTAACAGGAGGCGAAAGTGTTGAATTTGGCGATGTCGCAGTACTAATAGCTACAAGCGAACCATTGACGTACAAACGAATACTACCATTTGATGAATATGTGTGTGCAATATGAATCCAGCTATTTGAGCTAATAACCGGTCCATGTATAGTCAAGATTTGCGTTGCATTCCATGATTGAGCAACAAGTGAACCCGACGAAGTGAAACCAAGGATTGGAATACACTGTATTGTTGCCGCAGTTGGCATATACATATGAATAAGTGTCCCGTTTTGTGTCGAATAAGGATAAATCCAAAATGCAAATGAATATGGCCAACCTGTAGTACCAAGTAGTATAAGATTATTTATTTGTATGTACGATGCTGTCCCGTTGAAGACAATTGCATCGTCTACACGTCCAGCTGTGAAAGTCGTATTGATTCCAGTGCCATTAATCAAATTAGGTCCAGAATCGAGTAGGTTCTGATTGATAAAAGAATAGTAGACAACAAGAGTAGCTGTGTCTAAGATTTCGCTGGCACTTTTGACTCGTGTCACTACTGAGAGCTGATCAATCAAGCCTTCATAGTACATCTTAAGGACTTTTGCTCCACCTATAATTAATGTGGTATTCGGTGTTCCTTGGAAAGGAGATACTGAACTGCAATTTGTATCAAGATATCCATTAACGTAGAGACTCATTGTGTTCGACGCGTAATCGTAAATGAAGGCGAGATGTATCCAAGTACTACTTTTGACACTTCTTGAGCTTTCGCAATCCGAGTAGTACAATGTGAGCATCGGTTTACCACTACGAAGCAGTGCTTGCAAACACCTATAATTAGGTGATGTTGTTTGACATATGACCACAAATGGATAATCATTAGCAGACATTCCCGATGCTGGATTAGCCCATAGATCTATGGTGAAACTTCGATTACGAAGGTTAACATAAGGAGTCGATACCATCACGTAAGATGTTGCTGAGTAAGTCAGAGACAAAGCTGCTCCATAACCAGTGATGCCAAGGGCAGAATATGTTATGCCGCTGAAATTAGTAGCGTACACATTGTTCAGATCTTTGGCACTATTATCAAAAGGCCAAAAGATTGAAATTACAGGCAGTGAACTTGCAGTGGTAGCTAAAAATATTTAAAGTGAAACACGCGAGCAGTTGTGCACGTTTATTCACATAAAAAAACTTGCCAGCATTAAACAACTTGGTAGTAGTCGTTTTTATTGTTGTTGCCGCAGCATTTGTTAGAACAGTAGTTAACTGTGTTTGTATTGTTGAGTAGTTAGTATTCATGCTTATGACAGGCGGTAATTGGCGAAAATAGAATGTGCTATCCGAATCATTTTGTAGAATATAAATGAATGAAGACGAATAATTTGTGAAAAGTGCACATGTATCATTTTGAGAGTTATAGTTGAAACCTTGAATATTCTGGCTCGATGTTACTAAGATACAGAGACATGTGTGATACGTTGTATTTATTATCGTTCCAGATGGTACTAGACGAACATTTTTGATAACACCTACTTGTACGCTATTCGCTGTATAAGCAGACAAAACAAGTAGAAACGGAAGTAGACCTTCGGTATACATTTGAATTTAAGAATGATGAGAACTGGTTATTTGAAACGTAATTGTCAACTTCATTTCTCTGTAGAGTATTTGTCTTCCCAGAAAAAAATTAATTGAATTCTTTATCACACCCTTCATTCTCGATTTCTCGAGCATATTCAATGCGCACTTTTACGTATTTACATAATAAATATAGTGAAACGAAGCAGTGTGTCCCGATGTTTGCACAAAAGTTCTTGAAAGCTAAAACGTTTTGTCATTCAACTTTTCCTGCGTATATTCAAGTGATTTGACCTATATAATAAAACTACGAAATGGAAGGTGTTCATGGACTCCAAGGCGTTGCAGATTTGTTTTGCCAGCGAGTTTGAGAACATGTCATCGCGGATATGTATATAAAAAACGTTTGCCACGTTTATTTCTCACTCCTAGTCATTGCGAAATTTCGACCACTACGCGTGTCATAAAAAGGAAAATGAATGTTTGACTGGTATTACGTAATTACCGTCACTTATATACTAACAAAGTTACTTATTTTTTGTATGTCTTCTTCAACTTCAAACAAGTAGGATAATAAAGATAAGTAGTAAGAAAATGTCAGATATTGAATATGATGGTTTTGAATTTTATTCAAGTCAAGATCCGTTTGAGCTCGAGTATGAAATTGAACAGATTGAGTTTCGGCGATGTTGGAAATCGAAAATGAAAGGAAGAAAATCTTCCTTTTCAATTTCACCGAAAACCGCTCGATCTCAGTCAATATCTATCAAATTCCACTCAGTTAATTGTACAAAGAAGCCTTCTGGAAACAAAGCCAGAAACCAAAAATCTCGTGTGCGAAATTCAAATGGATTTGGATGTGATCAACAATTACAAGCTAAAACGAAATCCGATTCGACGACATTAACCGAAGAATCTAAACAGACTTTCTCCATTTTTCGTCGTCGATTCTATCAAAAACATCGTGATGCAATCAAATCATCCCTCAAAAACAATTCTAATATCAAAATAACCGACATTCGCCTCGCGCATGTGAATAAATCAGTTCAAGATGATTTTATGGGAACACTGGCAAAAGAATCCTCATATCACCCGCAATTAGTTTATCATGGCACAAAATCAAATAATATAGTAGGCATTCTACAATATGGATTCTTAATTCCAGAAGTACCACATCCAACCAATGCAGAAGCACCTATAATTAAAATGATAAATGGCGCAGTTCACGGCACAGGAGTCTATTGCAGTTACACTGCTGATTACTCTTTGTATTACTCGAGCGATATTAATACTCTATTGGCATGCGCCGCTATACCACATCAGGACATGAATGGGCGTATTCGCCATCGTCATGGAAACATTTTAGTTTTACCAAACGTATTACGAATTGTACCGTTATTCTTAGTGGATTTCGAGTATCAAAATCGATCCCAGATGAACTATCCTTGCTTTAAACAACATCAACTCGATGAACATGACGAAAGAAAACGACGAACTGTTTGTTTGAGAAAGTATTTCCAAAAAACTTTAAATTATCTGAATGATCAATCACGAAGTCAAAGTCGATATCAACTACGAATAGTTGATTTTCATGAGTAGCACACATCTGTTTTTTATTATTCAGCTTCTAATAAACATGTCACCATCATTCTCGTATACAAATCAGTTTGTGTTCATATAATTCCCAATCTATACGTTGACATTCTTTTGAACAATAGCGTGCTCGTTTACATTTGCCGCAATTGTGTGATGCATTCGCTTGTCCACAACATCGACACATATTAACTACATATCCATCTTCACTTTGCATCATAATTGATGCATATTCATCCACACGAATTATGGGCTTCTTATCACTCGCACCTATTCGTAGATATGGGTTGAGAATATTCATTTTACTTCCAATTCGAAATACTTTTTTAATCAAATATTCTCCTTGATCTTCAGGAAAGCCGTAAATGCAGATTTTCTTGCAATCGCGATGCTCATCTTCTGTCACCAAGTGAATTGACGGTGCCCATCCATATGCTTCTCCAATAACAGTTACCGACAATACATATCGTTGGTAGACATGATCCTCTGTTTGATTCATTTCTCGAAATGTAATCGGCATTAACCCAATCAATGAACTAGCTGTTCGTTGAGAAAACCGGCCTCCCTGTGTGATATTTCCCGAAGCAATAACGTCTTTGCCTTTCGATTGTAACAAATGATTTTGCCATCGACGCTGTTCAACTATAATTTCAATACGACCTGGATTTTCCAATCGTGCTTCGTTTTCAGCACGATGATTGGGCAGCTTTGTTTTGATTGTAGAAAACAATTCAAGCTGATGTTTGACGAGATCTTTAATACTTGGATCATAAGGTAAAAAGCATGGTAATTGCAGTTTCTCTGCTTCTTCACCTTTTTTGTACATTTCCGTAGCTTTTTCTAGATTTAGACTATGTTCTACCTCGATATAGCACATAGCCATGGCATAATAAGCATCAGGGACTTTTCGATGATCCTGTGGTGCAGTCGCAAGAAATGTGCGATATGCTTGGATTGCTTCGTCCATATCGTTGCGTAGTAGACGTAATGCACCAGCTCTATCATACAGTAAACCACAATGATGTGGATCTATTTCCAACCCAAGATTAGCATTATACAATGCATTGTCATATTCTCTTAAAGAACCATGTTTTGCGGCGCTTAATTCAAAAAAATAAAATGATTTCGGATACTTTTGTTTGCATGGACCAAGAAATGTATTAACTAATGTATGCGCATCCGAATGTATACTTCCATAACATGTTCGAGCATCTTCGTCAAGTTGTGAGACAGACGAACCACATCGGCGAAGAACGCGGTCTACAAGATCTACAACCTTATCATGTATATCTAAACTTGGATACGAGGCAGCAACTATATACTCAAGACGATAAGACTGTGCAAGGTTGTGTATAATAAAATTCTCTTCGTCTTCTGTGAATGAATTCTTCACCATAAATGGATAGATTGCGTCTATAAAATGTTCCTGAGCATCACACATGATTCTTGCTGTTTTCGAACCACGATTAGCATGTTTTAATAAGGTATGGTATTCGTAGGGATTTGATTCATCCGATTCTGTCGAGGAGGATGTAGTGTTCTTTATTGAACTGAACAGTTCGAATATCTTATCCGTTATCTGCAACATATCTGGCGAAATTTGATTGTAGATACTTTGTTTTGCTTCTAAGTCTGCTTCAAATCCACGATCGGCTTGAGCAACGATGTGGCCTGCATCACGCGCTCGGTTGTACCATATCTTTGCCCTTTCAAATTTAACTCTGCGGGTAAACAAAATTGCTAAATTATACATAGCATTGGAATCACCTTGTTGAGCGGCCTGCTCATATATATGTTCAGCTTTGTCGAGATCCAATATGACACCACTGCCATTTTCATACAATGAAGCTAAATTATTACCGGATTGAACATGCCCATGGTCGAAGGCACGTTTAAACCAACATGATCCAACTGCTTGGTTCTTACTAACGACAATGCCTTCAACATATCGAAGACCTAAAGCGTGTTCAGCTTCTGCTACTCCATTATTCCGGACGTTGTATAGCTCTGATAGATATGGCGGTTTTGCAGCTGCTTGTTCATAAAGATTTTGGGCGAGCGTATGATCTTTCTTTACACCTAGGCCGCGATCCGTTAACCGCGCTAAGTTGTACATCCCCTCAGGATTGCCTTGACCTGCTGCTTTTGCGAAATAGCGAGCGGCTTGTTCATAATTTTGTTTAACATCATCATCTCCGTGCTCGTATCTGTATCCGTTTTCGACGTCAGATAAGGACGGATTCTTCTTTTGAAATAACCTGTAAGCATTGTGTACTTCTTCCGGATTCAAACCAAGTTTTTGTTGTTTTTCACGTAGTTGGTCGAATATTGATTTCGGTCTGTAGTCAGCATCGAGATGTGCTTGCCGTTGTTGTTGATCCAGTGTAAAACGACTTTCATTCAAAGCTTTTTTTACGTCGTCATTTGTAGGTTCAAGAGCCGATGCTCGTTCAAATGAATTGATCGCTCTTTCCTGTTCATTCAGAGCGACATAAACTTTTCCCACACGAAAATGTCCTTTCCACCACGAAGGCCACAAGCTTCGAGCTTTTTTCGCATCTTGTAATGCACGATACCGTTCATCTGTCGGACCATCAATGTCATATCTTTTAGTACTACCTGCCTGTTGATCATACAATCCGAGACGACTCCCAGCCATGTTAGAAAAGAAGCAAGCACGATCACGAGTGGCAACAGCAGGTAAGACTATCGCTTTCGTAAAGTAGGTAATTGCTTCAGAAAATTGGCCATTCTTATGAGCTTGAGTGCCTAGAGAATTCAAACGCTTCGCTTCTTCGACATTGATTTCATTAATGTCTTCCGTTGGTGGTTCGAAAATGCTATCATCTTTAAGTTTATCTAATTCAGTATCGTCACCGCCAAATGCAACTAGAATTCTTGTTAAATCAGTCCACATTTGGTTGAATTCAGTATCAGAGAACGACTTTGATGCACGATGTGCCGCTTCATTTCGAATGTCTTTCAATTGTGTCAAAATTTGATTTTCCTGATCGCGTTGTTGAATTTCATTTGGACTCAATGTTGCTGGACTTTTAGCATATAACAAAATGTTTGTCAATGTACTTAAATCCCATTCATTTAGATTTCCAGTCATCACCGATGCTTTTTGTGTTTTCGTTAAGCTTATGTCTTTACTTTTTTTGATGACATTGTCAAAAAAACTTGTTCCACACACGGATGTACTATCCCATAATTGACCTCCGTTATATTGCGAATAGCGATTTTTAAACAGTTCACGAACTGGATCTGGTAAACGTCGTAGTAGAAGATCTAGTTTGAAATAATTACGGACTTCAGGTGAAATATTAGCCATATTGTTGACGGATTCAAACGTTTTATAGTAAAGTAAAATAATTTTTACGCACGAAAAACAGCAATATTTCACCTATTTTTGTGTCTGGGTTTTTTTGTCATAACAATAAGCAGCAAAGTAAGAAAGTGAAAGAAAATTTTAAGGCGTTTATGTGGTAAGCGTTATGTTCTTCTTCTTTACGTTTTTTCTTGTTCTAAGCGTATATGCACGTGGTTTATTTAGTAATTATATCAATCGTCGACAAACATTTGGTCGACAAACATTTCGTCGACAAACATTTCGTCGACAAACATTTCGTCGACAATATATTTTGATGGCAAAATAATATAGGGGAAAGTATTGATGTATAGAAGGAGATACTCGCGACTGTCGCCAGCAGAAGGAGCTAACGACAACGCAATGTGACTCAGCCTTGCCGCTGCAAGCTCTTGATCGTATATATACGAGCAATCGCCGTTGTCTCCTTGATTACTCGTTCTTTGACTTTTCTTTTAAAGTCGAGAAGTTCGATTCGCTCAGGCGAGGGCAGATGGTCCTTGTGAGTACCCGAATGTGCTTTATAGTTGTCGTTCCCATCGGTATGAACAAAAGCAGAGCAGGTGCGATCTTGGCATCGGCAGTATCTCACTTTCTCACGATTCTGGTTCAATGTGTAGATGTATCCATCGAACAAAACCACACGCATGCCTTTTGTGGTCACACCAAACTTAACGATAGTTGTGCTAGTTCTCATGATGAAGAAAGAAATGAAGAAGTGGTAAATATAACAAGACGAGTTGACCAACCGACGCTATACCAATAAATGAGCGGAACTTGAGTCAATTAGTAGCAGAATACTTGAAATTTAGAACAAAGACAGTTCTAATGATCTCCTTTTCGTCGAAATGAATAGTCGACGATTGATATGCAATTCGTTTATTTTATCAACTACCAAAAACATCCCAACAAATGATTGTTTATGTCAGATATAAAAGTGAAGTATAACTCTGTTTATTTGCCCATCGTTAATGTATGGTACGACGGAGGTAAATCATTACTATACCCGAATACTAATGTTGTTTCGTTCGCATCACATTTGTTGATTTTTCGAAGAAGTTACTGGACGACCGATATCAATGATGATCTATAAAAAGAAAGGATGAAGTAATTAAACTTGACAAAGTTTACACGACTTTTGCATACACATACACGATAAATTAACCGTCTATATTGACCATCATCAGATATGCCACACCAATTCATTTTTGTTTCAAGTTTCCAGCTGCAAGATATAGGAGTACGTGGTAAATACTTCAGCGATTCTTTTGCTATTGCTTGTTGTAGCTGTTTTGTACGTCGATATTGCATGGCACAAAGTCCGATCAAAGCAAAAGTTGCTCCGCAAAACAGCAAAGTAATTCCAGCACCTGTTATTGGAGGAAATTGGTTATCACGACTATTTACTTGTAAAGCAGCACCCAGAATAACCAATGTCATTCCGATAACTAAACAGAAACCAGAAATAATACAAACAAGAAATGTCATTCTGTTGGAAGAGAAAACACGATTGATCTGCTGAATTGACTTTTGATATTCATCACGACTGATGATACCGATCAAATGAAGCGGATAAGATGAATCAAATTCTATTGTTACACATCCAGCTAGAATACGAACAAATATAAGATTAGATTCAATGAGAAAAGACTGATTTACTTTGAATAGTTGATACATAAACGAAATTTGAGTATGTGGAAGTATCAATCATTGATGGTTTCAATTTATATAAATAACTAGTCCTGACAATATCAAGTGACAAGCGAAGTATGCTTAGAATATTCTTTCTTATCGAAGTCAGCGTGATGATACGCGATAACGAAACAAAGTTTTGTTTCAACCGTTTTTGACATATGTGTATAATGGGTACCGCATGAACTGATAGAGAACTACTCGATCATGTCATAGCAAAGATAAACATTTTACTTTGCAGAATTCCAAGCGACTTCCTGGCGAAATGAATATTTCAGAAGACAAATCAACAGTTATGAAACACCATAGACAAGAAATATCAAACTCAATCTTCTCGTGGTATACTTCGACCACTAGCAATGTTTCTGAACTCTCTTCTTATCTTTTGTTTCGTTATTGATCGAACACTTCGGCACACACTTTACTATAACATGCCGCTTCGGTAGTACTCATCGTCACTTTTCTCACCGACTCTCAGAGGTCGATTGTTATATCATTGCGTGGTGATATACTTGCCACAAGTGGTGAAGAAGTTGATGAATAGTAATGTCCATGATCTGTATGTAAATAGTTGTTTGTTTTGAGTTGGACTGAAATTCTTTCTCTTTCATAAAAAAAAGTCGTCCAAGCCCTTTCTGCTAAAGTATGCATATTCCTTCTTTTAGAGCAGGAAAAAAAGATAATATTGTATATTTATTCTTGATCTAGCTTTTCTAAATTCTCGTTAATGCCCAATAAGAATGCCCATGTATTACTCAAACGCCTGTATAAATCATTTGTATATACTTTATCGATTGTTTTTATTTTAGTTGTTGACCTACCGGTATGATATCACGAACAAACAGTAGAGCAAACACTTCTCTTTTTCTTCTTGAAGTTGATGTCAGCTTTTCCAACTGAAATATTCCCATGGTATATCAATAGAGAAAGTATTGCGAAAATACTCGAACCACTTTTAGGATGTTTTTTTCAGGATTTTCTCGTGCTAAAACTGTATTATGCTTAGCAAAATGTAGTCGAGACGGTGGAGTAATCGTCATGACAATCAGTAATGATGTGAATGGCAGAACTTTTTCGGATAGAGTTAAATAATTGACTCTAGTCTGTTGATAGGAAGTGCACTTTCTGGATCCCAGGATCTTAATTATTAATTGTCTATTTCTTGAAAACAATGCTATATGATAAATTTATATAGGAAATAAAAACATGTGCTTCTTGTATTGTTAGGACGGAAAGTAATAAGTATGATAAGTACCTGTGAAAGTCTATTTTCGATGAACTACCGATTCTCGTCAATTAGATGTATTGAATGTGGAAAATATGAAGAATGCTTGTATACACGTGGGTAACTTGTGCATGTGCATCATGTTTTGTCAATAAAAGAATGAAACTCACTTTACTTTGTCAGTACATACTATAAACAGATGTGCATATTCTCTCAAGCGCATTCTTTCCAAGAACGCCAGAGCGAGGGTAGAATCTTTCTACGAAAGGTATATCTTCCCATTACATTGTACTATCTACTTCTTTCGCCGAAATGAAAAGTGAAAGATAACGAGATGATCTAGATCTATAAATAACTCGTGTGCCTCTTTTCAGCAAATCATAACCATTAAAGTAATACAATATGTTGAAAACTGCTGTTCTTCTTCTAATGACTTGTGCCGCATTTGCTGCAGCCTTGAATCAGCATCGTACTGTTGACATCATCGAAAACGGAATGTTCATCAAGCAGACTGTTACTCAATATGATGATCTTCACGTCATAGAAGTACCACAACATGGTGATCGTGCTCACATCGTGGCTTATCTGGATTTTCGTTCGGGTCTTCAACTGATCAAAGACATGGAAAGTCAAAGATGTCAGCTGTCCAACATGGAAGCAGCAACAAGAATTGCTCATTCGAGAATGGTTTCCGTGAAGTCAACTGACAATGGTCTTTCGATGCCCGATCTTCCAGTCGATGCAAGTGGTGTGGAAGAGATTCGTGTTTTCAAACTAGAACGACAAGATGCAATTCAAAATACATCATATCTTCGATTGGAACTTCAACAAGCATGCGCTGGCTTAGCAATTCATTGGGCTGATTCGGTGAATGAGAATGATGTCGATAGAATGGTGCAAAATGATGAATTAATGTATGACAAGCAAGAAAAGATCATACTTCAACCAACAAATCCAGAGAGTAGACTCAGTCGACAAAATTCTTGTAATCCAAATCCTCAAGCAATGCCTCCGAATCAGTTTAATTGTCACGGCAATTGCGTGATTCAAAAGTGTAAAATGACAGGAAGCTCATGTTATTACTTTATTCACTGTCCGATGAATGGAAATGTTGGACAGCAGTGCGTGCAACATGTTCTTACAGCACCAGGTCAGTGTAAATTATGTTGCGATGACCCAACATCACCTTGTTCATCACCTACAAATGGTGGATACTGGCAACGTTGTAGCTGTTTGAATTGGTAGTCTTCTCAACCAGACGATCTTTATTCAAAAAATAAAAACAATGATGCGAAACTTAAAGTCTTCGGTAGAATATATTTACCTAATTTAGAGAGACATTCAATACTATGACAGTAATACCATTAACAAGAAGTGTTGCACATGGATGAGAATAAAATCTGTAGTAGCATATTTTGTTCACATCCGCATTCTTCAAATTGAGGCGTTAAATATTGATTCATTGTACAGAAGAATTCCGTACTAAATTTATCCTTGCAAATTACAGAATACGTACGAATGCGTCTGAAACGATCACCGCTTTAGACATTTCTACGTAAGTCCGTTCTATTTTGATCGTCGAGAAGAACGTTTTCAGTAAAGCTTTCGTTGTTGGCAACGAGTGACGCTACTGAAAATATCTCACTCTTACTTAATGAGACTCGAAGAAACTCATATATCACAAGTGTGTCCCATCACTCCATGATCGATTGGGCAACTTATCCTATACCATGTATATACGACATTCCAAACATTGATTCCATCTTCATTTTTTGTGACAATCTAGATCAACAGGCACAATTGGATGAAAAGTCGGTGAAGGTAAAGAGTGTCTTCATAGGTATTACTACTACTTGCGAGGGTGTGAAGCGAATGGGTATGGTGTTCAGTAACATAGAGCAGTTAGATATTGCTGAACAAATCTATAGAGTTACAGAAGAATGAAAAATTTGCTGGCTGCTCTCAAACGGATACTTATAATCAACTTGATGGAATTAAATTTCAGCGAGCGCTATGTGAGGAAGCTATACTAGTTTATAAAAAATCTCTTGAGCTTCAATAAGAATCACTTTCGTTCAATCAACCTGATATGGATACGTCCTACGGCAATATCGGTAATGTGTATTCCAAGATAGGTGACTACCCGAACGCCTGCTTATTTTATCAATACGCACTGCAAATTGGCCAACAAGTATTACCGTTGATACATACCCATCTTCATCTGTTTAGGAAGAACTTCGAAATTGCACAATGGAAACTGCTTTTTGTCTCGTCTGAAAAGCGAATAAAATATGCTTTATATAAGATATTTTGAAGACGCATTTAAACAAATTCAGTTAAATTTGAATCGAGCGAGCTTTCACGATTACTTTAGCAAATGAAAAGAAGATCATAAGCGACTCAGATGGTAGTTTCCATCTGGCTATATATCTAGTCAACAATCAGTATCGAATAAAATTGAATGAAGGATCATATACTGATCAGTCATAGTGTAAAGAAAGTATAATACACGCAGCGCACACTTCGGAGAACCATATATCAAGTCGTCTACACCTACTCCGTGCACAATGGTACACGAGGCAGGTAACTTCTAAGCATTGCTCACACTCTATTTGTATAAATCGTGCTCTATTGATACATGAGATACTCCTAACAAGAATTTATTTCATTTGTCGAATTAGAATAAAAAGCTGTTTCAAGCATAGTAACTGGGGGAAATGAGAACGTCAGTGAGAATGATAAGCTGATCTTCAGTGAATTTCGCGCGATGTTCGTGCCAGGAATTATGATGTGTACGACGAAATTCCGATAGAGCATATTTCACTGATTCCTACAGAAAACATCTCATATCATCATATTTGAGCTTTATTTCAGGAGGACCTACTCGGATAAGAATTGGGTCGTGTAAGTGCTCACACAAATCCATTAGAGCATCCGGAACATGCTCAGGAATATCATACGGACTTGAAAGAACCATAGCACATAGACCGAGAACACCTATACAAAGTACAGTTATCCATTGTATCATTTATAACAAATAGCTACTGACCACCATGTCGCTTGATGATGTTCTGTGTTGATGTGATTTTTTCACCGTCAACTTTAGTCAGATAGTTCGTTTTACTCATCCGATGAAAATATTCCTGTTTATCAAATAAAGTTTATTGAAGAGTGAGAGAGAGAGAGAAAAGCAATGCTATGATATTTACTCTATCTTTTTTGGTGATTGGAATCAAACTGCACTGGTAAAAACCTGCGAGAGTAATCGAAGCAACTGATCGCACTTCGAGCTGTTCATCGGAGAGATGTTGAAACACAAGGTTACGAATGCGTGCTGCAAAGGATCGAGCATTGAATAGATTATTGAAGATCAAATACTGAGCAAATTCAAGAGCTGAGCGACGTGTATGCCACTTGTTACTTTTACACGTATATTCGATCTGGTCAATAAATGCTTCAAGAAACGGAATTTGTAGATGCAAAGTAGTAATGCTTGTTCGACTGAGTGATAAACGAGCTTGAAGGTTTTCGTCGTGAGCAACGATATTTTCAAGATCACACAGCTAAATAAAAGCGATTGATGTATGGAAAAGTTTTCCGAGAACGTATACCTGTGGAAATAATTCAATCATTCCACGTTGTATCGGTTGCAAACATCTATCGAGTATTTTGATGTAGAATCCATTCACTAGTGGAAGAAAACTCGAAGAAACAACTTGTCTTCGATGTCAATGTTACCTGATTCAATAAAAGCCAACGCTTTCTGATTTTGTGCATCGATCTCTTCGACTTCATCAGACCTATCGATAGAAGCTCTTTCGTACGTACGAATCACTTCTTGCAATCGTTTACGAATTTCATTGAGAAAAACATCTATCTTTGGANCAAAATGTTTGTCAATGTACTTAAATCCCATTCATTTAGATTTCCAGTCATCACCGATGCTTTTTGTGTTTTCGTTAAGCTTATGTCTTTACTTTTTTTGATGACATTATCAAAAAAATTTGTTCCACACACGGATGTGCTATCCCACAATTGACCTCCGTTATATTGAGAATAGCGATTTTTAAATAGTTCACGAACTGGATCTGGTAAACGTCGTAGTAGAAGATCTAGTTTGAAATAATTACGGACTTCAGGTGAGATATTAGCCATATTGTTGACGGATTCAAACGTATTGTAGTAAAGTAAAATAATTTCTACGCACGAAAAAAAGCAATATTTTACCTATTTTGTGTCTGGGTTTTTTTTTGTCATAATAATAAGTAACAACAAGAAAGTGAAAGAAAATAAGTGGATAAAAAGAAAATTTTAAGGCACTTATGTGGTAAGCGTTATGTTCTTTTTCTTTATGTTTTTTCTTGTTCTAAACGTGTATGCACGTGCTTTATTTTATCAGACATGTTTTGCATTATCAACAACCAAAAAAGTCCCAACAAATGATTGGTTTATATCAGATATAAAAGTGAAGTAGAAGTCTGTTTATTTGCCCATCGTTAATGTATGATACGACGGAGGTAAATCATTGCTGTGCCCGAGTAATACTGTTGTTTCGTTCGCATCACATTGTTGAGTTTTCGAAGAAGTTACTGGACGACCGATATCAATGATGATCTATAAAAAGAAAGAATAAAGTAGTTAAATTTGACAAAGTTTACACGACTTTTGCATACACATACATGATAAGTTAACCGTCTATATTGACCATCATCAGATGTGCCACACCAATTCATTTTTGTTTCAAGTCTCCAGCTGCAAGGTATAGGCGTACGTGGTAAATACTTCAGTGATTCTTTTGCTATTGCTTGTTGCAGCTGTTTTGTACGTCGATATTGCATGACACAAAGTCCGATTAAAGTAAAAGTTGCTCCGCAAAACAGCAAAGTAATTCCAGCGCCTGTTATTGGAGGAAATTGGTTATTACGACTATTAACTTGCAAAGCAGCACCCAGAATAACCAATGTCATTCCGATAACTAAACAGAAACCAGAAATAATACAAACAAGGAATGTCATTCTGTTTGAAGAGAAAACACGATTGATCTGCTGAATTGATTTTTGATATTCATCTCGACTGATGATACCGATCAAATGAAACGGATAAGATGAATCAAATTCTATTGTTACACATCCAGCTAGAATACGAATAAATATAAGATTAGATTCAATGAGAAAGACCTGTTTTACTTTGAATAGTTGATACATAAACGAAATTTGGGTATGTGGAAGTATCGATCATTGATGGTTTCAATTTATATAAATAATCAGTCCTGACAACATCAAGTGACAAGCGAAAAATGTTTAGAATATTCTTTCTTATCGAAGTCAGCGTGATGATACGAGATAACGAAACAAAGTTTTGTTTCAACCGTTTTTGACATATATATCTATACAATAGTGCCACATGAACTGATGGAAAACTACCCGATCAAGTCATATATGTGCACCTTTCAATGGCATAGCAAAAATAAACATTTTACTTTGCCGAATTCCAAGTGCCTTTCCAGCAAAATGAATATCTCAGAAGGCAAATTAACAGTTATCAAACACCACAAGCAAAAAATATCAAACTCAGTCTTCTCGTGGTATACTTCGACCACTAGCAGTGTTTCTGAACTTTCTTCTTATCTTTAATTTCCTTGCTGATCGAACACTTCGACAGATACTCCACTAACATGCTGTTTCGGTAGTATTCATCGTCACTTGTCTCACCCACGCTCAGAGGTCGATTGTTATATCAATGCATGGTGGTATACTTGCTACAAGTAGTGAAGAAGTTGATGAATAGTAATGTCCATGATCTGTATGTATCAGTTGTTTGTTTTGAGTTGGACTGAAATTCTTTCTCTTTCATAAAAAAAGTCGTTCAAGTCCTTTGTGCTAAAGTATGCATATTCCTTCTTTTAGAGCAGAAAAAAAGACAAAAGTTGTATATTTATTCTTGATCTAGCTTTTCTAAATTTTCGTTAATACCAAATAAGAATACCCATGCATTACTCAAACGCCTGTATAAATCATTTGTATATACTTTATCGATCGTTTTTACTTTAGTTGTTGACCTGCCAGCATGATATCATGAATAAAAAGTAAAGCAAACGCTTCTCTTTTTCTTCTTGACATTGATGTCAGCTGCATCAACTGGACTATTCTCATGGTGTTAATAGAGAAAGTATTGCGAAAATACTCGAACTACTTTTAGGATATTTTTTCAAGATTTTCTCGTGCTAAAGCTATATTATGCTTAGCAAAATGTACTCGAGACGGTCGAGTAGTCGCCATGTCAATCAGTAATGATGTGGTTGAACTTTTTCGGGTAGAGTTAAACAATTGACTCTTGTCTGTTGATAGGAAGTGCACTTTCTGGATCCCAGGATCTTAATTATTGATTGTATATTTCTTGAAAACAATGCTACATGATAAATCTGCCAAGGGTTTATGATTGAAAATAAACATTCGAAATAGTTCTCATATATATGTATGGCTAATATTGAAATTCTTCAAAGAAAAAGGACGACTAATGGTTTCAAATTATTCTGTGTCACGCTGCAGGTTAATATATTTGTAAACTCATAGATTATTTTCACACAGGAAATAAAAACATGTGCATCATGTTTTGTCACTAAAAGATTGAAAGTCACTTTACTTTGTCAGTATATACTATAAACAGATGTGCATATTCTCTCAAGCGCATTCTTTCCAAGAACGACAGAGCGCGGCTGGAATCTTTCTACGAAAGGTATATCTTCACATCACATTGTACTATCTACTTCTTTCGCCGAATGAAAAGTGAAAGATAACGAGATGATCTGGATCTATAAATAACTCGTGTGTCTCTTTTCGGCAAATCATAACCAATAAAGTTATACAATATGTTGAAAACTTCTGCTCTTCTTCTAATGACTTGCGCTGCATTTGCTGCAGCATTGAATCAACATCGTACTGTTGGCATCATCGAAAACGGAATGTTAATCGAACAGACTGTTACTCAATATGATGATCTTCACATCATCGAAGTACCACAACATGGTGATCGTGCTCACATCGTGGCTTATCTGGATTTTCGTTCGGGTCTTCAACTGATCAAAGACGTGAAAAGTCAAAGATGTCAACTGTCCAACATGGAAGCAACAACAAGAATTGCTCATTCGAGAATGGTTTCCGTGAAGTCAGCTGACAATGGTCTTTCGATGCCCGATCTTCCAATCGATGCAAGTGGTGTGGAAGAGGCTCGTGTTTTCAAACTAGAACGACAAGATGCAATTCAAAATACATCATATCTTCGGTTGGAACTTCAACAAGCATGTGCTGGCTTAGCAATTCATTGGGCTGATTCGGTGAATGAGAATGATGTCGATAGAATGGTGCAAAATGGTGAATTAATGTATGATAAACAAGAAAAGATCATGCTTCAACCAACAAATCCAGAGGGTAGACTCAGTCGACAAAATTCTTGTAATCCAAATCCTCAAGCAATGCCTCCGAATCAGTTTAATTGTCACGGCAGTTGCGTGATTCAAAAGTGTAAAATGACAGGAAGCTCATGTTATTATTTTATTCATTGTCCAATGAATGGAAATATTGGACAGCAGTGCGTACAACATGTTCTTACAGCACCAGGTCAGTGTAAATTATGTTGCGATGACCCGACATCACCTTGTTCATCACCAACAAATGGTGGATACTGGCAACGCTGTAGCTGTTTGAATTGGTAGATTTCTCATCCTCACGATCTTTTTTCGTACTTTCGAAAAGAAAAAAGATCTTTATTCAAAAAATAAAAACAATGATGCGAAGCTTAAACTCTTCAATAGAATATATATTTACCTAATTTGGAGAGACATTCAATACTGTCAGTAATACCATTATCAAGAAGTATCTCGCATGAATGAGAATAAAATCTGTAGTAGTATATTTTATTCACATCCACATTCTTCAAATTAAGGAGTCAAACCTAAATGCATTGTACAGAACGATTTCGTACTAAATCTATCCTTGTAAATTACAGAATACGTACGAATGCGTCTGAAATGATTACCGCTTTAGACATTTCTACGTAAGTCTGTTCTATTTTTATCGTCGAGAAGAACGTTTTCAGTAAAGCTTTCGTTGTTGGACAACGATAGTGACGCTATGAAAATATCTCACTCTTACTTAATGAAGCTCGACGAAACTCATATATCAAATGTGTGTCCCATCACTTCATAATCAATCGGGCAATTTATCCTATACCATGTATACACGACATTCCAAACATTGATTCCATCTTCATTTTCTGTGACAATCTAGATCCAACACGCACAATTGGATGAAAAGTGGTTGAAGGTAAAAAGTGTCTTCATATACTGTTTGTGAGGGTGTGAAGCCAATGAAAGGAAGTGAAGAAATGAAGTTGTCACTAAGCAATGGCAATGATGAAGAGTTGTGTGTGCTTACTGAGCAAATCCGAAAGGAGAGTTTTCCGGATGCCGAAGGATGGAAGCGATTGGATCTGGTGTTCAGTGGCATAGGACAGTTAGATATTGCTGAACAAATCTGAAGAGTTACAGTAAATGAAAAATTTGCTGGCTGCTTTCAAACGGATACTTATAATCAACTTGGTGCAATTAAATTTCGGCGAGCACTATGTGAGGAAGCTATACTATTTTATGAAAAATCTCTTGAACTTCAATAACAATCACTTCCGTTCAATCAACCTGATATGGCTACGCCCTACGACAATATCGGTAATGTATATTCCAAGATAGGTGACTATCCGAATGCGTGCTTATTTTACCAATACGCGCTGCAAATTGGTCAACAAGTATTACCGTTGATGCATACTTATCTTCGTCTGTTTAGCAAGAACTTCGAAATTGCACAACGGAAACTGTCTTTTGTCTTGTTTGAAAAGCGAATAAAATATGCTTTATATATAACATACTTTGAAGACGCATTTAAACAATGTTTCTGCATGTCTTCAGCACTATCAAAATATGATCAGAGTGTGCTACATGAACTATGGAGTTTTGTTGTACGGAAAAGATCAAGTAAAGAGAGCTCATCAAAGTAATTCAGTTAAATTTGAATCGAGTGAGCTTTCACGATCACTTTGACAAATGAAAAGAAGATCATAAGCGACCCAAATGGTAGTTTCCATCTGGCTATATATCTAGTCAACAATCAGTATCGAACAAAACTGAATGAAGGATCTTATACTGATCGGTCATAGTGTAAAGAAGTATAATACACACAGTGCACACTTCGGAGAACCGTATATCAAATCGTTTACATCTACTCCGTGCGCAATGGTACACGTGGCAAGTAACTTCTAAGCGTTACTCACACTCTATCAGTATAAGTCGTGCTCTATTGATACATGCGATACTCCTAACAAGAATTTATTTCATTTGTCGAATTGGAATAAAAAGCTGTTTCAAGCATAGTAACTGGGGGAAATAAGAACGTCAGTGAGAACGATAAGCTGATCTTCAGTGAATTTCGCGCGATGTTCGTGCCAAGAATTATGATGTGTACGACGAAATTCCGATAGAGCATATTTCACTGATTCCTACAGAAAACATCTCATATCATCATATTTGAGTTTTACTCCAGGAGGACCTACTCGGATAAGAATTGGGTCGTGTAAGTGCTCACACAAATCCATTAGAGCATCCGGAACGTGCTCAGGAATATCATACGGACTTGAAAGAACCATCGCACATAGACCGAGAACACCTATACAAAGTACAGTTATCCATTGTATCATTTATAACAAATAGCTACTGACCACCATGTCGCTTGATGATATTCTCTGTTGATGTGATTTTTTCACCGTCAACTTTGGTCAGATAGTTCGTTTTACTCATCCGATGAAAATATTCCTGTTTATCAAATAAAGTTTATTAGAGAGTGAGAGAGAGAAAAGCAACGCTATGATATTTACTCTATCTTTTTTGGTGATTGGAATCAAACTGCACTGGTAAAAACCTGCGAGAGTAATCGAAGCAACTGATCGCACTTCGAGCTGTTCGTCAGAGAGATGTTGAAACACAAGTTTACGAATGCGTGCTGCAAAAGATCGAGCATTGAATAGATTATTGAAGATCAAATACTGAGCAAACTCAAGAGCTGAGCGACGTGTATGCCACTTGTTACTTTTACACGTATATTCGATCTGGTCGATAAATGTTTCAAGAAACGGAATTTGTATATGCAAAGTAGTAATGCTTGTTCGACTGAGTGACAAACGAGCTTGAAGGTTTTCGTCATGCGCAACGATATTTTCAAGATCACACAGCTAAATAAAAGTGATCGATGAATAGGAAAGTTTTCCGAAAACGTATACCTGTGGAAATAATTCAATCATTCCACGTTGTATTGGTTGCAAACATCTATCGAGTATTTTGATGTAGAGTTCAATCACTAGTGGAAGGAAACTGGATGGAATAAATTGTCTTCGATGTCAATGTTACCTGATTCAATAAAAGCCAACGCTTTCTGATTTTGTGCATCGATCTCTTCGACTTCATCAGACCTATCGATAGAAGCTCTTTCGTACGTACGAATCACTTCATACAATCGTTTACGAGTTTCATTGAGAAAAACGTCAATCTTTGGAGATCGTGTTGATTGGCCGTTAGCTAAGGTAACATCATGACTGAGTGATGTTGCGAGAATCCTACGAAAGATAGAGCAAATATTTATATTTACACATCGAAGAAATTTGTCGTTTACGAAATAACTCGTTCTCGTACGACATTGAGCGGATGTTCGAGTAAATCTTTTGCATAGACGTTAACAGTATGCCAGACTTTGGGAATACGCCATTCGAAGGTGCGTAATGATTTGATTAAAGTCCAGCGTGATGTTTCGCCGATGGTATTCGTTGTCGAAGAACTTTTAATCAAAAAAAGAAGAAATTCAATGGCACGATACATTCGTCGTGGATCCATATCTCCCTGAAGACGTAAAATATGAGCTTAGAAAATATTTTTATGAACTTTGCATACTGACCAAAGCTTGATGAAAACAATTGTACCAACTGTTCACTACTTCCGAACTGAGGTTAGTGCAGACTGTCGTAAGAAATGGCGTCAGTTTAAACCACAATCGATCATGCTATACAAGTTATTCAAAAATAAATGAAAAAGAAAATTCTGACGAAGTCTGGATGTTCATCTGACCATTTCTTTTGTCCAATATTTTGATCCACGAATCATCCCAGCAACAATTTCGGCTGCTATTTGAGCACTTGCTTCTTGCTTTTCTGTTACTTTTTCATGCACCAGCGATTCGAGTATTTCCATAAAATTATCAATAAAAGCCGAACCAAAATTTCTGAAAAGACCCTAAAGACCAATTTCTTACTGAAGTTCAGTTCCTTCAGACTTGATCAAATCCTAATACTTTGAACATTCGATATCGAAAAATATCAAATCCATTGCCTTCTTCTAAATCCGACACCATAAATTGAATTGCTTGTTCAACGAACGTTTTATCCATAAATCGATCGTATACAATCGTAACTTGTTCCGGCATGTTTTCTTTCGTATATCTCTCTCGTTTGTTCAATGAATATTTAATCACTTTCGGCCATTGGTAGTATCCATAGAAACTCTTATCTAGAAAACAACTTTCCTCCCACTCAGCTTGTGTTTTCGCTGGTTGATAGTCATCGATTGTCACGCAGAGATTATCCTTTCGATCACCTGGATGAATCTCATCATTGATCACCTGTCCAATGATTTCCTCGCGTGTCTTCTCAACATAAATTCGAGGTGGTTTCTGCAAACGACAGACAGTCGATAGAAAACTCGCGGCCATCTAAACATAAATATGAACAAATCGTTGTCTGATTGAAGCATCCACTCACAAATCGTAATTCAATGTTATCATGGATGAATAGATCCATTCCTGTTTGAATACACGAAGTAGGTAAAGGCACTCGTTTTTGAAGAAGCATAGCAATGAAGTTTATCATTGTTTTTTGTTGGTGCCAAGTTCTAAATACTGGACGAGATAAAAACGAGCTCTATTCGTTGAATTCATACGTACAAATGAATATCATTCGATGTAAAACTCAGTACTTTCATAAGATTTGTGTATGATTGAACATTTTCCTCGTTGGACTTCGCTCGATTCTCATTTCCGATTTTCATCTCTTCAGATTCTAATTCACGCCAAAGATCAATCGCTGCACGTAATGCTCGAGGATTTGTTTCTTCAATAATTGCTGGAGCATCGAATCGTTCGAAAATTTTCTGTCGAATTTGCATGATTAAATCTTGTGTACTTGTCTTGGTTGCATGTTTGGTGTATGCTATCGCAGGCCAGAGCTTTTCAAGTAACGGCCATGAACGTTTTTCCGGTAAGAAAATCGAGTCAGTACCCAGTAAGATGTACAAACAACCCTAATAATAATGGAGTGAATTGGTGACTCAATAGAAAGTATACAAACTTTGAATTCATCGTGATTCACTTCTTCGGATGCATTCAGAAGTTCCAAAAGGCGATTGACAATTAGTTTATAGGATAAATGATAACGGTTCAAAAGCACAAATAAAGATTGTTGAGCATTTGCGCGAATCTACGGAACATATATCTATACGATTCGATATCTTACACGGTTGATAGATCTTACATCACTATATCGATTCATAGATAATTCGACCAGTTTGTTCACAACTTGTTTATCCATTTCCGTGAATGGTTCGGAATAAAACAGAGAGAACAACTATTGAAACAGTAAATTTATTTTTGTTAAGTTTCTTCACTTACATCGAGTTGTTCATCGATACATTGGATTAGAATAAAACGAGGATAGGATCGTTTGTTCTTAATTTCACTTTCATATGAATAGATCAATGAACTTAATTCATCGGATATTCGCTCACATTCGTTTGCTAAGAAGCCATAGTAACATGAAGGTAACGAATAAACCTAAATTGAATTCGGAGAGTAGGAGTTGATCAATAGAATTCTTCGACGTACTTGTAAAGCAAGCGAAATCGACGCTGTATCATCGGGATGCTTATCAACGAGTTCGTCTGAAACAGAGAAACACGTTCGATGTTATTTGCTCCTGAACACGAAAACGAACCAAGTAGATTTCCAATATCGATAGCCAGACGACGTCGCAAATTCTCTTGAAATTCTAAACGATCAAATTCCATTGAAAATTACTATTGAAATCATTTTGTCTCTTCTCACTTGGTTCACCGGCATAGATTATAAGTGGAAGTTTATACTTAGATTCGAGAGAGATCATCGACGATGTGCTAGTGCGGTCAGCGACTTCTTCATCATTGATCTTGGGAACCATTCGCAAAAAGCCAGTTGTAATAGAAGAGATTAGTCGCAGTGATCGAAGTCGTTCGTCTTTGGATATTTCCGAACATTTTTCCGTTAGCAAAGCCAATTCGGGATAAAGAAATGTTTCAACAAATTCACAAGTAAATGTGATTTCCTCCTGATTGGGAATATGAAATTGAGGATGAACATCATCGATGTTGATATGTTGGCCCCACGACTAAATCACTTTCGAACATCGTTCTCTTATTCAAACGATCAACGAAAAACTTACCCGGATAGGAAGGAAATCGTTGAATGGTTCGTTGATACTTTGCATTGTTAGACGATATTCGGTTGGATAAACATACGAAAGACTCCGAAGCAGATATTGCGCCGCATCTGCTACAGCTCCGTATGATTCTCGGTGGATAACGCGAACTGATCGTTGGAAAATTGAGAAAATCATTGATTTATAAACGATCAACGAATCTCCACGCGCTCGAAGAAGTTCAGAAAAGAGAATCAAATACCAAGTAAGCTCCGCATCTCCTTGATAATCGGTGAAAATCGTCGTTTTCAAATCATCAACGATCTTCTCAATTCGTTCGCATGTTTGCGGTAAAAGATATTTCAATGTTTCATGTGAGTTTGCTTGCAAAAGTGGTCGAACGAGAATCGTCATCAGATTATTCACTTTTGAAGTCATCGATGAAACGGCGAGAAAGTTCGTGATTTTGTTTTGAAGGACTTCAAAAAGTTTGTCACTACATTGTTGAACAATCGCGTTGATCACCGATGTTAGTTCGCTGACAATATTATTTTCATCGAAATTTGTGATCGTATCAGCGTCGGATTCGATCGTTGAGAGATGATCAATGATTTGAAAACATCGATTGAGAAATTCAGTTAGAAAATCTTCGAATTTACTTGTGGATAAACAGACTTCCTTTTCGATCTAAATTACATTAAGATTTGTTCGGAGTGTTCGCGATTCGCTTGGTTTTTCTTACTTCAGTCAGATCATTTCGAGTTTGAACTGCTGCTGAACAATCCACACAAGTGATCAATGATAACATCGACTTGAGAAACTGTAAAGTGACACTGGTTTTATCGAAATCATTCGAATCAATTCCAGGTAAAACAGCAATCAACAATGGAAGAACATCTGTCGGCTTTTGTGTAGCAATCTCCAATGTCACGTTTGTTAAACAATACAAAATCGATGTAAAACGGTGCGGTTCGATCATGTTATCGATGGATAGAAACAATCTACGATTAAAACCGAATAAAATATGTTCGAAGGCATGGAAAACAGAACGAACTGTTCGATGAGGTTCGGAATGACCTGATCCGGGCGAAGCATTGCTAGATTTCGAAATGCTCGAGCGGCATTGTCGAGATCTGTTTTGTTAAAGATTGAAATGTAAACGCATTCTTTAAGCGAATTGACAAATTCATCGATATCTTTGTCGGTTAACTGAAAAGATGCGCGCACTTGGAAGTACCAGGTTTGTCCGATATTCTTCTCTCTTTCATTGATTAAAGATTACAAAAATTCAAAACGAAAAGTTGCAACTTACTGACAAACTCGTTCGAGAAACTGATTGGTTAATTCAGCGAGAAATTCGACAATATTTCCTTGAAAGTACTCGGTATTTGATAGATGATAAAAACTCTTAATTGACCTAAAGAAATCGTTGATATGCTCGAGACATGAACTTCCGTTTCCAATCATTGCTACGATTAATGTTGCTATGGTACTTGACAAATAAGGAGTATTCAAGGATGTTGTTGAAAGATTACCAACTGGAAGAGATAGATTTCTCAGAAACCGTGTAAAAATCTGAAAGAAGCGAATGAAATGACATTACAAAGCATAGTTAACCTTACCTGAGAAATCCAAGGTTCCCAATCGATATATCCAATATTATGCCATGCCACCACAGAAAATAGGTTAATAAAATACTAAAATTCTCATTCGAATTCAACGAAACATGATTTCATTGGAAAGAAAACCTAATCTACCTGTTCCCAATTAGGATAGAACCGTTGAATACTCTCCCATATTCCAAGAAATTCGAGCAACCATAGTCTAAATCCGAACGAACAATCATGGAAAACCAAAGTAGAGAACATTACTTAAATCCTTGTTCATGTAAATCAGACGGTAAATGAATCGGCAGGAAAATTTGAAAGAAATACAGTGCATCTTCAAATGCACTATCAAAAGGACAGAACCACGGTCGAAGTTTATCCAATATTTCTTGTGTTGCTGTAGACGAAAAATAACAACGGCAAACATGCATGCAATCGAAAAAGACTTGTTGCATATCACTGTCGGAAAGAACGAAATGAAGATTTTACCCGATGAAATTTCAAGATTTACTTTGGCATTGTGACTAAGGCATAGTTTTCATCATGATGAAAACGAATTAATTCACCCCAATGATACAATATTCGCCAGTCGATGGTTAACTCATCTCGAGTGATCAATTCAAGTTCTCTTAAATACGAAATAAGTGAGATTTTCCCGGGGAAATGTTGTGCTTTGCAATTGTACGAACCGTAAGAGTAGGCGAAGTTGATTGAAACATGTTCTAACGTGTGTATAGTTTAAATTATCAATGGTGAGGATGGAAAGATAGTAATTAACCAGTTTGATATGATCATTTTTCGTAAAATAAAAACCGTAGAGTGTAATGAAATCTGCTAATTTATTTGACCAAAATGAAAATCCGGATTCAATTTCACCGAATTGAATAAGACGAGACAGTTGCGATTTGATTTCGTCAAACATTTTAGGTGCTTGCTTTTGAATGGAATCATAGATTGGAGTATATTTGTTGTAAATATTTGCTTGCTGGATGTTCTGATCATTGGCTGATTCTGTTTCATAGATCATTTTCAAGAATATATGACGATTGAAAGTCACGAAGTGTAAACAGAATAATACTTGATATCGAAGGAGATCAAAACAAAAAATAGATATTTCTTTCTTTCATTTATCGTAACCAATAATAACCACATGCTGCTTTTTCTTTCGTTCTGCATCAAATCAACGAAAATCATTTGTCCTATTGATTAATACAAGCATCTATGAATCTGCTAACAAGGTATTGTACACAAAATATAGGTGTCTCAGCTCCCAGTCTGACTCGTCATCATAAGATACATAGAATAACTTATTTGAGAGGAAAACATTTTTTCAATGGCTTCTTTTATTTCAATTCAGAATTGAAGTTTGATTCTTTTGCTCTGTTATTATAATCGTAAATGGAAAATGTGAATTATCAGCGTTTTGTTCTCTCAAAGTGGGGAGAACAAAGTTAAACAGAAACAGAAGAACAATCGATACGACTGCTACTTTTGAGTGGCATGTCTTGTCGTTCTTTCAACGCCTCGCACCGGTAGTGTAATCTTGTAACTGACTCAACCTATTTGGAATTTGCAGCGTCGTTTCATTTCTTTTGGCTTTCGATGACGCTTTCATGGATTCATTTTGATGGTAAAATAAGTATATAGGAAGAGAAGAGAATTTTTCTTTCAATTCATAAATTTCCAAGTTATAAATTCTGTCGATCGTTCGTCGATAAAACAGTCTTTTCATCCATCGCATAGTATTTACATCGCAAATAGCGAGAACCTACCACAATGACAAATATGAATGAGTCGAGAAAAGTCATTCTACCAGAAATATATCAACATAATCGTATGAATATTGACGAAACACAAGGTTTTCTAGTAGTCTGGCTCGACACTCATATTCATACCAGTAATCAAGATTATCGACATGCAATCACACAACTTCAACATATTGTCACTGATATTCCCATATTTACTGACAATGATCAATGTGTTGAATTCATTCTAAACAGCATCCACTCAAAAGTGTGTCTCTTCACTTCAGGATCAATTGGACAACTTATCTTACCATGTATACACGACATCCCAAACATTGATTCCATCTTCATCTTCTGTGACAATCAAAATCGACATGAACAATTGGTAAAAAAATGGTTAAAGGTGAAATGTGTCTCTATAAATATTATGACTATTTGTGAACAGCTGAAACAAATCATTCGTCGACATGAGCTCAATGACATTCCCATGAGTTTCGTACAACCTGGCAAAAGACCAGATCAACTTGATCCATCATTCATGTACACTCAAATCATCAAAGAAATATTGTTGACCATCAGATTCGAACATAAACACATCAAAGAATATGTGGATTTCTATTGTGACAAGTTTGTTGACAATGACATTGATCGAAAGAAGGTGAAGCAACTGGAAGATGAATATGACAAGCACACACCCATTTGGTGGTACACAACAGAGAGATTTTTGTATGGTATGNTCGCGTGTCTTCTCAACGTAAATTCGAGGTGGTTTCTGCAAACGACAGACAGTCGATAGAAAACTCGCGGCCATCTAAACAACAATATGAACAAATCGTTGTCTGATGGAAGTATCAACTCACAAATCGTAATTCAATGTTATCATGGATGAATAGATCCATTCCTGTTTGAATACACGAAGTAGGTAAAGGCACTCGTTTTTGAAGAAGCATAGCAATGAAGTTTATCATTGTTTTTTGTTGATGCCAAGTTCTAAATACTGGACGAGATGAAAACGAGCTCTGTTCGTTGAATTCATACGTACAAATGAATATCATTCGATGTAAAACTCAGTACTTTCATCAGATTTGTGTATGATTGAACATTTTCCTCGTTGGATTTCGCTCGATTCTCATTGCTGATTTTCATCTCTTCAGATTCTAATTCACGCCAAAGATTAATCGCTGCACGTAATGCTCGAGGATTTGTTTCTTCAATAATTGCTGGAGCATTGAATCGTTCGAAAATTTTCTGCCGAATTTGCATGATTAAATCTTGTGTACTTGCCCTGGTTGCATGTTCGGTATATGCTATCGCAGGCCAGAGCTTTTCAAGTAACGGCCATGAACGTTTTTCTGGTAAGAAAAACGAGTCAGTACCCAGTAAGATGTACAAACAACCCTAATAATAATGAAATGAATTGGTGACTCAATAGAAAGCATACAAACTTTGAATTCATCGTGATTCACTTCTTCGGATGCATTCAGAAGTTCCAAAAGGCGATTGACAATTAGTTCATAGGATAAATGATAACGGTTCAAAAGCACAAATAAAGATTGTTGAGCATTTGCACGAATCTACAAAACATATCTATACAAGTTGATATCTTACACAGTTGATGTCTTACATCACTATATCGATTCATAGATAATTCTACTACTTTATTCACAACTTGTTTATCCATTTCCGTGAATGGTTCGGAATAAAACAGAGAAAACAACTATTGAAACAGTAAATTTCTTTTTGTTAAGTTTCTTCACTTACATCGAGTTGTTCATCGATACATTGGATTAGAATGAAACGAGGATAGGATCGTTTGTTCTTAATTTCACTTTCATATGAATAGATCGATGAACTTAATTCATCGGATATTCGCTCACATTCGTTTGCTAAGAAGCCATAATAACATGAAGGTAACGAATAAACCTAAATTGAATTCGGAGAGTAGGAGTTGATTTATAGAATTCTTCGATGTACTTGTAAAGCAAGCGAAATCGATGCTGTATCATCGGGATGCTTATCAACGAGTTCGTCTGAAACAGAGAAACACGTTCGATGTTATTTGCTCCTGAACACGAAAACGAACCAAGTAGATTTCCGATATCGATAGCCAGACGACGTCGCAAATTCTCTTGAAATTCTAAACAATCAAACTCCATTGGAAACTTCTATTGAAATCACTTTGTCTATTCTCACTTGGTTCACCAGCATAGGTTATAAGTGGAAGTTTATATTTAGATTCGAGAGAGATCATCGACGATGTGCTAGTGCGGTCAGCGACTTCTTCATCATTGATCTTGGGAACCATTCGCAAAAAGCCAGTTGTAATAGAAGAGATTAGTCGCAGTGATCGAAGCCGTTCGTCTTTGGATATTTCCGAACATTTCTCCGTTAGCAAAGCCAATTCTGGATAAAGAAATGTTTCAGCAAATTCACAAGCAAACGTGATTTCCTCCTGATTGGGAATATGAAATTGGGGATGAACATCATCGACGTTGATATGTTGGCCCCACGACTAAACAACTTTCGAACATCGTTCTCTTATTCAAACGATCAACGAAAAACTTACCCGGATAGGAAGAAAATTGTTGAATGGTTCGTTGATACTTTGCATTGTTATACGATATTCGGTTGGATAAACATACGAAAGACTCCGAAGGAGGTATTGCGCCGCATCTGCTACAGCTCCGTATGATTCTCGGTGGATAATGCGAACTGATCGTTGGAAAATCGAGAAAATCATTGGTTTATAAACGATCAACGAGTCTCCACGCGCTCGAAGAAGTTCAGAAAAGAGAATCAAATACCAAGTAAGTTCCGCATCTCCTTGATAATCCGTGAAAATCGTCGTTTTCAAATCATCAACGATCTTCTCAATCCGTTCGCATGTTTGCGGTAAAAGAGATTTCAATGTTTCATGTGAGTTTGCTTGCAAAAGTGGTCGAACGAGAATCGTCATCAGATTATTCACTTTTGAAGTCATCGATGAAACGGCGAGAAAGTTCGTGATTTTGTTTCGAAGGACTTCGAAAAGTTTGTCACTACATTGTTGAACAATCGCGTTGATCACCGATGTTAGGTCGCTGACGATATTATTTTCATCGAAATTTGTGACTGTATCAGCGTCGGATTCGATCGTTGAGAGATGATCAATGATTTGAAAACATCGACTGAGAAATTCAGTTAGAAAATCTTCGAATTTACTTGTGGATAGACAGACTTCCTTTTCGATCTAAATTATATTAAGATTTGTTCGAAGTGTTCGCGATTTGCTTGGTTTTTCTTACTTCAGTCAGATCATTTCGAATTTGAACTGCTGCTGAACAATCCACGCAAGTGATCAATGATAACATCGACTTAAGAAACTGTAAAGTAACACTGGTTTTATCGAAATCATTCGAATCAATTCCAGGCAAAACAGCAATCAACAATGGAAGAACATATGTCGGCTTTTGTGTGGCAATTTCCAATGTCACATTTGTTAAACAATACAAAATCGATGTAAAACGATGCGGTTCGATCATGTTATCGATAGATAGAAACAATCTACGATTAAAACCGAATAAGATATTTTCAAAGGCATGGAAAACAGAACGAACTGTTCGATGAGATTTGGAATGATCTGTTCCGGACGAAGCATTGCTAGATTCCGAAATGCTCGAGCGGCATTGTCAAGATCTGTTTTGTTAAAGATTGAAATGTAAACGCATTCTTTAAGCGAATCGACAAATTCATCGATATCTTTGTCGGTTAACCGAAAAGATGCGCGCACTTGGAAGTACCAGGTTTGTTCGATATTCTTCTCTCTTTCATTGATTAAAGATTACAAAATTCAAAACGAGAAGTTGCAACTTACTGGCAAACACGTTCAAGAAACTGATTGGTTAATTCGGTGAGAAATTCGACGATATTTCCTTGGAAATACTCGGTATTTGATAGATGATAAAAACTCTTAATTGACCTAAAGAAATCTTTGATATGCTCGAGACATGAACTCCCGTTTCCAATCATCGCTACGATTAATGTCGCTATGGTACTTGACAAATAAGGAGTATTCAAGGATGTTGTTGAAAGATTACCAACTGGAAGAGATAGATTTCTCAGAAAACGTGTAAAAATCTAAAAGAAGCGAATGAAATGGCATTACAATACATAGTTAACCGTACCTGAGAAATCCATGGTTCCCAGTCGATATATCCAATATTATGCCATGCCACGACAGAAAATAGGTTAATAAAATACTAAAATTCTCATTCGAATTCAACGAAACATGATTTCATTGGAAAGAAAACCTAATCTACCTGTTCCCAATTAGGATAAAACCGCTGAATACTCTCCCATATTCCAAGAAATTCGAGCAGCCATAGTCTAAATCCGAACGAACAATCATGGAAAACCAAAGTAGAGAACATTACTTAAATCCTTGTTCATGTAAATCAGACGGTAAATGAATCGGCAGGAAAATCTGGAAGAAATATAGTGCATCTTCAAATGCACTATCAAAAGGGCACAACCACGGTCGAAGTTTATCCAATATTTCTTGTGTTGCTGTAGACGAAAAATAACAACGGCAAACATGCATGCAATCGAAAAAGACTTGTTGCATATCACTGTCGGAAAGAACGAAATGAAGATTTTACCCGATGAAATTTCAAGATTTACTTTGGCATTGTGACTAAGGCATAGTTTTCATCATGATGAAAACGAATTAATTCACCCCAATGATACAATATTCGCCAGTCGATGGTTAACTCATCTCGAGTGATCAATTCAAGTTCTCTTAAATACGAAATAAGTGAGATTTTCCCGGGGAAATGTTGTGCTTTGCAATTGTACGAACCGTAAGAGTAGGCGAAGTTGATTGAAACATGTTCTAACGTGTGTATAGTTTAAATTATCAATGGTGAGGATGGAAAGATAGTAATTAACCAGTTTGATATGATCATTTTTCGTAAAATAAAAACCGTAGAGTGTAATGAAATCTGCTAATTTATTTGACCAAAATGAAAATCCGGATTCAATTTCACCGAATTGAATAAGACGAGACAGTTGCGATTTGATTTCGTCAAACATTTTAGGTGCTTGCTTTTGAATGGAATCATAGATTGGAGTATATTTGTTGTAAATATTTGCTTGCTGGATGTTCTGATCATTGGCTGATTCTGTTTCATAGATCATTTTCAAGAATATATGACGATTGAAAGTCACGAAGTGTAAACAGAATAATACTTGATATCGAAGGAGATCAAAACAAAAAATAGATATTTCTTTCTTTCATTTATCGTAACCAATAATAACCACCTGCTGCTTTTTCTTTCGTTCTGCATCAAATCAACGAAAATCATTTGTCCTATTGATCAACACAAGTATTTATGAATCTGCTAACAAGGTATTGTACAGAAAATATAGGTGTCTCAGCTTCTATTCTGACTCATCATCATAAGATACATAGAATAACTTATTTGAGAGGAAAACATTTTTTCAATGGCTTCTTTTATTTCAATTCAGAATTGAAGTTTGATTCTTTTGCTCTGTTATTACAATCGTAAATGGAAAATGTGAATTATCAGCGTTTTTTTCTCTCAAAGTGGAGCGAACAACGTTAAATACAAACAGAAGAACACGTTGTATGCATCTTGTCACGAATAGTCGACTGCTACTTTTGAGTGGCATGTCTTGTCGTTCTTTCAACGTCTCGCACCGGCAGTGTAATCTTGTAACTGACTCAACCTATTGGAATTTGCAGCGTCGTTTCATTTTGATGGCAAAATAAGTATATAGGTAGAGAAGAGAATTTTTCTTTCAATTCATAAATTTCCAAGTTATAAATTCTGTCGATCGTTCGTCGATAAAACAGTCTTTTCACCCATCGCATAGTATTTACATCGAAAATAACGAGAACTTACCACAATGACGAATATGAATGAGCCGAGAAAAGTCATTTTACCAGAAATATATCAACATAATCGTATGAATATTGACGAAACGCAAGGTTTTCTTGTAGTCTGGCTCGACACTCATATTCACACCAACAATCAAGATTATCGGCATGCAATCACACAACTTCAACATATTGTCACTGATATTCCCATATTCACCGACAATGATCAATGTGTTGAATTTATTCTCAACAGCATCCACTCAAAAGTGTGTCTCATCACTTCAGGATCAATTGGACAGTTTATCCTATCATGTGTACACGACATTCCAAACATTGATTCCATGTTCATCTTCTGTAACAACCAAAATCGACATGAACAATTGGCAAAAAAATGGTCAAAGGTGAAATGTGTCTCTATAGATATTATGACTATTTGTGAACAGCTGAAACAAATCATTCGTCGACATGAGCTCAATGACATTCCCATGAGTTTCGTACAACCTGGCAAAAGAACAGATCAACTTGATCCATCATTCATGTACACTCAAATCATCAAAGAAATATTGTTGACCATCAGATTCGAACATAAACACATCAAAGAATATGTGGATTTCTATTGTGACAAGTTTGTTGACAATGACGTTGATCGAAAGAAAGTGAAGCAACTGGAAGATGAATATGACAAGCACACACCCATTTGGTGGTACACAACAGAGAGATTTCTGTATGGTATGCTGAATCGTGCACTACGAGTGATGGATGGTAAGGTGATGACTTTGATGGGCTTTTTCATTAGTGATCTTCATCGACACATCGAAGAACTACACAAACAACAGTTCAGAGACAAAGCCAGTGTCGAAACGTTCACAGTTTATCGTGGTCAAGGTTTGTCAAAGAAAGCTTTTGATGAGTTGGTGGCATCGAAGGGTGGACTGATGTCATTCAACAACTTCCTGTCAACCAGTAAAAATCGCGATGTCTCTCTCATCTTCACTCTAGGGAGTGAAAAGAGCGGAGATGTTGTAAGCGTCCTGTTTGTCATGACAATTAATTCAAAAGAATCAACGGCAGTTTTAGCTTCCGTTCGTGATATCAGTCAGTTTGCACAAGAGGAAGAAGTTTTGTTTTCGATGCACAGCATCTTTCGCATCAATGATGTAAAGCCAATGCAAGGAAATGAGGAAGTGTATGAAGTGGAGCTGTCGCTGACAAGTGACAATGATGAAGAGTTGCGTGTGCTAACTGAGCAAATTCGAAAAGAGAGTTTTCCAGATGCCGAAGGATGGAAGCGATTAGGCCTGGTGTTTAGTAACATAGGACAGTTAGATATTGCTGAACAAATCTATAAAGTTACAGTCAATGAAAAATTTGCTGGTTGCCTTCAAGCGGATACCTATAATCAACTTGGTACAATTAAATATCAGCAAGGGCAACATGAAGAGGCTATAATACTTTATCAGAAAGCTCTTGAACTTCAACAACAATCACTTCCCTCCAATCATCCTGATGTGGCCAAATCCTACAACAACATCGGTGCAGTGTATTCGAGCATGGGTGATTATTCCAGAGCCCTTTCGTCACATGAACAAGCTCTCAATATTAGACAACAATCACTTCCCTCCAATCATCCTGATGTGGCATCATCCTACGGTAACATCGGTACAGTGTACAGACACATGGGTGATTATTCCAGAGCACTTTCGTCATATGAACAAGCTCTCAATATTAGACAACAATCACTTCCATCCAATCATCCTGATGTGGCATCATCCTACGGTAACATCGGTAATGTGTACAGACACATGGGTGATTATTCCAGAGCACTTTCGTCATATGAACAAGCTCTCAATATTACACAACAATCACTTCCCTCCAATCATCCTGATGTGGCATCATCCTACAACAACATCGGTGCAGTGTATTCGAGCATGGGTGATTATTCCAGAGCCCTTTCGTCACATGAACAAGCTCTCAATATTAGACAACAATCACTTCCCTCCAATCATCCTGATGTGGCATCATCCTACNTCAACGGCAGTTTTAGCTTCCGTTCGTGATATCAGTCAGTTTGCACAAGAGGAAGAAGTTTTGTTTTCGATGCACAGCATCTTTCGCATCAATGATGTAAAGCCAATGCAAGGAAATGAGGAAGTGTATGAAGTGGAGCTGTCGCTGACAAGTGACAATGATGAAGAGTTGCGTGTGCTAACTGAGCAAATTCGAAAAGAGAGTTTTCCGGATGCCGAAGGATGGAAGCGATTGGGTCTGGTGTTCAGTAACATAGGACAGTTAGATATTGCTGAACAAATCTGTAGAGTTACACTAAATGAAAAATTTGCTGGTTGCCTTCAAGCGGATACCTATAATCAACTTGGTATAATTAAATATCACCAAGGGCAACATGAAGACGCTATAATACTTTATCAGAAAGCTCTTGAAATTCAACAACAATCACTTCCATCCAATCATCCTGATGTGGCATCATCCTACGGTAACATCGGTAATGTGTATAGAAACATGGGTGATTATTCCAGAGCCCTTTCGTCACATGAACAAGCTCTCAATATTAGACAACAATCACTTCCATCCAATCATCCTGATGTGGCCAAATCCTACAACAACATCGGTGCAGTGTATTGGGACATGGGTGATTATTCCAGAGCACTTTCGTCATATGAACAAGCTCTCAATATTAGACAACAATCACTTCCATCCAATCATCCTGATGTGGCATCATCCTACAACAACATCGGTAATGTGTATACAAACATGGGTGATTATTCCAGAGCCCTTTCGTCACATGAACAAGCTCTCAATATTAGACAACAATCACTTCCATCCAATCATCCTGATGTGGCATCATCCTACAACAACATCGGTGCAGTGTATTCGAACATGGGTGATTATTCCAGAGCACTTTCTTCACATGAACAAGCTCTCCATATTAGACAACAATCACTTCCCTCCAATCATCCTGATGTGGCCAAATCCTACAACAACATCGGTGCAGTGTATTCACACATGGGTGATTATCCGAATGCCTGCTTATTTTACGAATACGCTCTGCAAATTGGTCAACAAGTGCTACCATCAACACATTCTCATCTTCAACTGTACAAGAGAAACGTGGAAGAAACACAACATATTCTCACTGTACTTGGTTTTCTTAAATAGGAAGGTAAAATATGTGAACGTAAAACCGGTATGAGCACACTGGAAAAAGACTTTTGACTTCGGTTATTCACTGAAATATGATACTATTGCGGTATGATAGTAGTTGAACAAAATTTGAAAGATGCATGAAGTAAAAAGAATATTGAGGACAGATGTTTCTTTTTCTAATAAATGGTTAAGACTATATAAAAAGAAGTAGCCAAGAATCAGGAGAACACAAAAACAATTGTCAGTATATATTTCGCGTATTTCAGTGGCATCAGTTGGCTAGTTTCGATGAGGTTTTATCGAGTTAAATATATTACTTTCACAAATTGAATTCGAATCTTATCAGCCAACATTTTCGTCTTTTAAATAGACACGAAAGTAATCATATGAAAATTTGCTTCTTCAAAACTGAAACAAAGACCAAAAATGAAGTATCTCTATGTGTTTCATCCTGTTATTATGAAAAACTTGAAAATCTTTCCCGTATAGAAGCATGATGTTAATCGAGAAATTAATCAAGAATAAGCGTAAGACATTGAATTGATTTTCCGATATATTTTTCTGTGAAGTTTGTATTGAATGAATCATGGTATATGGATGACTTTTCTCTTTTAGAAGTTCCTCTTGAAGAAAAGTTATTAGGAGAAGATAAACTGAACCCGTATGTGGAACAGTACATGGAATTTCAGTTGCAATTTTAGCTGCCTACATAATTTCCTTAAATATAATTCTTTAACATCATCATCAATGTAAACGGCGAATGCCTCACTTATATTGATTCAAAAATTAAACTTGATAATCTCTCTTAATGAGTTTTGGGCAAATTTCAGACTTCGTTAATTCAAACAGCGATATTCATTCACGACAAATATATTCTGTTATTTGAAATGAGTCTTTATACACTTGTTGAAGGATGAGGTTAAGAACAATAAAGGATTGAGTCACCGGAGAATCCAACATGACGACGAATTCAAAAATATAACAGACAACATCTGTACCTCATTCATGAACGAAGTGTGCCATTCAATCGACAACTTATACAAACAGATGATGCATTCATCATCATCGTAGCCTTTGCACCGGTATACTTCCACAGATGCAATATTCTTAATTAGAGAGCTTCTACGAATCAATGCATTTTCGAAAAATGATTTTTCCCGCGAAATCATACTCTTCGTCATATGAATGACAGTTTTGATTATAATCAATTTCTCTTACACTGAACATATTCTGAAATACAGTGAGAGTGTTTTTCCACGCTATTCAATAGCGTATCGAAACAGTGTGTATATTTTTCTTATTTGTTTACTTTTCCAATTTGTACGTTGGAAAGGTCTTCCCACGATTTGAAATATTTGTAAAGATTCTTATTTGCAGTGTTGTAATCATTTCCCAACAAAACATATGCATACTATGCATGTATATAAACAATTTATACTGCTTCCAGTTCTTTGCCTTTTTTTAGCTATATATATTCCACAGCAGTAGGACTTAATGGCGTCTATTCGTAGATATTCAATTAAATGTTTTTTTTTCAGTGGAGTTTTATTAATTAGCTTTATTAGGATGTATTCTCGTCAAGAACGTGCTGTGCATTTCGAAGTGTCGTGTGTAAAATTAGATTCGCACTATCTGCTTTGGTCATCCAACAACACGTTTTGGTGTTCGTTTGAAAATTCGCTGCATGCCGTTTGCATCGTCTTGAAAAGCAAAAATGCCAGAATTAAAGAGAACTGCTACGGATTTCTTGCTTTCATATCGAAGGGCATGAACGCCATTTCCCCTAAACACGCATTCATATCTTCGTCACTGAATGACCTTACTTGTCAATTACGAAATACCGGATGATTTACAGCATACACCTGACTCGATAGTTCGGGAAAAACCAGATGGTACGCGAAGTTATTTGCATGCATTTCCAGTTTTCATGTTGAATAAAGGTGTTTTGACACTATTATGTGGAGAAACAAGTAGCCTACCGTTAAAAATTGAATGCTGTGCGAGGAGAGAAGTGCAGCTGATTCTAAAACGAAATCGAAAATTTCGCATTCAGTACTAGGTTATTCCTTTCGACCCTGTGTAGTTTTATTGCCGTGAAACGATCACAGAGTGCTTCTCACGACTTGTTCGAGCGAAGTCACTCATCACTAGAGACTTTCAACATACATAAATTCTAAAATAGTTTTTAGCAAAACATTTGAACATTCCTCTCCAGTGTTGTCTCATAGTCGATCTGAGAAAGTCATGTTTTATCTTCTTGGATCGTTCTTCCTAAGTAAAAAATGAAATGAAATTCAACTCTTGTAGCTTCATGATCCATGATCAACGAAGCCGAAACGTTGAAAGACATAGATTTAAAAGGAAGAGAGAGTATCTACATGAAAAACATCTGAAAACAATTTCTTTTTTCTCACAGAAAGAATTCAATCTACTCTTCTTTCTAGTTTTAGATTCTACGATGAACATTTCGTATAAAATACTATATTTTCGTTACGACGTCACCGCCAGCACTGCTTCTGAATAGTCTTTTTATCTTCTATCTCGTTGCTGATCGAACACTTCGTGGCACTCTTCACTATCATGCCGTTTTAGTATTACTCATCGTCAATTTTCTCAACAACTTCATCGAAATATCTTCACTGCTGCCAGAGATCGATTGTTGTATCACTATAAGGAATTCGTCTGCATGACATGCTTGCCAGAAGTGCGCTGAAGAAGACGACGCGTAGTATGGCACGACGAGAAAGACGAGACAACGGGATAATGCCTTTTGTGCGCCCTTGGCGTATTCGCACTATACATAGACGTGCTTTTCACATATGGAACTATTTGGAAGGCTAAACTAGCCTCATAATCAATAAAGAAAAGTTGGAGTATAATTATGGGAGCTGTACGCTAGAATATAATTCAATAGGAAAATTCCAGGAGTAACAGTGTAACAGAGCATCTCTCATCGCATGAATATGAAATTATATTTATAGTTTGCGGAAATGACAACTATAGTTACTTTTCTATTGTTTTGTCGGTTGTATTCGAATGTACTTTGTTGGAATTGTGTGAAATACGCAATTATTCTGTCTTTAGAAGAATGCGTTGAGTATTTAGGTATGTATTTATTCTTAATGTATCTTTTTTGAATTCTCGTTAGCCCTACAACTTAGACAATAATCCGTCATGCAGATTGTGATTTTAGATGTGCATCTAGAAGAGAGAAAAGAACATCATGCATTACTCTAACGTCTATGTACATCATTTGTATATACTTTATTGCTCGTTTACGTTTCAGTTGTTGAGCTGCTGACATAATCGCGTAAATAAAGTAAAGCAAAAGCTTCCTCATTCCCTTGAAATTTATGTCAACTGCGTCAATTGAAATATTCTCATGATTAGTTGTTTTTTAATGTTTGACATTTTTACAAAAGTTTTATATGCATGTAAATTCGCTCGAGTTGTCGATCGAAAACTTCCGGTACACTTCGCTAAGCAATTTTCATGCAAAAATATGATTCTGACAGTAAGAACGGGTGTAGTGTGTTGTAAGTAATAGAGAAAGTGTCAAGAAAATGCTCAAAAGCATTCTAAAACAACTTTTTCAAGATTTTCTCATCATGAAAGTAAGAAAAGTGCGATGGAAACATACTGTGAGAGAACAACTAGCCTAATGTTGAAAATCGAACGCTGAGCGACATCAAAGAGTTAGGACTATCACAGAGCGTTTCTCACGAATTGTACGAACGATGTCACTCATCACTAGAGACTTTCAACATACATAAATTCTAAAATAGTTTTTAGCAAAACATTTGAACATTCCTCTCCAGCGTTGTCTCATAGTCGATCTGAGAAAGTCATGTTTTATCTTCTTGGATCGTTCTTCCTAAGTAAAAAATGGAATGAAATTCAACTCTTGTCACTTCATGACCCACAATCAACGAAGTCGAAACGTTGAAAGATATAGATTTAAAAGGAAAAGAGAGTATCTACATGAAAAACATCTGAAAACAATTCCTTTCTTCTCACAGAAAGAATTCAATCTATTCTTCTTTCTAGTTTTAGTTTCTACGATGAACATTTCAGAGAACAGTTCCATAGAATCGTCATCCACCTATGAAACTCCACATTCGAGAAGTATAAAATACTATATTTTTGTTACGATGGCACCGCCAGCACTGCTTCTGAACAGTCTTCTTATCTTCTATCTCGTTGCTGATCGAACACTTCGTGGCACTCTTCACTATCATGCCGTTTTAGCATTACTCATTGTCACTTTTCTCACTAACTCTATCGAAGTACCACGCATCATTCATTATCTGCACTTAGGCATTGTTTTACCACAAACCGATCTCAACTGTTTGATATGGCAATGTTGTGATTATCTCTTGGTCAGCGCTGTCACGGTTCGCNCTTATGAACAGTCTTCTTATCTTCTATCTCGTTGCTGATCGAACACTTCGTGGCACTCTTCAATATCATGCCGTTTTAGCATTACTCATCGTCACTTTTCTCACCAACTCTATCGAAGTACCACGCATCATTCATTATCTGCACTTAGGCATTGTTTTACCACAAACCGATCTCAACTGTTTGATATGGCAATGTTGTGATTATCTCTTGTTCAGCTCTGTCAATGTTCTCATGTGTTGGACATCGATCGAACGGTATCTCTTCATTTTTCATCGAAATCTCTTCACAACTGCCAGAGGTCGACTGTTGTATCATTACATACCATTTGTGATCATCATCGTCTATCTCGTTCTTTTCTACATTGGAGTTATTTTCATCTACCCGTGTGATGCACAGTTCGATTTCAGTCAACCACTCTGTGGATTCCCATGTTACACAACTCAAGCAGTCATCTCATTCTATGATCTGTTTGCTCACAGTTTCTGTCCGATGTGTGTGGATGTTTCACTCAACGTAGTGCTGATCATTCGTGTGTTGTATCGAAAACGAGTTGGTCTCCTGCAACAACAACAACACCATCACGCCAAAGAATGGCAGAAAAATTGTAAAATGATTGTTCAACTATTGTTCATCACATGCACGTATTTGGTGTTTCAAGTGCCTTTTGACACGATGGTGCTGCTGCTGGTGTTTGTTAGTTTACCGGAATGGGCGATTCGTCTGCAAGCAATGTATTTTTATTATTTTTTCTGGTGGTTGACATTAGTTTTACCATTCGTGTGCATGATATGCTTGCCAGAAGTGATGAAGAAGATGAAGAATAGAATGGCACGACGAGAAAGAAGAAAGAATACAGTGATGCCTATGACTCTTACTCGGTACAATAAAAACTGAAAATCTTCTACATCGTTCTATAGTATTCGAATTCAAAGACATCTCCAAATAGTATAGACCCTTTATCTTATTTTGCTACACTCTGTTCATACATGTTTGAATGATTTGTCATCTAGTGCCATCTTTCGTTCTCTTTTGTCATTATAAACCACGAGGAAGAAACAAAGAAATAAGACATTTTTTTCGTTCTTCGTTAATAAATTGAAGCAAATAAATACCGAGGAGAGAAACACGTGTGATGCACAACTCGCAATGCACATACATGTTACTCTTTGTAATAAGTAGATACGCCTCACTTTCCTTCTGTCGACACTGTGATATGAATAAAGTTCAATAAATTTTGCTATATAAAAAGGTAAGTCAGTAGGCCAGATCTGAAAATAAACCATCAATGAGACAAAGTCGTAGAAAGGATCTGTCTTATTTAGTAGTTAAAGCCAGGGAACGATCAAACAGATCTTCGACGTGGAAATATGCTTTCGTGGACTTTAGTTTTGCGCATATTATTTAGTACAACACTATGGCAAATTATGGCTGATGCCCGAACAGTTGTAACTAGTCACCAAAATCCGTCCGATGTAAAACATTTCGAACACAAATTAGACACAAATATAGGCTATTGGTCACCAAGTACCAGTTCGATCGATTGGTGTGAACGTAATTATGTTGTAACTCAATATATTGCTGAATTTTGGAATTGCATTTCGAGCTTTTCCATGTGCATATTGGGTGCAATATTATTCGTCCGAGGTTTATATAACAAACTCGAAACTCGATTTCTATTATCTAGTTTGGGTTTTGCTTTCGTTGGACTTGGCTCGGCATATTTTCATGGTACGTTAACACACTTGGGTCAAATGTTCGATGAACTGCCGATGGTCTATTCGATGATTGTTTGGTGGTTTATATTATTCCGAATGAACGATTCGAAAACGATCAAAAGTATCATCTTCGCGATTGATTTATCAGTTCTTTTTGGCGTCTTTTACGGATTGCTTTGGACTTATGTGCATAGTTTACAGACATTTGTGTTGGTATTTCAAGCACATATGAGCTTGATGGTTATTGGAGCCATAATGAAACTGATTTATTTGTATCGTCAGCCGTATCATCACATCTATCAACTTAAATACATCATCATCGTCTATATTGTTTTGTTAATCTCCGCATTCGTCTCTTGGACTGTGGATCAACAATTATGTGAAACATTCAATAACAAAAGTCCATTCAATCCACAATTACATGCTTGGTGGCATGTACTCGGTGCTTTTCATTGCCATCTTGGAATAGTATGCAGCGAGGCGATGCGTCTTCTGACAATTAAATATAAACAACATAAGAGTAGAAACCCGAAACAACCGTTCAAGCCAGAAAATAATATACAATTTGTTCTCTATTTGGGATTACCTTATGTTGATTATTCGAAAGAAACACAAACGCCTGAAAGAAAAATTCAGTAGAAATCTTCGCGTTGTTTGATTTAAACTAAAGAAAGACTTTTTTCCCTTTTTTTTGTTACTACCAGATTTGTATGTCGCTGAAAATAAACTTCAAGGATATGATCAATAATGATTCACGAATTTGACGTAATGCTGTCTTTGTGCACTCACAGTATGATTCCTTCAAAGAAAAAAAAATCGTTAAGGCCTGTCGTTCTCTTGTTTTTATTCTAAAATGAATCATCGAGAAACTGCGCGTTGTGATAGAAGAAAAAGTTGTCGTAGTTAAATGACGAAGGAAAGGAAATAAACTCATGTTTTTTTTTATTGTATTACTGTTGTCCTTATAAAAGCTTACGACGAAAGAGAACGACAGTCAAACTGAGTAAAGTATACAATTTTTTAACGAACATAAATCAAAATGGGTTTCAAAACTTACCTAATGAATCGATTTAATTCTCGACGATTTCGTCTCAATGGGATTCTGCCATCGACACGACTTCCAAGCAAACAAAAGCTGTGCTTAGCTTTCCGAGATCACGTACAGTATAATGCTGCTCAACTTCCACCCAAGGTTGATCTGCGCAATGATATGACGCCCGTTGAAGATCAATCGAAGATCGGTAGTTGGTAATGCAGTTTAAAGACATAAACTATCACCAATAAATCTTTATTTCTTTATTTAGCGTAGCTAACTGTCTTGCTGGTAAGACAATTGATAAGAGTTTTTCTGTTTTTCATGATGCTTTTTAAATTCAGGAGCGTACGAATACTTGACAAAGAAAAGTGATGGACGAAACACGGATGTTAGTCGTTTATTTATCTATTACAATAGTCGAGCTAAAGATGGTCGATCAGGACTATCTGATTCGGGTTGCTCGATGACCAGTGGTATCGAAGCATTAGAAGAATTCGGTACCTGTCTTGAATCTCTTTGGCCTTATAACGTTGTGGATGTCAATGCACGACCCAGTGATCAAGCTTATCAAGAAGCAAAAAAGCACACGATCAAGGAAGCGCTTCAGATCGATATTGATTTGCACGAAATGAAATCGTGTCTTGCCCAAGGCTTTCCATTCGCATTTGGATTGAGATTGTATCGGTCGTTTGATCGAGCGTCTACAACAGGTGTTGTTCCAATGCCGAATACATCCGAACGAATACGTTCATCACACGGAAGGTTCGTAGAGTTTTTTTGTTCATCATCGGCATCGATGTTTGTCTTTCCATCTTATAGTCATGCGCTATTAGCTGTCGGTTACAGTGATCATTCCAGATCGTTCATTGTTCGAAATTCATGGGGAGCAGATTGGGTAAATCAGATGGTTTTTATTGATATTCTCTGAGATTGCATAACTACGTTTAGGGAGATCAAGGATATTGTTACATACCGTACGATTATATGACAAATCCCAAGCTGTGTTTTGATGCTTGGGCAGTTCGAAAATTATCCAACGATAGTTTTGGAAAAGAACATTGGGATAATGTCGATGCGATCAATTATCTCAAAGCTGCTGTCATGGAACTGATGTCAATGGTAAGCAATGATTATACTTCAATGATTACTAGGTCATTATCTAATCGATAGGATAATAGTAACGATGATGACAACCTTGCAATTGAACAGGTAGTTGAAGATGACGAACCACGTCAAGGTCAATACGGTGCTAATAGCGGTTATCAGCATCATCCATGGCCGAACAATGGTGGTGGATTTCCTCCACCTCCTCCTGCTTGGCATCAACCACATGGTATGAGTAAATTCTCATCGGTGTTCGCCGGACAATATATCATTCGTTTAACTATTCTTTCAGGCTATCCCTATCAGGGAAATAATATGCCACCGTATCCTAATCAACCACAACCGTATGGTGGAGGATACGGGGTCCCCAACTATCAACATCAACCTGGTTTTCCACCATACAATAACTCTGGCGGTTATTTTCCAAATCAGTATCAAAGTATAGCCCTATTTTAAGCGAGTTAGCAGAGTCTGTACAAATTTCTTTTTTCTCTAGATAATTTTCCACCAGTCAATCCAAATTATCCGAACAACTTTCCACCGCATCCGGCTTCGCTCGCTGATTTTATGAATTCCGAGAGTCAAAATCAACCATTCGGAATGGCACCGAATTACAACCGTGGTCCATATAATAATCCGAATCAATATTAGATCTTATTATAAACCACGATAGTTCTTTTTCTTTCCTGAAATCGCATCAACTATAATAAATGTATATTAAAAACTAGATCAAAGGAGTGAGCTCACTCTCCTCTGGAAATGAATCCATATCTTCGTAACTTACGTTCTCCAAAACATATTCTAACATTATACTGTACACATCGATCGTTTATTCTTTTTAAACGATAGTGCTGAGAGAACAATAGTGGTTAATAGATGTTCAGTGCAATGTCCAAAAGAAATCCTATCAATTATTGTATTCAAGGCAGCAAATCTAGCTAAAACTGATTGCTATGCTGTTATCTCACTTGAACCATTCACAGAAACCGATCAGAAGACACAAATCCAATATTCAACGAAAAATTTGCATTCCCTACACTGGATAAACTAGACGCAAACCGTCGCAAAAGACTATACGGACATTCTTGATTATATCGACATCTTCATATTCTCGTGTTGTAGTAGTCAAAATCAATCCTATTCGCGACTATGCATCATTTCGTCATATACCAGACAGGAAAGAAAGAAAAAGTCGACACACGTGCTTCTGTATCTTTGTTTTTGGTCAACTTCTTTCTCTTTAACGCATATAAACATCATCATGCCGTTCGCTTTAGTCGTACGTGAATTAAAAAAACTCGTCTTAGAGGAACTTCCTGTAAATAAAGATACTTGTTACTTCACTTTCACGTATCTGTATATCTGTAGCTTCCCTACTGTGGATTCAAGGATCTTTTGATCAAAGTAACCCATGTTGCTCAGAATCCGACCGATTGGAAATCGCTTCATTTCGGCGCAGCAAAACCGGGATCTATTGTTGGTTGTGATTTTGCCGGTGAGGTAGTCGAAGTCGGAAAAGAAGCTATTGGTTAGTATGAGTATTTGCATGTTCATTGCATATCATCAGGTTTTATAGGTAATTATCGGAAGGGAGAACGAGTAGCTGGCTGTGTTCCTGGTGGTGTACCTGCTGACTTGGGTCTTCGTGGTGCATACTCTGAATATGTTGTTCAAGAAGCGTCACTTGTCTTTCGTTATCCATCGAGAATATCGCCTGCTGAAGCGGCTACAATTCCACTTGCTTCGATCACAGCGGCTCTCGGTCTCTTTCATGAAATGGGCTTGCCTTTACCACCAGCGACCACCAAATCTAAAACGCCAGTTCTCGTTTGGTCCGGTAGTACAAGTGTCGGACAATATGCCATTCAGTTAGCTAAAATCGCGGGTTGTTTTGTTATTACAACAGCATCGCCGGCACGACACAATTATTTGAAGGAACTCGGTGCTGACGTTTGTTTGGATTACAAAGACGTAAATACTGTCTCACAAGTTAAAGAAATCACCAAAAATGAATTAGCGTATGCTATCGATTGCATTTCAGAAAAGGAATCCATTAAACAAGTATGTGCTGCATTAACTGGCAAAGATGCGCAAGTTGTCACAATTCTACCTCGGGTATCGAATGAAATACCATCACATGTCAAGGAGCGTAGTGTCCTGATGTATACAATCTACGGTCATGAATTACATGCTTTTCGTCGAGTCTATCCGGCTAAGCCAGAAGACAAGAGCTTTGCTGAACATTTCTACAGATTACTTTCTGATTACTTATTACCGAATGGCCTTTTGAAACCAAACAAAGTCACTCGAATGCCAGGCGGTCTCAATGGTGTTGAGGAAGGGTTTAAACGAATGATGGAAAATAGAGTAGCATGTGAAAAGCTCGTTTATACACTAGCAGAGACAAAGAAAGCGAACGATATAAAAATAAATTCAAATTTGTAGAGATTTTTGTAGATCTCGTTCAAAAAGAAGAAAGATTCATGACATCTTTGACTTTCCTACGATAACTTGTCCGTATGAATTATGATTTTCTTGTCGCTCTTGTAAAGAAGGCACTCACCTAGTCTTCTATTAATAGAATTAATTATAGAAATACAATAGTCTAATTATGCAGAGACAAATATTCTACGAGGATTCACGTGCAGTAAATGAAAATTCGAGAAAGTTTCAACACTATCTTCGAACTTTATGAACATTTTCTACGTTTTTTATCCATTGACTGCTTATCTAATTCAAATTTGCAATCGGTGTGTCAAAAAAACGTTAGACAAAGCAGCAGTTTTCTAAATTCACATGGGCATGTACGAATTTACTTTGGTGAAAAATGTTCTCAAAGCTGCGAAATCTAATCAACCGTTGTCAGAGAGTAGGATCATCTTTTTAATATGAAAAAGAACACTCCGAAGCCTTTTCTCTTTATTCATGACAGTATATAGTATAGATACTTGTATAATCACCATTTTTAATTACGATAAGGATGTATCGTCTCATATAAGGTAAGATGACTTTTGATAATCCACAGGCTATTTTAATCAGCAGATTTATATGCTGCAGCTATTCTACTCTTTCTAGAACGTTCAGCATTGCACTTATACACCGTGCATTTGTATTTTGTTTGCTTTTCAAACATCATCATACAAGCAATGCCAGTAACAGGTTTGCCAGCATTACAACAAGACATAATACGCTATGGTTTGTCCGTTTACTTTGCACTGGGCTTGCTAGGCAATATTTTCAATTGTCTTATGTTCACACGATCATGTTATCGTCGCATACCAAGCTCAGTATATTTTCTGGCCCTTTCAAGCTTCGGTATTATCTACATCATTTGGACCATGTTTCCATTGATGTATACACTTAATAATCCTGATCCTCAAGCAAACTCGGCAATTTATTGTAAAACACAAAAATATGGTATTCATCTTCTTGCTCTCTATCTTCGCTATACCATCGTTTTTGCTTGTATCGATCGATTCCTGATCACTAGAACAAATGTTCGCCTTCGCTCACTGAGTTCCGTTAAAACAGCAATTATCTCGCTCATTGTCATGGTTCTAACAGGTTTCTTCATAGCAGTTCATATATTGATCTACACGGATATCAACAGTGGTGTTTGTACCATGACTGGATTATATAAGTTAGTTTATGCCATTTATCAAATCATGGTTGTTTCGATTATACCACCATCATTAATGAGTATCTTTAGTGTTCTCACTATTCGTAGTCTTCATCAACGGAATTCTACGACGCAGGTGTCCAGCAGAAGAAAAGATCATCATATGGTTCGAATGGTTCTCGTCGAAGTTGCGGTTAATGTTTCCACTTCTATTCCGTATTCAGCTAGTCTTTTCTATGGTGCAGTCACCTACGCTCTGAAGAATAAAAGTCTCGAAAGAATGGAGATCGAGTCATTTGTTACGTTCATCACACAAATTCTGGTATATTCTTTAAGTGTTGTTCCTTTCTATCTGTTCGTATTAACATCGAAGCCATTTCGCAAGGACTTTATCAAACTACTTCGACATTTCTGGAATAAGTTTGTGATGCGTCGAACACAAATTATTCCAATTAATGATCAAACTTATTCGACAACCAACGTTGGTACGCTGACACGATATAAACAACAGAAAACTACGTCCAAAAACTAAAACGGAATCTGTTCCTTTTTAAATTTAATATTGAAACTAAAATAAATCGCGTAATCTTAATTATTATTAAAAACAAGCTTACGCTCAACAATAGACTCTCTTAATTTAATTCATATGATCACCCCATTTCTCCAAAGTATACAACACCTCCTTGTGCTGTAATGGTTAACATGTCTGATTGTAGCTCAGGCGATCTCGGTTCGATTCCGAGCGAGGAGATATGTTCTTTTTTTTACTATTGAGGAAAAGAATGAGTGATGCAATAATTTATGTCAATGTTACACACGCTGTTTTCGTTTTTTATTTTTCGGTGAAAAAGAGAATAATGATGCAATTGCGTTGATGAAGTAGCGGTTGAGTGATGCAACAAAAAAAATCTATCCGTGCCGGGATTTGAACCCGGGTATTGGCGTTGAAGGCGCCACATCCTAACCGCTGGACTACACGGATATGGTATTGTAGATACGTACAGTTGATGTCGGAATAATCAAGAGTATACTCACAGTTACCTGCAAAATAGTATAGACTTTTTTTCTTCCAACAATATTTACCACGTCTGTTTGATTTTGATATCGACTTCAATAGCTCCCATTCTTCTCTACAAGATTCAGTATTATAAAAAAAGAAAACCTGCATTTGCATTTTTGGCTTATGGTTGAATATGACTGAATCCTTTTTACTTTCAGATTTTCAAGAGCAATACCAGCAATGGCACTACAACGCGCAAATGATATCATCGGCAAGTCACGCGATGAATACCAATGCAATCATGTAGTCAATTACGTTTTAAATGGCGATAAAACCAAAGGTGGGTTAGCAAGAAGCTATCTGAATTATGGTGAAGTAGTACTAGTAAGTTGTTTCGTTGTCATTTTGTTATGTCATGCACTTTCCTCTTTTATCTGGTAAAGACACCTCAGGCACTCGATGTTGTCGTTGATAAAGACGGTGTTCATTGTGGGACCTTCATAGATAGTGGAAATTTTATACATTCTTCAACCAAAAGACATCAAGTGATTAAGGTTGGACTAGAACAGCTTGACAAAGTTTTTCCCCGTGGTTATACAATTCGTCGAAAGTAGTTGAGCCGTTGAACTCAAGTTATTACTTTTATTTTACGTAGAAAAATTCGACTTATTCATGTAATTAAGAATTTCTTTTTCAGTGAAACTTTTGTTGGTATAGAAATTGCACAAGAAGAGAGTCGACAAAACACATTCCGTATTCTTCGCACGTCTTCAGACGAGATTGAAAACATCTATGCTTTTCATTATACAAGGAGTTTTTTTAAAATAAACATCGCATGCTTATGAGAAAAAAATGCGCACATGTTTTTCTTTTTCATTCCTTTTTCTTCCGAGAGAAAACCCAATTTGAATTGTGACTTATCGTTGGAAGACTCCAGTTTATACGCAGAATCATCTTGTTGCTACACGTTTATTTAGACAAGAAACGAAAAAAGAGCTGTCACTATTCAAGCTCTCGCTTTTCCGCTACCTCGCGCAGTATAATTCGAAATTGTGGACATCGCATTTCTACAATAATCTGACTTTTTTCAGATATGGAGACAAATGACAAGTGTAGTTTCTGCGGCAAAAAGATTCAAGAAGGGGAAACCATAAAGAAGATGATAGGTGGTCTGCTCTGCCATCAAGCATGCTTAAAAAAAAATATGGTAAGCAAAATAATCTTGTAAATGTGCTTGTCAGAATTATTTAGATTCTCTTATTCTTTTAGGATACCCCTACGCAAGTGTACAACCCAAATGAAGTCAGAAATCCGCTGAGTTCAAGTGAATCCATTGTGCATACAATACAGATAGATGAAAATCATTGGAAATGCAAAGATTGTTCGACGCAAAATGTCAATTCAACTAGACGATGCAGAGGGTGTGGTAAAACACGATCTAATCAAAATACATCCGGCAGTAGTGCGTGGAACACGACACTAAACGAGGAAGAGTATGGGTGCACATCGACACCCGGTGCACCGAAATCTTCTGAACGATACCCATCTGCGAAATCAGATAAAAAAGGTAATTAATAGTTCTGATTGATGTCACCGTAATTCAATCTATTTGCAAGTAATTATCGTTTCTTTTTTGTCATATTTATTTATTTAGGCACCTACGATGATGATGATGATGATGATGATGTGCAGTATGAATCGAAAAGTTCTTCAGGTAAAAACTCAAATCCTCAACATCATCAAGATAAAATACTTGCCGAAGGAAAGAAACATCGAAAACCAGTAAGTTATGAAGACGATGACAGTGATGATTCCGAGCCGAAAGTCGCATCTAGCAAGAGGCTATATCCTGAACTTCCTCAAGATGAAAAGCCTATCAAAGAGAAAAAAACGTCAAAACCAAGCCACCATTCTGATGATGATGACGAAGATCGGTCGACTGCAAAGTCGAAAAAACCAATACCATCAACAGGAAAGAAGTCAGGAAAAACTCGCAGCCCATCGCCATCCACGTCGAAACAATGGGCAACGGTTTATATTACTGATTTGCCAGTGCATATACAGAGCAATTCTAAAATGGAAGCACTAATTAGTAAGCGAATAGAAGACATGCTGCAAAGTAAGCCAAAGGAAGTCAAATGCTATTCAAAATTAGGCATCGGTTTTATTTGCGTGGCCAATAATGAACTGAAAAACCGTCTGTTAAACACATTTGGTAGAATTGTATTAGATCCGAAAGATGGAAAAAGTTACATTGTATTTGTCGAAGACATTGAAATTATTTCATATATGGTTCTTGAAGTTACAAAAGAAGAAGAGAACCAAATGTTACCAACAGCAACTGACATATCGCGTCGTTGGGTCGAACTACATAAAGGAGAAAGGCCAGTATCGTGTGACGTATTAAGCGCTCAGTTTCCAAATATTTATCGAGTTACTTCGTCATCGTTGGAGGAACTTACCAATTCAACACTTGATGGAGCTTTTCGTATGAACAAATTCCTAGGTCACATATATTATTGTGCAGATTGCTGTTTCTTTGATGATTTACCTCGTACAATCACAAAGCAACATATACACGACGCGATTGCTATGAAAATTAAACAGCCAAGCCTTTCCCAGGCTTCTCTCTATATTCAAGTAAATAAACGATCGGATTCTGTGTGCGTTATTTCTGCAGATGAAGCAAGATCATGGTCAGCAGAAAGTTTCATTACTATCGATAAAACTACGTTACAAAAGAAAACTAATCTTCCATGTCGATTAGTAATACATCCAATTCCAGAATCATACTCTATTCAAAATATCATTAAACATCGACAATTTCAAAATGCTGTAACGTCTCATAAGCTTGTTGGAGATCGTCTTATTCTGGAAGTCTCCGATAAAAATGTGTTTGACCAATGTTTAGATCGTGGTGCACTTCGACTTGATAGTGGCAATGTTCTCAGTATAGATCTTTGTAATTCCTTAAATAATCCAGATGGAAGCGACATTGACGAGGAGACATGGTATAGAGCGGACATGCTACAAATGAAACCGGATATAATGCAATTTTTAAATAATCTTAAACATAAAATTTTTCGTCTTCGATGGAATGCACAGCTCTGGAGTGAGCAGTTCGAACGCGTAGCAAAACAAAAACATGATCCAAACAATCCAACATCGGATCAGATTCGTCATTTACTTCGCGTCACTGTCATGTTAAATACACTTGCTGTAATGCAAAAACGAAGCTTTATGATCAAGGATCGTGAAATACAATTGAGATTGAAAAATCAGTTGGAGACTATCGTATATAATCATAAGTCAACGATCGAAAAAACAGGAAAATTACCGTTAAAGAAAATGCCATACTCTCGGACTAAGATTCGTGTTGTTCGTAATGATTGCTTGATTGAATATGAAAATATGGTCAAGAAGGGAAAACGACCTGTTCTTCTTAATATGGCAAGTGCAACCAGTCCCGGTGGTGGTTTTCGCAAAGGTGATGGTGCACAAGAAGAGAATATTTTTCGTCGATCTGACTATTGTCGAAGTCTTGATGTTGGTCTTGACGATTTTCTTCGAGAACGTGCTGATCGTTTTTATTGTTCTTCTGACTGTCGTCTTGATCGTGTATCGGATCCGAATAGTATGTATCCAATGGATGAATATGGTGCTATTTATACAACAGGTATCACCGTCTTTCGACAACCAGAAGAAACGGGTTATGCGTTTATGGAAAAACCACTAGAAGATGTTTGCTCAATTGCAATGGCTGCGTATCGTGATCCTGAACTGAAGGGCAATTTCTTAGCACCAAAATACGCCGTAGGAACAAGAAAAAAGATCGAAAATATTTTTGCTATTGCCCATCATCATAAACATGACTGTTTAATTTTATCAGCCTTTGGCTGCGGAGCGTTTAAAAACCCACCTGAACATGTCGCCAAACTCTTCCATTCGGTTATCGAACAATATGCTGGCCTTTTTGATACTATTGTTTTCGCCATCGTTGATGATCATAACGCTGGTCGTCAGCTTAATCCAGATGGGAACTTTAAACCTTTCGCTCATGTCTTAGATGATCAATATGTAGAACCACCTGCATCAATAGATAAGCCAGACACCATAATAGGTCCATATCTACTTTTAAGTGATGGAGTAGCTGTTGCTGATGTGAAAATATTCCACCAAACACCTTGTAATCATGGTCCTAAGTGCGTTGAAATGTACGATTCTCACCATAATAATCAGTTCTCTCATCCACCACTTTGTATTCAAGCAGCTATTGATGGAAAATGCAAGCGAACAGATGATGTTATTCATATGACATCATTCGTTCATCGAAATCAATGTCGAGATGGTGGTTTATGTAAAAAGGTCAATGATGAAAGTCATAGCCGAGAATTCGAACACCCAAACTATTGCCCCGAAGAAGGTCGTTGTCAGAATCAAGAAGGCGTCCATTTAAAACAATATCGACATTTACCTCTTTGTGAAAAGGGGCTCAAATGTATGGAATATCAAAGAGAAATTGCCAGTCATTGCAATAAATGTCGTCACTGTGCTCCACAATGTTCCCATGGTGGTCTATGCGCGATGTTTCATGACAGAGAACATGTCGAAGAGTTTAAACATCCGTTTGCTTCACCCTGTCCTCGAACACCATTTGATTGTCCTCATTTCATAGCCTTATCGGAAGCCAACANATTAGAAGAATTCGGTACCTGTCTTGAATCTCTTTGGCCCTATAACGTTGTAGATGTCAATGCACGACCCAGTGATCAAGCTTATCAAGAAGCAAAAAAGCACACGATCAAGGAAGCGCTTCAGATCGATATTGATTTGCACGAAATGAAATCGTGTCTTGCCCAAGGCTTTCCATTCGCATTTGGATTGCGATTGTATCGATCGTTTGATCGAGCGTCTACAACAGGTGTTGTTCCAATGCCAAATACATCCGAACGAATACGTTCATCACACGGAAGGTTCGTAGGTTCTTTCTGTTCATCATCGGCATCGATATTTGTCTTTCCCTCTTATAGTCATGCGTTATTAGCTGTCGGTTACAGTGATCATTCCAGATCATTCATTGTTCGAAACTCATGGGGGGCAGATTGGGTAAGTCAGATGGTTTTTATTGATATTCTCTGAGATTGCATAATTAAGTTTAGGGAGATCAAGGATATTGTTATATACCGTACGATTATATGACAAATCCCGAGCTGTGTTTTGATGCTTGGGCAGTTCGAAAATTATCCAACGATAGTTTTGGAAAAGAACACTGGGATAATGTCGATGCGATCAATTATCTCAAAGCTGCTGTCATGGAACTGATGTCAATGGTATGAAATAATTATACTTCAATGATTACTATGTCATTATCTAATCGATAGGATAATGGTAACGACGATGACAACCTTGCAATCGAACAGGTAGCTGAAGATGACGAACCAAATCAAGATCAATATGGTGCTAATAGCGGTTATCAGCATCATCCATGGCCGAACAATGGTGGTGGATTTCCTCCACCTCCTCCTGCTTGGCATCAACCACATGGTATGAATAAATTTTCATTGGTGTTCGTCGGACAATATATCATTCGTTTAACTATTCTTTCAGGCAATCCCTATCAAGGAAATAATATGCCACCGTATCATAATCAACCACAACCGTATGGTGGAGGATACGGAGCCCCCAACTATCAACATCAACCTGGTTTTCCACCATACAATAACTCTGGTGGTTATTTTCCAAATCAGTATCAAAGTATAGTCCTATTTTAAGTGAATTAGCAGAATCTGTACAAATTTCTTCTTTCTCTAGATAATTTTCCACCAGTCAATCCAAATTATCCGAACAACTTTCCACCGCATCCTGCTTCACTCGCTGATTTTATGAATTCCGAGAGTCAAAATCAACCATTCGGAATGGCACCGAATTACAACCGTGGCCCGTATAATAATCCGAATCAATATTAGATCTTATTATAAATCACGATAGTTCTTTTTCTTTCCGGAAATCACATTAACTGTAATAAATGTATATTAAAAACTAGATCAAAGAAATGAATTCATATCCTCGTACGTTCTCCAAAACACATTTTAGCATTACTGTACACATCGATCATTTATTCTTTTTAAACGATAGTACTGAGAGAATAACAGTGGTTAATAGATGTTCTGCAGTGCAATGTCTAAAAGAAATCCTATCGATGATTGTATTCAAGGCAACAAATCTAGCTAAGACTGATTGCTATGTTGCTATCTCACTTGAACCATTCGCAGAAACCTATCAGAAGACACAAATCCAATATTCAACGAAAAATTTACATTTCCTACATTGGATAAACGAGACAAACCGTCGAAAAAGACTATACGGGCATTCTTGATTATGTCGACATCTTCGTATTCTCGTTTTGTAGTAGTCAGAATCAATTCTATTCGCGACTATGCATCGTTTCGTCATATACGGGACAGAAAAGAAAGAAAAAGTCGAAACACGTGCTTCTGTATCTTTGCTTTTGGTCAACTTCTTTCTCTTTAACACATATAAACATCATCATGCCGTTCGCTTTAGTCGTACGTGAATTAAAAAAGCTCGTCTTAGAGGAACTTCCTGTAAATAAAGATACTTGTTACCTCACTTTCACGTATCTGTATATCTGTAGCTTCCCTACTGTGGACTCAACGATCTTTTGATCAAAGTAACCCATGTTGCTCAGAATCCGACCGATTGGAAATCGCTTCATTTCGGTGCAGCAAAACCGGGATCTATTGTTGGTTGTGATTTTGCTGGTGAGGTGGTGGAAATCGGAAAAGAAGCTATTGGTTAGTATGGAGATTTGTATGTTCATTCCATATCATCAGTTTTTGTAGGTAATTATCGGAAGGGAGAACGAGTAGCTGGCTGTGTTCCTGGTGGTGTATCTGCTGACTTGGGTCTTCGTGGTGCATACTCTGAATATGTTGTTCAAGAAGCGTCACTTGTCTTTCGTTATCCATCAAGAATATCGCCTGCTGAAGCTGCTACAATTCCACTTGCTTCAATCACAGCGGCTCTCGGTCTCTTTCATGAAATGGGCTTGCCTTTACCACCAGCGACCACCAAATCTAAAACGCCAGTTCTCGTTTGGTCCGGTAGTACAAGTGTCGGACAATATGCCATTCAGTTAGCTAAAATCGCGGGTTGTTTTGTTATTACAACAGCATCGCCGGCACGACACAATTATTTGAAGGAACTCGGTGCTGACGTTTGTTTCGATTACAAAGATGCAAATACTGTCTCACAAGTTAAAGAAATCACCAAAAATGAATTAGCGTATGCTATCGATTGCATTTCAGAAAAGGAATCCATTAAACAAGTATGTGCTACATTAACTGGCAAAGATCCGCAAGTTGTCACAATTCTACCTCGGGTATCGAATGAAATACCATCACATGTCAAGGAGCGTAGTGTCCTGATGTATACAATCTACGGTCATGAATTACATGCTTTTCGTCGAGTATATCCTGCTAAGCCAGAAGACAAGATCTTTGCGGAACATTTCTACAGATTACTTTCTGATTACTTATTACCAAATGGTCTTTTGAAACCAAACAAAGTCACTCGAATACCAGGTGGTCTCAATGGTGTTGAAGAAGGGTTTAAACGAATGATGGAAAATAGAGTAGCATGTGAAAAACTCGTTTATACACTTGCAGAGACAAAGAAAGCGAATGATATAAAAATAAACTCAAATTTGTAGAGATTTTTGTAGATCTCGTTAAAAAACAAGAAAAATTCATGACATCTTTGACTTGCCTACACTAACTTCTTTGTATGAATTATGATTTTCTTGTTGCTTTTGTCAAGAAGGCACTCACCTAGTCTTCTATTCATAGAATTAATTATATAATTACAATTGTCCAATTATTCAAAGACATTCTATGAGGATTCACTTGTAGTAAATGAAAATTCCAGAAAGTTTCAACGCTATCTTCGAACTTTCTGAACATTTTCTACGTTTTTCTCCAGCGACTGCTTATCTAATTCAAATTTACAATCGGTGTGTCAAAAAATGTTAGACAAAGCAGTAGTTTTCTAAATTCACATGGATATGTACGAATTTACTTTCATGAAATTATCTTCATGGTGAAAAATGTTATCAAAGCTGCAAAATCTAATCAATCGTCGTCAGAGAGTAAGATCATATTTTTAATATGCAAACGAACACCCCTAAATCTTTTCTTTTTACTCATGACAGTATAGTAAAGATACTTGTATAATTACCATTTTTTAATTACGATAAGGATGTAACGTCTCATGAGGTAAGGTAGCTTTTGATGATCCACAGGCTATTTTAATCAGCAGATTTATATGCTGCAGCTATTCTACTCTTCTTTCTAGAGCGTTCAGCATTGCACTTATACACTGTGCATTTGTATTTTGTTTGCTTTTTAAACATCATCGCACAAACAATGTCAGTAACAGGTTTGCCAACATTACAACAAGATATAATACGCTATGGTTTGTCCGTTTACTTTGCACTGGGCTTGCTAGGCAATATTTTCAATTGTCTTATGTTCACACGATCATGTTATCGTCACATACCAAGTTCAGTATATTTTCTGGCTCTTTCAAGCTTCGGTATTATCTATATCATTTGGACTATGTTTCCATTGATGTATACACTTAATAATCCTGATCCTCAAACACAATCGGCAATTTATTGTAAAACACAAAAATATGGTATTCATCTTCTTGCTCTGTATCTTCGCTATACCATCGTTTTTGCTTGTATCGATCGATTCCTGATCACTAGAACAAATGTTCGCCTTCGCTCACTGAGTTCCGTTAAAACAGCAATTATCTCGCTCATTGTCATGGTTATAATAGGCTTCTTCATAGCAGTTCATATATTGATCTACACGGATATCAACAGTGGTGTTTGTACCATGACTGGATTATATAAGTTAGTTTATGCCATTTATCAAATCATGGTTGTTTCGATTATACCACNATGCGCACATGTTTTTCTTTTTCATTCCTTCTTTTTCTTCCGAGAGAAAACCCACTTTGAAGTATGACTTATAGTTGGAAGACTCCAGTTTATACGCAGAATCATCTTGTTGCTACACGTTTATTTAGGCAAGAAACGAAAAAAAAAACAGCTGTAACTATTGAAGTTCTTACTTTTTTTACTTCCTCGCGCAGTATAATTCGAAATTGTGGACATCGCATTTCTACAATAATCTGACTTTTTTCAGATATGGAGACAAATGACAAGTGTAGTTTGTGCGGCAAAAAGATTCAAGAAGGGGAAACCATAAAGACGATGGTAAACGGTCTGCTCGGCCATCAAGCGTGTCTAAAAAAAATTTTTGTAAGCAAAATAATCTTGTAAATGTGCTTGTCAGAACTATTCATATTTTCTGATTCTTTTAGGATATCCCTACGCAAGTGTACAACCCAAACGGAGTCAGAAATCCGCTGAGTTCAAGTGAATCCACTCTGCATACAATACAGATAGACGAAAATCATTGGAAATGCAAAGATTGTTCGACGCAAAATGTCAACTCAACTAGACGATGCGGAGGGTGTGGTAAAACGCGATCTAATCAAAATACATCTGGCAGTAGTGCGTGGAACACGGCACTAAACGGGGAAGAATGTGGGCCCACATCGGCACCCGGTGCACCAAAATCTTCTGAACGATACCTGCCTGCAAAATTAGATAAAAAAGGTAATTAATAATTCCGATTGATGTCACCGTAATTCAATCTATTTGCAAGTAATTATCGTTTCTTTTTTGTCATATTCGTTTATTTATTTAGGCACCTACGATGATGATGATGATGATGATGATGATGTGCGATATGAATCGAAAAGCACTTCAGGTAAAAACGCATATCCTCAACATCATCAAGATAAAATACTTGCCGAAGAAAAGAAACATCGAAAACCAGTAAGTTATGAAGACGATGACAGTGACGATTCCGAGCCGAAAGTCGCATCTAGCAAGAGGCTATATCCTGAACTTCCTCAAGATGAAAAGCCTATCAAAGGGAAGAAAACGTCGAAACCAAGCCACCATTCTGATGATGATGACGAAGATCGATCGACTGCAAAGTCGAAAAAACCAATACCATCAACAGGAAAGAAGTCAGAAAAAACTCGCAGTCCATCGCCATCCACGTCGAAACAATGGGCAACGGTTTATATTACTGATTTGCCAGTGCATATACAGAGCAATTCCAAAATGGAAGCACTAATTAGTAAGCGAGTAGAAGACATGCTGCAAAGTAAGCCAAAGGAAGTCAAATGCTATTCAAAACTAGGCATCGGTGTTATTTGTGTGGCCAATAATGAACGGAAAAATCGTCTGTTGAACACCTTTGGTAGAATTGCATTAGATCCGAAAGATGGAAAAAATTACATTGTATTTGTTGAAGACATTCAACTTATTTCATATATGGTTCTTGAAGTTACAAAAGAGGAAGAGAACCAAATGTTACCAACAGCAACTGACATATCGCGTCGTTGGGTCGAACTACATAAAGGAGAAAGGCCAGTATCGTGTGACGTATTAAACGCTCAGTTTCCAAATATTTATCGAGTTATTTCGTCATCGTTGGAGGAACTTACCAATCCATCACTTGATGGAGCTTTCCGTATAAACAAATTCCTAGGTCACATATATTATTGTGCGGATTGCTGTTTCTTTGAAGATTTACCTCGTACAATCACGAAACAACGTATACACGACGCGATTGCTATGGAAATTAAACAATCAAGCCTTTCTCAGACTTCTCTCTATGTTCAAGTAAATAAACGATCGGATTCTATGTGTGTTATTTCCGCAGATGAAGCAAGATCATGGTCAGCAGAAAGTTTCATTACTATCGATAAAACTATGTTACGAAAGAAAACTAATCTTGCATGTCGATTAGTAATACATCCAATTCCAGAATCATACTCTATTCAAAATATCATTAAACATCGACAATTCCAAAATGCTGTAACGTCTCATAAACTTGTTGGAGATCGTCTTATTCTGGAATTTTCCGATAAAAATGTGTTTGACCAATGTTTAGACCGTGGTGCACTTCGACTTGATAGTGGCGAAGTTCTCAGTGTAGATCTTTGTAATTCCTTAAATAATCCAGATGGAAGCGACATTGATGACGAGACATGGTATAGAGCGGACATGCTACAAATGAAACCGGATATAATGCAATTTTTAAATAATCCTAAACATAAAATTTTTCGTCTTCGATGGAATGCACAGCTCTGGAGTGAGCAATTCGAACGCGTGGCAAAACAAAAACGTGATCCAGCTCATGGTGCAGTACATGATCCAAACAATTCAACACCGGATCAGATTCGTCATTTACTTCGCGTCACTGTCATGTTGAATACACTTGCTGTAATGCAAAAACGAAGCTTTATGATCAAGGATCGTGAAATACAATTGAGATTGAAAAATCAATTGGAGACTATCGTATATAATCATAAGTCAACCATCGAAAAAACAGAAAAATTACCATTAAAGAAAATGCCGTACTCTCGGACTAAGATTCGTGTTGTTCGTAATGATTGCTTGATTGAATATGAAAACATGGTCAAGAAGGGAAAACGACCTGTTCTTCTTAATATGGCAAGTGCAACCAGTCCCGGCGGTGGTTTTCGCAAAGGTGATGGTGCACAAGAAGAGAATATTTTTCGTCGATCTGACTATTGTCGAAGTCTTGATGTTGGTCTTGACGATTTTCTTCGAGAACGTGTTGATCGTTTTTATTGTTCTTCTGACTGTCGTCTTGATCGTGTATCGGATCCGAATAGTATGTATCCAATGGATGAATATGGTGCTATTTATACAACAGGTATCACCGTCTTTCGACAACCAGAAGAAACGGGTTATGCGTTTATGGAAAAACCACTAGAAGATGTTTGCTCAATTGCAATGGCTGCATATCGTGATCCAGAACTGAAGGGCAATTTCTTAGCACCAAAATACGCCGTAGGAACAAGAAAAAAGATCGAAAATATTTTTGCTATTGCCCATCATCATAAACATGACTGTTTAATTCTATCAGCCTTTGGCTGCGGAGCATTTAAAAACCCACCTGATCATGTCGCCAAACTCTTCTATTCGGTTATCGAACAATATGCTGGCCTTTTTGATACCATTGTTTTCGCCATCGTTGATGATCATAACGCTGGCCGTCAGCTTAATCCAGATGGGAACTTTAAACCTTTCGCTGATGTCTTAGATGATCGATATGTAGAACCACCTACATCAATAGATAATCCAGACACCATAATAGGTCCATATCTACTCTTAAGTGATGGAGTAAATGTTGCTGATGTGAAAATATTCCACCAAACACCTTGTAATCATGGTGCTAAGTGCGTTGAAATGTACGATTCTCACCATAATAACCAGTTCTCTCATCCACCACTTTGTATTCAAGCAGCGACTGATGGAAAATGCAAGCGAACAGATGATGTTATTCATATGACATCATTCATTCATCGAAATCAATGTCGAGATGGTGGTTTGTGTAAAAAGATCAATGATGAAAGTCATAGCCGAGAATTCGAACACCCAAGCTATTGTCCTGAAGAAGGTCGTTGTCAGAATCAAGAAAGCGCCCATTTAAAACAATATCGACATTTACCTCTTTGTGAAAAGGGACTCAAATGTATGGAATATCAAAGAGAAATTACCAGTCATTGCAATAAATATCGTCACTGTGCTCCACAATGTTCCCATGGTGGTCTATGCGCGATGTTTCATGACAGAGAACATGTCGAAGAGTTTAAACATCCGTTTGCTTCACCCTGTCCTCGAACACCATTTGATTGTCCTCATTTTATAGCCTTATCAGAAGCCAACAACACTCAAGGTCTCCCTCATTCTATTCAAGAACATTGTATTAAGTATGCCCATGTATGCAGAAAGGGCCGTTACTGTACTGATAACACTTCATTACATTTATCTAAGACAATTCATGTCGCTCGTAACGAGTGTTCATCTGGAGATCGATGTAAACGGCTAGCTGACGAAGAACATTTAAACTCATTTTCACATCCCAATGTTCCCGATGTTCGACCAGTCTGTCAGTATGGGGACAAATGTCGCGAACAGCATAAATTTGATCATAAAGTTAGTTATCGGCATCCATCAACAAGTGCAGACGGGGTAGTACAATATTATGGTTCGAATGAGGATACTGATTTTGTACAAAATCAAAAGCGAAATGTACTGGCAGTTGAAGACTTCATTTCAAGAAATAATTGGAAACCCTTACCGTCAGGGTCAATTCCTCATGAGATTCTCCATTGGGTGCGTACCGTAAAACCTATTCACCGATGCAGTCCGCTTATATTTGAGTCAATATTTTTACACGGTCATGTGATGAGTCGTGAATACATGGAACACTTGAAAGATCCGGCTTTCGTTGCTAATTCTGTTTTGCATCATACTCGGATACGTCGTATCGAAGAACTCAAGGAATGCGAAGATGATGCTAGACTATATGTAACTGCATTGGTCGCATTAGAATTTGAGAATAAAGGTTTTCATGCAGGAACTGGAGTTCCTATAGATTTGTTCAAGACAGACGCAGGTAAAGATGTTTCAGGTTACTCTAACAAACAAATATATGAATACGCCATCAAGAAGAAAGAAGCTCGTCTGATACATTTAATACAAAAAAAGGATCTAGCTGTTTTGCGCGAGAAAGCTATCGAAATTGCTCAAGCTTCAATTGAACTTCATTCAACACCAGCTGGTATTGGTCATCCACCTGACAAAGCGTTGGGCACTGATAAACAGGTGTTCAGCGTTCTTGGACCGAACTTCGGTCACTATTATGGTGATGTTATTATTGTTTTCAAACGAGAAATCTTACATCATCCTGACGCAAATTACTCCATGCAAGCAGCCACAATGTTTCCCAGTGGAAATGTTTACAAATTGCGACCGTGGCTAGGTCCTGATTCTGGTGATGTTACAGAACGAATAAAACATTATCACCGAACGAAGCTGCATGCATCCATACCAGGATATGAGTATGCTACCGCTCTCGAACTCATAGCACTAATTAGTCATCAGAAAAGATCAAAGAAAATGGATATTAGTCTTGATGAAATTTTTGATCAATGGCTTCAAAATGATGCTCATCACAATATTGAAGCACATTTACCGCAGCTGATTCCGCTCGATTATATTGATCACATTTATATACCAAAAAATTTGTTTGCTGCGCTTAGTGAAAAAACTAAGCAAGCAATTGATGCTCTTTTCAAACATCACATTACTCTTGTCCCACACGATGGCGTAGCTAATCATGAAAGGGGACCATTCGGACCAAACCCAAGAATACCATCACGATCAAAATATCAAGATTTTGTAGCTAAGAAATTAATCGAAGAATACAAAGATAATGACATTCATTCTTCAACACATTCCGTCGAAGGTGCAGTTATTACTGTTCCTTCATCAGCTTTTGATGATCATTATCTTCTACCTCTAACGATATCTCAAGCATTTGCACAATATCGTATTGAAAAGGCACATCACACATCTAAAGACAACATTACCTATATCTATTGGAAGGCTATGCATGGAGATATGATGTTAACATTATCCAACGAACAGATCAGTAACGATGAGAATCAGCCAAATCTTCGTTGTTTGATTTGCTACATTGCACCAAAACCTGCAATCAGTGATGACGACGATTATCATGAAGAAATTTCCTATTTGGCGGCTGCACATCCATTCAAACATGTGATGATTCTCAGCAAAAGATCATATAAAGCTAAATCAAATACTTTCTATCGTGGCTGTAACGGTCAGGATTTTATGACATTTTGCTTACAAATTCATCGGTCAACAGGAAAAGTTATTCTGTCACATGCTGGCCCAAATGGAATCTATAATNTCAATATTTTTACACGGTCATGTGATGAGTCGTGAATACATGGAACACTTGAAAGATCCGGCTTTCGTTGCTAATTCTGTTTTGCATCATACTCGGATACGTCGTATCGAAGAACTCAAGGCATGCGAAGATGATGCTAGACTATTTGTAACTGCAGTGGTCGCCTTAGAATTTGAGAATAAAGGTTTTCATGCAGGAACTGGAGTTCCTATAGATTTGTTCAAGGCAGACACAGGTAAAGATGTTTCAGGTTACTCTAACAAACAAATATATGAATACGCCATGAAGAAGAAAGAAGCTCGTCTGATACATTTAATACAAAAAAAGGATCTAGCTGTTTTGCGAGAGAAAGCTATCGAAATTGCTCAAGCTTCAATTGAACTTCATTCAACACCAGCTGGTATTGGTCATCCACCTGACAAAGCGTTGGGCACTGATAAACAGGTGTTCAGCGTCCTTGGACCGAACTTCGGTCACTATTATGGTGATGTTATTATTGTTTTCAAGCGAGAAATCTTACATCATCCTGACGCAAATTACGCCATGCAAGCAGCCACAGCGTTTCCCAGTGGAAATGTTTATAAATGGCGACCGTGGCTAGGTCCTGATTCTGGTGATGTTAGAGAACGAATAAAACATTATCACCGAACGAAACTGCATGCATCCATACCAGGATATGAGTATGCTACCGCTCTCGAACTCATAGCACTGATTAGTCATCAGAAAAAATCAAAGAAAATGGATATTAGTCTTGATGAAATTTTTGATCAATGGCTTCAAAATGATGCTCATCAGAATATTGAAGCACATTTACCGCAACTGATTCCGCTCGATTATATTGATCACATTTATATACCAAAAAATCTGTTTACTGCACTTAGTGAAAAAACTAAGCAAGCAATTGATGCTCTTTTCAAACATCACATTACTCTTGTCCCACACGATGGCGTAGCTGATCATGAAAGGGGACCATTAAGACCAAATCCACAAATACCATCAAGATCAAAATATCAAGATTTTGTAGCTAAGAAATTAATTGAAGAATACAAAGATAATGACAATCATTCCTCAACACAATCCGTCAAAGGTGTAGTTATTACTGTTCCTTCATCAGGTTTTGATGATCATTACCTTCTACCTCTAACGATATCTCAAGCGTTTGCACAATATCGTATAGAAAAGGCACACCACACATCAAAAGACAACGTCATCTACATCTATTGGAAGGCTATGCATGGAAATATGATGTTAACATTATCCAACGAACAGATCAGTAACGATGAGAATCAGCCAAATCTTCGTTGTTTGATTTGCTACATTGCACCAAAACCTACAATCAGTGATGACGACGATTATCATGAAGAAATTTCCTATTTGGCGGCTGCACATCCATTCAAACATGTGATGATTCTCAGCAAAAGATCATATAAAGCTAAATCAAATACTTTCTATCGTGGCTGTAACGGTCAGGATTTTATGACATTTTGTTTACAAATTCATCGGTCAACAGGAAAAGTTATTCTGTCACATGCTGGTCCAAATGGAATCTATAATCATGAAGAAATATCATGCACATTCGATCGATCAGAACTTGATTTAAATAAGATGGAATATATTCATGTCAGTGCTGGCTCACACTCAGAAGCTGTTCGAAATTTAATTGTCTGTTTTGAGAAGCAATCGAGCATGCATCCAACATTTGACACAGATTACGAGAGAGATTTTGCTCCTGCAACAGAAAACAAACCACGCAAAGAACATTCAGATACCGATCATCGTAAACCGAATAAAGATCCTCATGACGTGCCAGCAAAAGCATCTGCTAAGGACGAGCCAGAAGAGGAAGGATTGATCACGAAAGCACTTAATTTTTTCAAAGGTAGTAACAATTCAGGGACAAAGCTGTGTTCAGACAATGTCAACTGTTTGAAACAATATTCAACTGATGGAAGAGAGCATAATGCTAAGTTCGTTCATCCATGTCCTTTTTCAGAAAAATGTCGCGATAAAGATTCGCATACAACACACACTCACGAACCACACGACGCGCCTAGATGTTCCTACGATAGAGACTGCAAGAAATTAAATGATCCTTATCATCGAGCTGCTTACCGACACACAGGTCGTCCAGATTTTCTACAACCGTGTCGTTATCAAAAAGGTTGCAGGGATAAAACCTATGATCATCGCATGAAATATTCTCATGGTGAAGAGGTATTCACAAAATCATCATCATCATCAGCGGCAGCAGCAGCAGCAGCACCTTCTAAAGGTAAATTATTATTCTCTCTCTTTTTTTGAAAAATTATTTATCAATTCATTTTTCGTAGAAGAAAGTGAAAAACATGAATCCCACGATCATAGTGAGCAAACACCATGCAGAGACGGACGTAGCTGTCGTGACATCTCAACTGATCACCGAAAACAGTTCTCACATCCGTCGACTACAACAGCTAATCGTGCAGGAAATAAAAGCAAAACTCCATGCAAATTCGGCGTGAAATGTCATAATTTCGACACGGACCATCGAGCCGACTATAGTCATCCTGATAAATCATAACATTCAGGGTTAATCTAATGTATGTGCGTGTGCGTAAGCTCTAGTAATTCTTTTCGACATTTACAATAAATTTTTACTGACATATTTGATTTCGCCAAGAAAACTTTATATAGTCGTGTACAACTAAATCTGATACAAAATATTTATTGAGGAAAGAGAGTGTCTCCTAAGATTTCATATTTATTGGAAGAAAGAATTTTTCTTAATTTACATACGCGCTCAACATTTACTATTGCTCTCTGTTCTCTCTGACACTTAGCTATATCACATGAGCAAAACACAGATTATCGATTTCGATAAATGAAAAAAAAAACACTATACGCGAGTTGACGCTGTTGATACTGATATATATTCGAGTGACCAGAGTGAATTTTCAGCAGGTGGTGTTTGATCGACTACCGACTTGTGCGAACGAATACATCGATAAATTTTATCATCATATTTCACGTGATCATCAACATAATACTGTGCATTTGCTTTCCACGAACGAAGTCGATTCATAGATAGAACATCAATATCCTTGTTCAATGCATTAAATGTCGCTCCAATCAGTTCACCTTTGCGATCTTTACTCAGTTCCCAAAAGAAGGCACCAGCTAATCGATATTTTTTCATATAATCACATTTCCATTTAACTGATTCGAGATCTTCATAGCTAATCCAAATTCCTGTTGAACTATTGAAAAGGAATGGAACTTTAGATTGGTCATCCCAATAACGTGTGTACGAGCGAATCACGTCATTTTTTATATCGTCATAATCGAACGAACCATCGCCCCAAGTGCCATTTGGAGGAACACTCGATGCAGCTTGTAAAAATCCGTTCAAAGTCGTATTGGTTACTTCTAAAAAGAGATTTCATTGTTATGAACAAAATCAATATGCACAAAACAGGTCATATCGACAACCTTGCCAGCCGTGTCCATATAAAGGAATGCCCATGACGATCTTATTCGGTGGCACTCTCGCCGAGAGATATGCTTGAATAGCCGCATGACAATTCATTTTCGATGTATATGATGAAGCCGACGCGTCATCTAAGGTTTCATTGTCGTTTTTGTACAAAGGAGCATTGTGGCCAGTCTGTAATTCTTGATTATCTACGTGAAACAGATGGAAAATGAGTATATCGCCAAGAGATTGTTATTTACTATGGAAATTGTAGGTAACGACATTGATCCAATCGACAAAATCAATGATCTTCGGCAAATTCATTTTACTAATATGATCAGGATTGACTCCAGTACTAAAACATTGAAACGAAAATGAAATCTTTGGCTTTGAATGAACCTCTTGCCGCTTACGCTAAAGTTAGAAAGTATTTCGTATCCAATTGTCGACGAAGTTCTTTCAAGAAAAGGTAGAGATTTCGTTGTTTATCTTCTAAACTTCCACTATGGTTCGGCCAACTGTCCGACATCGGNATGATCCTTATCATCGAGCTGCTTACCGACACACAGGTCGTCCAGATTTTCTACAACCGTGTCGTTATCAAAAAGGTTGCAGGGATAAAACCTATGATCATCGCATGAAATATTCTCATGGCGAAGAGGTATTCACAAAATCATCATCATCATCATCAGCAGCAGCAGCAGCAGCACCTTCTAAAGGTAAATTATTATTCTCTCTCCTTTTTGAAAAATTATTTATCAATTCATTTGTCGTAGAAGAAAGTGAAAAACATGAATCCCATGATCATAGTGAGCAAACACCATGCAGAGACGGACGTAGCTGTCGTGACATCTCAACTGATCACCGAAAACGGTTCTCACATCCGTCGACTACAACAGCTAATCGTGTAGGAAATAAAAGTAAAACTCCATGCAAATTCGGCGTGAAATGCCATAATTTCGACACGGACCATCGAGCCGACTACAGTCATCCTGACAAATCATAACATTCAGGATTGATCTAATGTATGTGCATGCGCGTGAGCCGTAGTAATTGTTTTTGATATTCAAAATAAATTTTTACTGACATATTCGATTTCGTCCAGAAAACTTGATTATAGCCGCTTACAGCTAAATCTGATACAAAATACTTATTGAGGAAAGAGAGTGTCTCCTGAGATTTCATATTTATTGGAAGAAAGAATTTTTCTTAATTTACACACGTGCTCAACATTTACTATTGCTCTCTGTTCTCTCTGACACTTCGCTATATCACATGAACAAAACACAGATTATCAATTTCGATAAATGAAAAAAAAACACTATACGCGACTTGCCGTTGTTGATACTGATATATATTCGAGTGACCAGAGTAGATTTTCAGCAGGTGGTGTTTGGTCGGCTACCGACTTGTGCGAACGAATGCATCGATAAATTTTATCATCATATTTCACATGATCGTCCACATAATACTGTGCATTTGCTTTCCATGAACGAAGTCGATTCATAGATAGAACATCAATATCCTTGTTCAGTGCATTGAACGTCGCTCCAATCAGTTCACCTTTGCGATCTTTACTCAGTTCCCAGAAGAAGGCACCAGCTAATCGATTTTTTTTCATATAATCACACTTCCATTTAACTGATTCGAGATCTTCATAACTAATCCAAATTCCTGTTGAACTATTGAAAAGGAATGGAACTTTAGATTGGTCATCCCAATAACGTGTATACGAGCGAATCACGTTATTTTTTATGTCGTCATAGTCGAACGAACCATCGCCCCAAGTACCATTCGGAGGAACACTCGATGCAGCTTGTAAAAATCCGTTCAAAGTCGTATTGGTCACTTCTAAAAAGATATTTCATTGTTATGAACAAAATCAATATGCAAAAAAACAGATCATATTGCCAACCTTGCCAACCGTATCCATATAAAGGAATGCCCATGACGATCTTATTCGGTGGCACTCTCGCCGAGAGATATGCTTGAATAGCCGCATGACAATTCATTTTCGATGTATAAGATGAAGCCGACGCGTCATCCAAGGTTTCATTGTCGTTTTTGTACAAAGGAGCATTGTGGCCAGTCTGTAATTCTTGATTATCTACGTGAAACAGATGGAAAATGAGTATATCGCCAAGAGATTGTTATTTACCATGGAAATTGTAGGTAACGACATTGATCCAATCGACAAAATCAATGATCTTCGGCAAATTCATTTTACTAATATGATCAGGATTAACTCCAGTACTAAAACATTGAAACGAAAATGAAATCTTTGGCTTTGAATCAGCCTCTTGCCGCTTACGCTAAAGTTAGAAAGTATTTCGTATCCAATTGTCGACGAAGTTCTTTCAAGAAAAGGTAGAGATTTCGTTGTTTATCTTCTAAACTTCCACTATGGTTCGGCCAACTGTCCGACATCGGATCTCGCCTATACATCAAAATGATAATCTTCTTCAGCGATCTCCTGATTTTATTTACCAATTCAGATCAATCCCATCGAAATGATATTTTTCCATAAAATCGATACATGACGATGCAAAGATCGATCGACTACGATTGCTCACAATAACCTTCTTGAAGTTTTCTTGAAAGGTCTTCGAAAAAGAAAAAACGAAACAAGTCACACACCCACACCCAACTCAATTATAACTTACATCTCCACCAACAGAAATCAGTGTTCGTAGATGTGGATATTGATTTTTCAGTTCAATTATTTGTTTTAGATTCTCCGGCATTTGCGCGTCACTTTGGTTGATATTTGTCATATTTTCTGCTGACGTATGTTTATTGAGAGCAATTCGCCCTCGTGCATCAACATATGCAAAAGCATAATTTAAATGAGTAATCTTATTGACTGGTATATCGTCAACACTATAATTCCTATCGACCCACCATGAAAGATAATAAGCGAGAACGATCGGACTTTTTGACACTGTATCTTGATTGTGAAACAAACGACAATCATTCGAATCTAGGATATGAAATTCAAATCAAAATAAACGTTTTGATTCATATGGAATGCTGTTTACCGGATCCGCCTGATGGTATGATTTGTACACGAATAAAGAGTGCGATGATTGAGGCAATAATAAACAAAATACTGATTATATTGAAGATAATCAATCTACGACAGGAAATACACGCTTTGAGCGTTTCTCGAAATTTTAATCTGATTAACTGATTAGGAACACTAGCCGCTTCACGAACGTTTTCTGTTACTCTCGACAGTGAATTTGGAGCAGTATTAGCAACTGGTGAAGTTGATAATTGCTCGCTGTCTTTCAAGGCTAAAAACGGCAATTGTACTTTCGTTTCATATGCCCAAAACCTACCATTGTAGCAGACTCTATCCTCTTCATTGTCACTCATCATTTGTCGCCACAATGTTGTTTCATCTTTGCTTTTTAGTGTGTCGCCTGTTTGAGCTAAACGGAAAAAAACAAACAAACTATGATTTCAAGAACGAAAGGTGCAAATGCATTGAACTCACATTCCAATCGTTGAACAATATCATGACGCTGAATTTGTCGAAACGCCTGTATAAGATAATCAAAATCTTGGTCATTTATCAATCCACGATCAAATAAAGACTCCAACAGATTCAATGTGCCACCTATCGAAGGATCGTCACGCAATCTTCTCGGTATAACATTACCGAATAAAAAATGAAGACGACATCGATCCGTATCTGTTAAACTATCCTGTAACTTCAAAAGTAATCCGCGAAAATGCAATTCTTGCTTCACCAGATCGTCCTCAGTCACTCCTGACATTGAACTGTTTTGTTTACATGCGACAGTCAATGATATACATTTTTCTTTCTTTGGTTATTCAACATGGCGTGACTAAACCAATGAAATTTTTCAACTTTACAAACAATGATCGAATAGTACATAAGCTGCAATTTAAACCAATCGATAACTGTTCATATGTTCAAAATCAATGAGTCAAACATAGTTCAAAGGAAAATGCTTATCGTATCAAAAGAGCATGATTATTGTGTTTTGTAGATTACAAAACATAGATCAATGCATGGAAAGAGTCATCGTTGACCTTTATACAGTTCAGTATTTGGAATAAGTTCTCAATGAGTAACGATTCGCACACTGTCAACCTGGAGGATCTTTGTATAATATTAAATATGATAATATATTACTACTCAATGGCTGAATAAACGAGAACATATGATATCACAATGAACACGAGTATTCAGTTACTCTAGATAATTCCTCTAGCGACACCTAGTTATGATCACATTTTTCAGGAATATAAAAACCATGGAATATTTATTTACAACGCTATTTTTCTGTGAATTTTATTCTTTAGATTATGTACACCGAATAAAGTCGGCCACTAGTCACGTTCGGTATCACCTTAACTACTGTTTTCTATTCATCTTGCGTAGAACAAATGAAAAACTTGCAACTTATTTTAACTGCTATAAACGTTGCTCTACATGAATATTGAAAAAAGGACATGGCCAAACTCGAGTGTTTACCGAACGAACTCTTTCTTGAACTATTCGATTATTTTGATGGTACTGACCTTCTACATTTATTCTTTGGTCTCAATTCTCGTTTCAATCATCTTCTCTACGAACAAGTTCAACATTACCGGTTTAAATTCACTTCAGTGTCAAAACGTCGCTTTGATACTATCTGTCAGCAACATTTACCATGCATTGCCTGTCGGACTACAACTCTTTTGCTGTCCAATCATGATGATACACCTGAACAGATCGATTTCTTCCTCTCCTACGTACCATCGTGGAAATCGTTCACGGATTTACAGTCGCTCTCTCTTGCACATGTTTCATCATATCAAACGTTGTTAGAAGTCGTGCGTCGATGTTCTTCTCTTGTTAATCTCAACAGTTTGACATTGGATAGTTGCGTTTTAGAAAGCAATCAATCGGATCTCCAAGTCATGCTTGACATGATCTGGAGTTTAGCAAAACTGAGATTTTGCCAGCTTGGTATCTTACTTGCGGACGAGCCGTGGATATTTGCATCTACAAAAGTGTCTTTATGCTTGGAACAACTTCTGATTTACTGGAAATCTTTTGAACTAAACGAACTGAATAGGGTCTATGAATGCACACCGCACCTCAAGCATCTTTCGGTTTTGATTGCTCCCTCGTTAAAAAAGTGTTCGCTGAAATCGAACTTTTCAACGCTAGTCAACTTGAATATGCGCCTTTATGAACGATCGAACGATTTAATCACTGAAATTCTTCAAACTACACAGAATGTACGCTACTTAGAAATGACTTTGTTAAACAATCTGATTGATGGCCACCGATGGGAACAGATTATTCGAACTAATTTGTTAAATCTGACGACATTTCGATTACGAATGAAGGATACCTTACCTAAAAACGATCATCTTCAGGAGCGTCTGAATAATCTATTTTATTCGTTTCAAAGTCGATTTTGGATCCATGAACGCCAATGGTTTATTCGATGTTTAACGTGGGATTCAACTATTCATCTCTATACATTGCCTCGTAAAGTGAATTATTACGAACGAAAGCTACCTGATTCCCGAAGATCGACAAGTCCACACGATGATGATGACGAATTTTACAACAATATAACAAATATTCATGACGAAACGTTTTTCGATCAATCGATTCCATATCCAATGCATTTGTCAAAGATCAAACATCTCCGGATAAAACTTCCTATCAACAAGCAGTTTTGGTCGATCGTTTCGAGTTTAAAAAAATTAATTTCCTTAACAATCGAGTCATACACAGATGTCTTTCAGTGGCAAGTACAGACATTACTTGATCGAGCATGTCACTTACAAAACTTGAGTATCAAACAAGATGCGTCACTGCCTCTGCAGTCATCGTTATTCGATTGTACAAATACGTCACTTAATGAACTCGACTTAGGAGATTTGAATTATACTTTCCATGAAAATGAATGTATTCGACTAGCTCGTTCTCCATTAGGCTCTAAATGTCATATCCTATCGATCGTCGTCCAAGAGCGCCAGAACGTTGTCACTCTTGTTCGACATATGAAGAATCTTCAAACATTGAAAGTTCACCTGAAAGATGGAAGTAACGACGACAGTGCTGTTCGATGGCTAAGAAATAATTTATCGTCAACTTATGTGATCATAAAAAGTAAAGATGATGCCACAGATTATATTTTAATCTGGATGTAAAAGCGTTGATCTCTTTTCTTTGTCCCGTAGAACGTAGATTTCATAATAAATAAAGGACATCTCCTATACTCAAAAACAAGGGTAAATATTGAGAACGTAATATTCATACCGATACTTATATTTGCAAGATTATATTATAGTTAGAGTACAGTAATTTAGCATAGAGTGTCATATATTCTTTTCCATCGCGGCCATGCCATGCGTTCGGCTCTTTCTTCATCAATGAGCTGTTGAGTGTCAATTTGCCGTCTTCCCGTATCCAAGTCGATAGTGCTAGGTCGCATAAATGGAGTTTTTTTCCATACTTTCCATACTATATAGAAAACAAGAATGAATGNACGCTAAAGTTAGAAAGTATTTCGTATCCAATTGTCGACGAAGTTCTTTCAAGAAAAGGTAGAGATTTCGTTGTTTATCTTCTAAACTTCCACTATGGTTCGGCCAACTGTCCGACATCGGGTCTCGCCTATACATCAAAATGATAATCTTCTTCAACGATCTCCTGATTTTATTTACCAATTCAGGTCAATCCCATCAAAATGATATTTTTCCATAAATTCGATACATGACGATGCAAAGATCGATCGACTACGATTGCTCACAACAACCTTCTTGAAGTTTTCTTGAAAGGTCTTTGAAAAAGAAAACGAAACAAGTCAATGATCTTCCAAACTCAATTATAACTTACATCGCCACCAACAGAAATCAGTGTTCGTAGATGTGGATATTGATTTTTCAATTCAATTATTTGTTTTAAATTCTCCGGCATTTGCGCGTCACTTTGGTTGAGATTTGTCATATTTTCTGTCGATGTATGCTTATTGAGAGCAATTCGTCCTCGCGCATCAACATATGCAAAAGCATAATTTAAATGAGTGATTTTATTGACTGGAATATCTTCAACAGTATAATTCCGATCAGTCCACCATGAAAGATAATAAGCGAGAACGATCGGACTTTTTGACACTATATCTTGATTTTGAAACGAACGACAATCATTCGAATCTAGTATATGAAATTCAAGTCAAAATAAACGTTTTGATTCGTATGGAATGTTGTTTACCGGGTCCGCCTGATGGTATGATTTGTACACGAATAAAGAGTGCAATAATTGAGGCAATAATAAATAAAATACTGATTATATTGAAGATAATCAATGTACGACAGGAAATATATGCTTTGAGTGTTTCTCGAAATTTTAATTTGATTAACTGATTGGAAACAATAGTCGTTTCACGAACGTCTTCTGTTACTCTCGCCGGTGAATTCTGAGTAGGATTGGCAACTGATGGAGTTGACAATTCCTCGCTTTCTTTCAAGGCTAAAAACGACAATCAAATTACACTTTCGTTCTATACACGTAGAACTTACCATTGTAGCAAACTCTATCCTCTTCATTGTCGTTTATCATTTGTCGCCATAACGTTGCTTCACCTTTGCTCTTTCGTGTGTCTCCTGTTTGAGCTAAACAGAAAAAGCGAACAAACTACGATTTCAAGAACGAAAGGTGCAAATGCATTGAACTCACATTCCAATCGTTGAACGATATCATGACGTTGAATTTGTCGAAATGCTTGTATAAGATAATCAAAATCTTGATCATTTATCAATCCGCGATCAAATAAAGACTCCAACAGGTTCAATGTGCCACCTATCGAAGGATCATCACGCAATCTTCTCGGTATAACATTACCGAATAAAAAATGAAGACGACATCGATCCGTGTCTGTTAAACTATCCTGTAACTTCAAAAGTAATCCGCGAAAATGTAATTCTTGCTTCAACAGAACGTCCTCAGTCGCTCCTGACATTGAACTGTTTTGTTTACATACGACAGTCAATGACATACATTTCTCTTTCTTTGGTTATTCAACATGGCGTGACTAAACCAATGAAATTTTTCAACTTTACAAACAACGATCGAATAGTACATAAGCTGCAATTTAAACCAATCGATAACTGTTCATATGTTCAAAATCAATGAGTCATAATTCAAAGGAAAATGCTTATCGTATCAAAAGAGCATGATTATTGTGTTTTGTTGATTACAAAACATAGATGAATGCATGGAAAGGGTCATCATTGACCTTTATAAGTCCACTATTTAGATTAAGTTTTCAATGAGTAACGATTCACACACTGTGAAACCGGTAGGATCTTTGTATAATATTAAATACGATAATATATTACTACTCAATGGCTGAATAAACGAGAACATGATATCACAATGACCACGAATATTCAGTTACTCTAGATAATTCCTCTAGCGACACCTACTTATGGTCACATTTTTCACGAATATAAAAACCATGGAATATTTATTTGCAATGCTATTTTTCGGTGAATTTTATTCTTTAGATTTTGTACACCGAATAAAGTTGGCCACTAGTTATGTTCGATATCACCTTAACTACTGTTTTCTATTCATCTTGCATAGAACAAATGAAAAACTTACAACTTATTTTAACTGCTACAAAACGTTGCTCTACATGAATATAAAAAAAGCACATGGTCAAACTCGAGTGTTTACCGAACGAACTCTTTCTTGAACTATTCGATTATTTCGATGGTATTGACCTTCTACATCTATTCTTTGGTCTCAATTCTCGTTTCAATCATCTTCTCTACGAACAAGTTCAACATTATCGTTTTAAATTCACTTCAGCGTCAAAACGTCGCTTTGATATTATCTGTCAGCAACATTTACCATTCATTGCCTGTCGGACTACAACTCTTTTGCTGTCCAATCATGATGATACACCTGAACAGATCGATTTCTTCCTCTCCTACGTACCATCGTGGAAATCGTTCACGGATTTACAGTCGCTCTCTCTTGCACATGTTTCATCATATCAAACGTTGTTCGAAGTCGTGCGTCGATGTTCTACTCTTGTTAATCTCAACAGTTTGACATTGAATAGCTGCGTTTTAGAAAGCAATCAATCGGATTTCCAAGTCATGCTTGACATGATTTGGAGTTTAGCAAAACTGAGATTTTGCCAGCTTGATATCATGCTTGCGGAAGAGCCGTGGATATTTGCATCTACAAAAGTGTCTTTGTGTTTGGAACAGATTCTGATTTACCGGAAATCTTTTGAACTAAACGAACTGAATAGGCTCTATGAATGCACACCTCATCTCAAGCATCTTTCGGTTTTGATCGCTTCCTCGTTCAACACGTGTTCGCTGAAATCGAGCTTTTCAACGCTAGTCAAGTTGAATATGCGCCTTTATGAACGATCGAATGATTTAATCGAGGAGATTCTTCAAACTACACAGAATGTACGCTGCTTAGAAATGACTTTGTTAAACAATCTTATTGATGGTCACCGATGGGAACAGATCATTCGAACTAATTTGTTAAATCTGACGAAATTTCGATTACGAATGAAGGATACCTTACCTAAAAACGATCATCTTCAAGAGCGTTTGAATAAACTATTTTATTCGTTTCAAAGTCGATTTTGGATCCATGAACACCGATGGTTTATTCGATGTTTAACGTGGGACTCAACTATTCATCTCTATACATTACCTCGTAAAGTGAATTATTACGAACAAAAGCTACCCGATTCCCGAAGATCGACAAGTCCACACGATGATGATGAAGAGTTTTACAACAATATAACAAATATTCATGATGAAACTTTTTTCAATCAACCGATTCCATATTCAATGCGTTTGTCACAAATCAAACATCTCCGGATAAAACTTCCTATTGACAAGCAGTTTTGGTCGATCGTTCCGAGTTTAAAAAAGTTAATTTCGTTAACAATCGAGTCATATATGGATGTGTTTCAATGGCAAGTACAAACATTACTTGATCGAGCATGTCACTTACAAAACTTAAGTATCAAACAAGATGCATCACTGCCCCTGCAATCATCGTTATTCGATTGCACAAATACATCAGTTGATGAACTTGACTTAGGAGATTTGAATTATACGTTTCATGAAAATGACTGTATTCGACTAGCTCATTCTCCGCTATGCTCCATATGTCACATCCTATCGATCGTCGTTAAAGAGCGTCAGAACGTTGTCACTCTTGTTCGACATATGAAGAATCTTCAAACGTTGAAAGTTCAACTGAAAGATGGAAGCAACGACGATAATGTTATTCAATGGCTCAGAAATAATTTATCGTCAACTTATGTGATCGTAAAAAGTAAAGACGATGCAAATAATATTCTAATCTGGATGTAAAAGCGATAATCACTTTTCTTCGTCCCTTAGACAGTAGACCTCATAATAAATAAAGGACATCTCCTATACTCAAAAAGAAGGATAAATATTGAGAACGTAATATTTATACCGATACTTATACTTGCAAAATTATATTATAGCTAGAGTACAGTAACTTAGCATAGAGTGTCATATATTCTTTTCCATCGCGGCCATGCCATGCGTTCGGCTCTTTCTTCATCAATGAGTTGTTGAGTGTCAATTAGACGTCTTCCCGTATCCAAGTCGATAGTGCTAGGTCGCATAAATGGCGTTTTCTTCCATACTTTCCATACTATATAGAAAACAAGAATGAATGGTACAGCAAGGTATGCTTGGAAAAATTCTTCCGCGTTGGGACTGGAATCGAGTGGAAATACGGCCAAATAGAATTGAGCAACGAGACAGAGAATATTAAGTACGAGACCTATCACACTCCCCCAGACACCAAATGGTGCCACAAAGGCCAGTTCATCCAATGTGTGACCTTGTGCTTTCCACGCCAGTCGAAACATAATATGACAGGCACAGATGGAACCCCATGTGAAGAACGAGGATAAACCTCCCATAGCCAACAGCCAGTGAAATACTTTTGAGCCAACTTCGGCACAGTTGATGTACGCGACAAAACCCAAAAGCATCGACAAGGCAACCGCGGACAGTGGCCGACCTTTACGATCGATATAAGTGAATATTTTCGGCGCTTGACCATTCTCAGCTAGTGCACATAGAGTTCGAGATGCACCATACACTGACGAATTACCGACAGAAAGTACGGCGCAGAGAATCAGAGCATTGAATAGAGAAGGCAAAACTGAAATACCTGCGTCTTCAATGGCAATAACGAAGGGTGACGCAGAGGCATCGTAATCTGAAGATTTATTCAGCAGGCGTGGAGATGTATAAGGGACCAAGCAACCGATAAGTGTTAATGATCCAATATAAAAAATCAAAATTCTCCAAAAGACTTGTTTTGTTGCTCGGGGAATCGTCTTTCTTGGATCATCTGCTTCAGCTGCAGCTAAACCAACGAGTTCAGTGCCGGCAAAGGCAAACGCAGCAACAACGAATGTGGAACAAATACCTTTGAAACCATTAGCAAAGGCACCTGGATCACGCCAATATTTTCCTCCCAAATATTCATGTTTAGGACCACCACCAAAGACTAAAACGATACCAAGAATAATAAAACCAACTACACCAATCACCTTAATCAGAGACATAACGAATTCGATTTCTCCATATCCGCGTACGCCAAATAAATTGATGATGAGAAGCGCCACCAAGAAAACAGTGATCCATACAGCAATATTAATCGACGTTGTCCAATAATTAATAACTAGTCCAGCCGCTGTTATCTCAAGCGGCATGATAAGCAGCCAACCAATGGCATAATTCCATCCCATAGCAAAACCCCAAGCAGGATCGAGAAATCGAGTGCTATGTGCAGCAAATGAACCAGAAACAGGAAATACAACACTGAGTTCACCAAGTGCCATACATACATTAAAAAGCATGACACCGATGATAGAAAAATCGAGAATCAGTGCACCGGGACCACTGGATGCTAGAGCTAAGCCTGAACCAACAAACAGACCAGTACCAATCGATCCACCAATAGCAATCATCTGCAAGTGTCGATTTTTTAGCTTTCGATGTAAGCCATTGCTTTCTTGTTTGACTTCATCGTTGTGATCCTCTTCGGAAGCTGTTACCTTCATTTCGTACGAACCACTTGTAGAAGATGGTTCTCGTTTAAACGAGTCAAACATTCGTTGGCATAGATTTCCTTTCCTGTTTGCATAAGATGTTGTAATAATTTGAGTGTGCATATCGTCGTTAGCATCTGTCCAGTGTTCGTCAAGGCGTGTGGCTGATGACATCTTTGTCTTGCTTGATCGTAATACAACTCTCACGAGAAAGAAATGAAAAGACTAGAGTCAGCCGTGTAAATCAACACTCTTATTTTGCTAATATTCTTCTGCTTAATTTCGTACTTTTACTTGAATATCCGGTGAATATATTTATTACTTTCTCCTTTTCGACCCGCCTTGAAATTTGTTATGACACAGTGCGTATGATGCGATTTGCGAAGAAAACGATGTATCGACACGTGTTTTTCTTTCTGTGTTTCTAATCAATAGAGCGAAGCGTTACAATTTTTGACATGACTTGATTACTCAGAAAGGAAAAAGAAGTATTTTTTTATATAAAGTTGACTGCTCACCATAAAAAGGATAAAAATAAAACAGAAAAAAACTAATTTGCTTAAAATAGTACCGTTTATTGTGAACAACTGTTTTAGAATTAGATATACTTTCGTAAAAGCAATTTACATAGTATGTGTCAAAAAGAATATTAAATTTCGTTACATCATATGTAAAAGACGACTGAACTGATATGGTATAACATCTGGGAATTTTCAATGTATACTATTTAAGTTTTGCTTACCATTTTATCAGGCTTTTCACGCATCTCTCCTAAAGTGCTCATGAATTGATGAAATGCTTTATAGGATATTGCTCTTTCATTAACAACACTACGTCTTTCTCCTTGATTTTACTATTTTCAGATATACCGCTGTGAAGATGCGGGGACAATGGGAGGAGACTTCATCCACTTCAGATAGTATTTGAAGTACAAATGAAATATTTCATTTCTGAAGCAGTGCTTTTCCCCTTTGCCATCATCTTACTCTGCTTCGAATCCAGTATCAAATCGCTTTCGATAGCGGTGCACTGTTACTTCTTCTAACAGTGCTACTTGTCACTTATTGTGCACCTCGTATAGTATACTCGTTACTAGAACCATGTGATAGTGTAACATACACCTGTGTATCATATCAATTGATGTGCCTTGTGAACTCATGTTACTCATCACATCCAATATGTTCGCGATTGGTTGCGATCGATTTTTGTATATCGGATAAGTGATACATGCGATTCGAATTTACAAAGAACACTACTAAACTGTGGAAAAGATTAAATTAGGCGCACTCAGTCGTTGTAAATTTGTCCGATAATCCAAATTTGAATAAATCAAACCTCTTGTGTTGAACCGTAAACTATACTCTAAGTGAAAATTACTGATTTTGAATTTTCCACAATATCTTTAGAATGGTTCACAACTGATAACATGAAATATATACACAGCGTCTGTATTACATAATAGGAATGTGCTCGTGACTGGTAGATACAGTAGTGTTAATGACTCTTCGAATACTGCAGAAATATTCAATTAATCTTGACTGAACGATGTGCTCTCGTGCATAGTTCATGAATTTCTACGCGCTATAATAAACGTTCTATATAGGAAAAGATGATCTTGAACTTTGGTTGTTTTTCGACGTGCAACAAGGAAGTGTTTATATATACAACTTCTTTCTCTGCTTACTAAGTTAATGGATTTCTTTCCGCTTTACTGCAAATATTGGGCAGATAATTTCCTTCATTGTGCAAGGCATGTATTCATGTGATGAGCGAAAGCATAAAACTACCAGATAAAAAGAATCTATAGTATCTTCTAAGTGATCTATTTAAGTTCTCATTGGAGAGCTATGCTTTCTTGACAAACTTGACAGTAGGAGAGCAAAAGAAAGTGGATATGCGCGCGACCGGCACACTCTTGACAACAAGTAAATATAAGATCAAATCGTTATTATTTTCCATCAAACGAAAGTATGTTTTGTTGTTCTAGTAAACTTCCTTTTCTTTGTCTCTATCTGCTCGTATATTCCTTTGAGATTCTTTTTTAGGTACACTAGTGACACATCTATTCAAATCACCATGATCGAATTGTGTTGGCTAAGGATAATCTTCTTTCAATATCTTTTTGGGAATGTTCAAACCGATTGGCCATCGTTGAACTCATCTAATATTGATCTGTTGGGTATTTTTCCCTACATAGCCAATCAATCCGAGCCGACACAATGGTCAATACAATCTCATGCGATGTTCAAATCAGCTATTCTACTTTCCCGTCAATACGATATACGAATCCAAGGAGAACTGGTCGGTTATGAAACAATTGAAAGCAAGGGCGATGTTGTTACTGCTTTCGGTGACACGTGTGAATTTGTTTCGAATTCAACAATAATTGGCATCGTCGGACCATCATTCTCACGCGAATCCCAATATATCGGTCCACTCGTTGGAAAAATCGGTATTCCATTCATTTCGTATAGTTCAACTGATCCACAACTATCCGATCGACATACATATTCGTCGTTTTACCGACTAGTTCCATCGGATAGCATCGCTGCATCTGCAATAGCTGACCTATTCCTTCAGTACGAGTGGACAGCCGGAATAATCATATGTCAAAGTGATGTTTTCGGGTCGAACGGTGCCAAATCGATTTCCGATGAATTCACACGGAGAAAACTAAGCATCACCGCAACAGTACAATTTGATATAAACACATACGAAATCAAAGGTGATTTAACGTCGATTTTGACCTTTAGTTCAACACGAATTATACTCGTATGGGCTGAACCACTCTATATAAATATGATCTTGGCAGAAGCACTCGAGAGGAGTCTTGTCGGTCCACAATTCCTCTGGATATTAAGCACACCAATTTCATTAAATTACTTCAATAAAACGTTCAACGAAAATCTGAATGGACTATTCGTTATCGAGTCCGTTACTGGCAATGTGGTCAATGCACCAACCAATGACACTTTATTGAAATCTGCATATGAAATTTGGCAAACATACGAACCAGAGACATTTCCTGGCTCACAAAATGTAAATTATTTTGCCCTGTTTGCTTTCGATGCCACATGGACATTGATCAAAATGTATGAAAAATTCTGTTCAAATGTTTCATCACCGTGCATTGAGTTTCTCAATAATTCATCCTGCTTCGATCAACACTTACAAAATTCGGACTCAGTGCTCAATCTAATGAACAGTATGAACTATCTCGGCGTATCAGGTTTAATTGAATTTAATGAGAATACAGCTGATCGAGTCACCGGCATTTATTATATTATAAAGAATCTACAACTATCTTCGAACGTTTTGAATTATGTACCCATTTTAGTATGGTCACACGCAACAAATTGGAATTTTTATTCGTCAACTAGTGTGATCATATGGCCAGGTAATTCTCTAATCGCACCATCTGGTTCTGCTTCGCTTCAAAATGTTCATCTACGACTAGTCGTTACCGAAACTGCACCATTCACCATGTCATCGCAATTCATCAATGAATCTGGAGAAAGTCAAATGAAACTAGTTGGTTACATACCTGATCTTATCGAACGATTGAGAATTCGATTAGGATTTATACCAGAAGTAACATTAATAGCAAACAAAACATTCAATGAAATTATTGACTTAGTTGCCAATGATGCCTACGATCTATTTCTCGCTCAGACAACGATCACCGCTGCACGAAGCGAAAAGGTTTCGTTCTCAAACTCTATCTATGATAACTCACTACGTATTCTCATCAGGAAAGAATTAAAGACTGACATTGATCTATTAACATATTTAAGATCGTTTTCTATTCAACTTTGGTTGGCTGTCCTTTTCGCGTGTATCTACGCGTCATTGCTTTTGTGCGTATTAGAGCGACGAGAAAACGATGCATTACGACATAGATCCATGATTTCATTAATCGCAATGAGCATTTGGTATTCGATTGGCACACTGGTTGGCTACGGTGTTGATTTCCATGTTGTCACAGCAGCCGGAAGAGTCTTAACTGTCGGATTGTACTTGTTAAGTATAGTCCTTGTCGCAGCGTATACAGCTAATCTAGCATCGGAATTGACAATTTCGAAATCGCAAGATATTATCGATGGTCTTGATGATATTAAAAACGGTAAACTGTCATACAGTCGCATTGGAATACTTGTTGGATCGTCACTGGAGGATTATTATTTGCGAGAAATATCCGGTGGAAATAAAAACTTTTATCCATTGAAAACTAAACAAGAAATTTATGATGGTTTACTGAATAACGTCATTGATGCATCGATAGTCGATGGAAGCGTTTCGGAATACATTGTTAACAACATTTATTGTAATTTAACATTAGTCGGCAAAGATTTCAATACGAACGCATTCGGAATTGTTTTTCAGAAAAATTGGCAGTACAAAAATATATTCGACAAAGCGGTTTTATTATTAAGAGAATCTGGTAACATTGATGAACTAAAACGAAAATGGTTTAAAACAACCGTTTGTTCAGAAACGGCGCAAACAACGTCTCAAGCAATGACCATCGAATCCATGGCGGGCTTATTTGTCACATTCATAATCATCAGTCTACTCGCGATTATTGTGTGTTTATGGAAACATAGATCGTGTCTCAATTTAACATATATCAAAAAGCTTTTTCTGAAACGAAATATGTACAAAGAGAAACATTCAACAGAAATTTCCCGCACGAATCCAACGACAGTAGAAAAGTCCTTATTTTGAATACCGATGGCCTGTCATGCTCTATGTAACTCGACAAACGAATGTAATTCTTTTTTGTGAATAAATGACGTTGACGGTGTGTTCGATGTTAGTACGAGGGCTGTTAGAGTTGTGCAAGTAGTAAATCAAATTTAATTATCTTCTTTGCAACATCTGCACGAGACACCTGTCTGTGCAAGTCATGTGGTGCATTTCGAGGACAAATAAGAGATATCACTGTTTTTGAAAGATTAAATTCGACAGTATTTATTCGAATTAATCGTTGAGCGCGTATTAACAGTTCAGAGTTTTCGACGCAGAAAGAATTAATTGATAGATATGCTATTTTTTCCGTAAAATCATCGATATAGACATCAGAGAGTTTCCTATTTTGTTCAAACGAACAGTGACATATAAATGAATATATGCTCATTATTCCAGTTCAGCTAACTCGTGATATTTTTTGTCTTTAAATAGAAGCGGATTCAGAGAATTTAAATCTTATTCGTTCTGACAAAACTTAAAATAGGTTTTAGATTATCAAGTGATTTGTCATGTCATTAGCGTACCTAAGTCAACAAACAACTATCTATGTGGGGTTGTTTCTCATTGTTACTGGTGTCATAGGAAATAGTTTAAATGTTTTAGTGTTTTCAACTGTTCGTTTGTATCGGAGAAATCCTTGTACGTTTTATTTCCTAATACGTTCGGTTGACAACATGGGCTTCATTCTGGTTAATCTGACCGTACGGATTATTAGTGTTGGCTATGGATACGATCTAACTCGTACGTCTGTTGTTTGGTGTAAAGTTCGGCAATATCTTCTACTTATTCTTGGTTTAATTTCATTCATGTTATCGTGCTTAGCTGTCATCGATCAATTTCTCGCAACATCAAGAAATGCTAATTTACGTCGTGTGAGCAACATATCGTGGTCACACCGAATTGTATGTGTAGTGCTAATTGTCTGTTGTTTGTATGGAATACCTGCTCTTGTATTCGTGGATATTTCACCGAATCTCAAAATCTGCGTGATTGCCAATGCTAACTACGCAATTTATATTTCAGTACACGTTTTGAGTTTTACTTGCATTATTCCAGTGTTGGTAACGGTTATTTTCGGATATTTGACATATCGTTCCATCCATTCGACACGAGTCCTTGTAGAGCAGCAAGTCGATCGACAATTAGTGCGTATGGTCTTATCGGAAGTTGCAATTATCGTTGTATCCATTACTCCATATGGCGTTAACACAGTTTATAGTTTAATAACAAGCGGTATGGCAAAGGATACAAATCGGTTGTCTATAGAATCGTTCGCCTCGACAATTACCAGTTTGTTATGCTATTTTTATTACACAGTATGTTGAAATATCTGCGCGTGTTTACATTGTTGTTTCTGCTTGTTATTTTTTTAGGGAAGTTGCTATTTGTTTTTGCTTTCATCAAGTCGGTTTCGCCAAGCAGTCCAAAATCGAGTCTTGTTCTGGAAAAAAGAGAGAACAATATACCCATCCAGAGCTTTGGTTACTATGAAAAAGCTCACATTGACGATGGAGAGGTGAACCGGGTTACTTGACATTTCATTTGTTTTTTTCTTCGTCACATTTGTTGTAAAATTACATGTTTCAAAATGCATTTTTCTTTCTAATTCATGCGTTTGCGTCATAGCTTCATCTAATTACTTTTTTAATAGATTTCAGTAATTACAAGCCCTGATGAATTTGTTGCCATTTCAGTTCGATGTATGTTGTTGAAGAAGACGATGTAAAATATTATCTATATCTCAACATTCACGGCGAAAGTACTATGCATGTATATAAGAAAACAGTCGAAAAAAGATTACTTTTTAGAAAAGAACATTATTTATGGAATATTGTATATTGTTTGATTATTTAATATTAATAACTTTCTTGAGTATTCTCTTCCGTCCATAATAGATTTCCTTAACCAACATTTCCAGTTGCTAAACTTATTTACATTCGACAGGAGCATATACGTATTTTGCACTGATTTGTTTATTCTTTCTAAAACAACATCAAAAGATCGTTCGCCTCATGTGAAACGTTCTCGAATAAAATATTGACGAGCTTTATATTTAAGAATCTGAGCCTCGTCAAACATTTTGAGTTAGGACATCAACATTTCTCTAGTTTTAGAAAAATAAAAAATACTTCTTGTTTCTTTAAAAGCATACGAAACAACTAAACTATTCACCTGGAACGATGAATCTTCTAAAGCTGTTTTGGATAATAACTATCATTGATTCAGGTTCCTCGATTTTTATTGGATCAATATCTAACGCAACATTCATAGCAACGAACATAATTGAAACATTTTACAACTTAACTTGTCAACAATGTACGTGTGAAGCTTTGAATATATCGGTCGTTGGATGGAATTATTTTACCTTAAATAACACCTGTCAACTGATTAATAATTACACAGTAAATGATCCTGGACTTATAAATTCGACGCATTCGATATTTTTCTTCCGACAAATTCCGTATGAACCGACTTCGACTACAAGTAAATACAGTAGTATTCAACTTCGCGTAATATTTTTAACTATTCGAGCTCAGTTCGCGTTAGCTTCTTCCATTTCATTTCCGTTTATTGTAACACTCTTCTCATCTATGATTGAAGATTTACTGATAGGAAATTTATTTCGTTCTGTTGCAGCCTCATCAACAACATCCACATCGACCTCCACGTCCACCTCCACTTCAACAACATCCACATCGACTTCCACGTCAACCGCCACTTCAACAACATCCACATCGACTTCCACGTCAACCTCCACTTCAACAACATCCACATCGACTTCCACGTCCAGCTCTACCTCAACAACATCCACGTCAACCTCAACCTCGACTTCCACCTCAACAACGTCCACATCAACTTCCACGTCCAGCTCTACCTCAACATCATCCACGTCAACTTCAACCTCAACCTCTACTTCTTCTTCGACAACTTCGACAACAACATGTAAGTTTCAAGAAAGACTGATTTTTATTTTAATTTGAATCCATCCGATATTTAAATATTTTGAATAGCGCCATCATGTTCAACTCCATCTACAACAGGACAGATTTTCAGTTTTAATTCTGGTTCCGTTGCACTAACTACCTACACGTATAACGCATATACATTTATTGCTAATAATTCTTTCGCCACCTTAACTTTTGTTATAAAAGGCGAGAAAGGTGGTCAACAGAAATATTGGTTACTAGATGACATATCAGTGACCTATGGGAATACGGGCGTTAATGTATTAGCGAATGGTGATTTTGAAACGGGGAATCTATCCAATTGGACACAGTTCTGTGCGACAAATACTAATTGTCAAGGAACGAATGATCGATATGGCCAAATTACAGGATCAAGCTGCCGTACAGGATCATTTTGCTACGTTGACAAATGCGACAATTACGATTATCTGGTTCAATCATTTCCAACTGTCCGTGGTGGACAATATATTATAGTTTTTTATTTGAAACTTAACAATGACGGTGCAGCAGATCGATATGTCTACGTACTGTTGAACAATTGAACAAACTATGTTTTTTGAGTAATAATGTCTGGTTTTCAATTTTACTTTTCATTTGTCTAATAAAAAGCATTTTTCTTCGTCTTCATTAATAAAATGAGTTCGCGACGTTTACTTTAGTTCTGAATATTGGAAGTGACGATGTGTAATAAAAATAAATACACGTGCTTTTTCTTCATCAAGACTCATGTCATTGATAAGCCATTCCTTTCATATATCTGTAATCAACCGTTGTAGGTAGATAGTCATTTGCTATCTTTGTCTACCATGTACATCGTTGGTGTTGATGTAGGTGGAACAAATACAGGTAAAACTTTTTTTGTACTTTGATGAAATCTGTACTTTCGGAATTGTTGTCTATAAGATGCGGTTCTCGTACGAATCGAGCCGGGAATTTGTGAGTGAATGCGGTATATTTTATTTGCGTTGTTAAACCTTCCTTTCTTACACATAAATATAGCGCCAGTAATCGTAGCCACAAATAAAACAACGACGACTGCCGATGTATTTTCTGGTATGCTTCATTCTGTTCGACAAGTCGTTCAAGATGTTGAAGTAACTGCGGTGATGGCTGGCACGACTCACTTCATCAACGCTCTTATTCAGCGACGAAACCTCGCAAAAGTGTGCATCCTGCGTCTCTGTGGACCAGCTACACATTCCCTTCGGCCGATGTCCAACTGGCCAGATGATTTGAGGCAACAGGTAAAACATGATACATGTTCAGTTTTTATCTGAGACGAGAGGTATCGCATAGGTTGATGGTATAACAGCACTGGTCTCTGGTGGATATTTCTATGATGGATCGCCCATTGCTTCTTTGGATGAAGAGGAGATTCGTAGGATTGTTCGACAAGCTCTTGCAAAGAATATTCAGTCGTTTTGCGTTTGTGGTGTGTTTTCTCCATGTCGATCCGATCAAGAGAAACGTGTTGCGGAAATCATTCGTGAAGAATCGTCGGATGTGTACATTACAGTTTCGCATGAGATCGCTGGTCTCGGTTTAATTGAACGCGAAAATGTATCGATCCTCAATGCATGTCTTCGTCCATTAGCACTTCGTACAATGAAAGCATTGAAACAGGCACTCCCACATGGTTTGCCATTATTTCTTACCCAAAATAACGGCACTCTATTATCATTGGAACAGTGCGCTCGTTTACCTGTTTTCACTTTTGCAAGTGGATCAACGAATTCTATGATTGGCGCAGCACACCTGACAGGTATACAGAATGGTATTGTTATTGATATAGGAGGCACATCAACAGATATCGGAGTAATTATTAATGGTCGCCCAAGACAAACACACGCAGTTAGTTTCATATTCAGTGTTCATTTCGTATTTAAACTGATTTTCGTGTTTTTCTTTTTGTGATCAGAAAGTTTATCTAGTCGACGAGATTCGTGTGAATGTGAGCATGCCTGACGTAGTTTCGTTACCCTTGGGAGGTGGTACAGTCATCCATATTGATGAAGATAACGATACGATTTGTGTTGGACCTGATAGTGTAGGATATGAATTACAAACACAAGGATTGGCTTTTGGCGGCCAAACGATGACTACCACTGACATAGCTCTAGCTGCTGGATTGATCACGAAAGTAAGCTTATGCGTCTCCTTCGATAGAAATACTATGAAGTTTAATTATAGATTGGCCACTCAACTGTAGAAATACCAACATCAGTAATTCGACAAGTACTTGATCACATCAAAAGTACAATCAATCGAGGAATTGACCGAATGAAAACGAATCAAGAACCAGTATCTGTCATTCTTTGCGGCGGAGGATCGATCCTTGTTGATATCAAAGAATCATTTACTGATGTCACAGAAGTATAAGATTTACTCTGCTTTTCGTTTTCAAAACCTTCTAAAAGGTATTTATTCTGCTTTAGATTATTCGACCACCTCATTTTGCAGTGTGTAACGCTGTCGGTGCAGCTCTCTGTTCAGTGAGTGGTACCATTGAGTCAATTGTCGATCTTTTACCTTCGTCCATGGATGGAGGATTTCAACGTAAATTTGAACTTGATCGATTGACGCAAGCTGTTCAACGAAAATGTGTACAGAATGGTGCGCGTTCAAGTACAATTCGTTTAGTCGATATAGAACAAGTTCCTTTGACATATTATCCAGGTGGATACAAACATCGAGTTCTGCTTAACGCTATTGGCGAGCTTGATCTAATGAAATTAAAAGAGCAACATCAAGAAACTACAGAGCATTTTTCGTTAACTGATGTGTCACAAGATTTACCAAAAATCCGTCAGTCGTTGAAGTATGCAGTGATAGCCGATAAACAACCGAGATTTGACGAAGACGGTGCATGGATCATTGATTCGACTGATATCGAGTACATTGCGTATGGTGTTGGCATATTAGGTTGCGGTGGTGGTGGCGAATCATATCATACGAAATTATCGTGTTTAGAAATGTTAAAGACGAATAATGGCAAGATGCGTGTCATACCGCCAGCTGCACTTCATCCATCGTCTGATTTGGTGGCCGTTATTGGTTTTATGGGAGCACCAACAGTCTCACATGAACAGTTACCGAGTGGCAATGAATGTTTACTGGCTATCGATACTATTGAAAAGTATCTTTCGAAGAAAATAACAGCTGTATTTAGCGCCGAGATGGGCGGCGCAAATGGCCTTCGGAATTTATTAGTTGGAACGGTGAAAAATATACCCTGCGTCGATTGTGACAATATGGGACGTGCATTTCCAAGACTTGATCAGAAACTACCATTTATTCTTGGGCAGAGCGTCACACCTGCGTGCATGTGTGATGTTCGTGGACGCACAGTCTTATATACAGAGGAAACGATTAAAGACGCACATGAATTGGAAGATGTTTTAAGAAAAGAATGCATTAAGATGGGCTTAAGAGGAGGATTATGTATGCCACCCCTAACTGGCGAACAAGTTCAAAAATATTCAATACACAATAGTCTGTCTCGTGCATGGTTCTTGGGTAAGTTCATGATTACTTAACTACCAATATAAAAATGAATAAAACTAGGTCGAGCAAAGTTTAGTCACCAGAAAGATGTGATCAGAGCAGTGGTAAGAGCAGGCAATGGTCGTATTCTAATATCCGACGGTAAAGTGACAAACGTCGAACGATACACTAGCTCTGGTTTTGCTCGAGGCCATGTTGAAATCGAAACGATCTCAGGAAAATTGATAACTATTGATTTTCAAAATGAAAACTTAGTAGCTCGATGTGGCGATGAAATTCTTGCTAGTGTTCCCGATCTAATCACTTTAGTTGAACAAGATTCCGGTGAACCATTGTCAACAGAGACTGTGAAATACGGTTGTCGTGTCTCGGTGCTTCTTCTCCCGGCACCAGAATCAATGACAACACCGCAAGCACTGAAATATGTTGGACCTGCTGTTTTTGGTTATAATCATGAGTTTGACATGCAATTGTTACCTCGCTCTGCAATTCAGTCTGTATGGGATGTGTATTACGAAAACTCTTCTGCGTAATTCGAATGGTTGGAGCTATTTTTCAATGATTTTCCTCTTCAATAAATTTCATTAACACGTATACTCGATCTAGTCTAGACTATATTTTGACAGTCTCTTATATCTCGTCTATACAAACTTAGGTCAGTCTCATAACTACAGCATTTATCCATCAAAATACTATTTAGTATCATTACTGAAATGGAAGTGGATAAATATCTGTTTACTATACATCATAATTACATCAGTGATTCTGTGCATAAAGTTCTCAGTTAGGTGACGTTAAGAGTGAGAAAGTAACTTTAATACTGGAATATTGGTCATAACTACCAACTGTTCTTTCGTAAATCATTTCATATCTGATACCGTCGATACAGGTCTCATTGATAAGTTGTTGAAAATACCAAGTCGTCTTATTTGTTTCTTCTGCCCGAAATCTTCGATCAATCATCTCATCACAGCACCATGTTCTTTCCACCATGGATAAATCTTCAGTAGTTAGGATGCGATTGAGTACACTAACTGAATGGCCCATAGTTAACAGCACGCTTTGATTCGTGTCATGATTAACATAAAAATATCTTTTTAGAAAGGATTTGTCGAAGGTAGAATAGGCAGTATTTAAACGATGCACTGCTTCTTCTGTGTTGTTCATGTTTAAAGTAGGATACGGTTTCCAATGACTAGACATATGGTGCAAAGTGACTAACCCATCCATTCCACTTTCCAGCATACCAAGCATGTTTCCATAGTGATCCATCTGGTGGAAATGGTGTTCTCTCGTTAGATTCACTCTTAACTCTTCAACAACACATTTACCGATCATTTCATCCCCACCGAATGAAGCGTAGAATCGTTCACATTGTTGGCGATGCTGTACATATGATAACGCTAACGACCGACTGAAAACAATACCCGCACCACCATAGCCGAAGAACGCGCCATGTCGTTTAAGTATAAACTTTTTAGTAGACGTGTTTCCCAAATAGATTGCGTCTGAAGAGTTATATTGGCGAAGAACATGCAGAAGATTGTTCACAAACCAAATTGTATCATCATCGCCCACAGCAAACCATTGTATCTTCCTCCGTTCATTCTGATGACTATCACTTTCCTGTTTTTTCCAACCGTTATAGAATAATTCAAAGTATCTTTGTTCATAACGTTCCACTGGCGATGTTTGTATCTCACAAAGAACTCCTTGTTGAAGAAGAAAGTCGGTGATATTGGTATAGTTCATAAAATCCGTTTCGTGGAAAACGATAAGACAATTGATACCGGGACGAGTCGCCCAAAACTTTAGAAAATGTATCGTTGTGAGAATCCGTCTTGCATGTGTAGTAATAAGGAACAAGATTTCTTCGAGCATGTATTCATGAATACTGTAATTCGTCGCTGATATGGATGATATTTCTCTATATTGACCAGAAAATTGTGTGAGATGTTTGTTATTTCTATGTAATATTTGATTATCGAAGATGTTTTGAATCTCAACAAATACAGCTTCCGGTGTAGTGTGATTCCGTGTTGCTATGGTGCTCTTGTTGGGAAAATGATTTTGCATCAGCTTAGTATCATTAACTGGAATTTGAAAATAGAATACAGTACAGATAATAGTACCAAGTATCATTAGCCATCGTGATCTCCATCGTTTTCTTCCACTGGACTGAATAAAAAAGAAAGTCAGTCGATTGATACAACGCCTCACTAAAAAAAAATTTCGCCATTCCATTAACGTACGATAAATTCTTACTGGTACAATCAGCTAAAAAGTAGGTTTGATCAATCAATGGAATTCCTATCGACGCATATGAATATAAGAAAAGGTGTACGCCGTTTCACTCATGTGGCCATACTCACCCTTATATTTTATTTATTTAAACATTCCATACCTCTCGTTTGAAACCGTTTAATTCTCTTTCGTCTGTTTCATTAGAAACGAAAGGAGAAAAATAGTCGAGATTTTTTCGTCATTTTAACGCTGTTTTTTTACACAGATGCTTGTAATGGTTTCATATAGAAACAGGAAGACTTAAATTGAAATTTGGTATGTGTATTTCTCAGTCTATAAATGTATCGGGAGACATACGTATTTCAGTCTTGTTCAAACTGATTGTGATCACTACGATAAGCATTCATACTGATGCTTAGCAAAAACATACTTAGTGATTGTTTTCATTCATCATAGCGATTTGTCCCTCCGGGACTTCGTAAAAGTGGACGTCGATTAGGATAGAAAAGAGAACCATTAGGCATAGTCGAATGTTGATTTTTTTTTATTCTGAATTTTTGCATTTCATAAGTGAACTTATCATAGAACAAAAACACAAAAGAAAAATAATCAATTTGTGTCAATCATTTCAACTATGATATACTATTAATTTAACCGTTGGTGCATCATTGTGAGGGACAGAAACCTGAACCTTTGTGAGCGCAGACACGTAATGCAATATCGTCGATGACGAGGTCATTGCCGGTACCGCCACGTGTATTTGAAAGCATTAAGAGATTTACTGAGCTTTCCGTTGCGACGAACGAAAAACCGTACTTCTTCCAAGCCAATGTACTGGTTTCAGGAACATTGCCTGAATTCAATTGAGCAAGTAATTCATTTCCGTGGACGGAACGAACTTCGAAGAGAACGTTTGGTTCGATTTTGCCTGATTTTTTACAGAGATTAGCCAAGTAAACCGAAAATTCGTAACGCAGACCGACGCATAAATTGTCGACTCTACCATTGTAAAATTGGCCTGGTTCAAAGTTTGCATTGACTAAATACATGTATCCACCTTCGTCTCCTGTATGATCTTTTGCGCCAGTATGCCAAGCATCATTATGGTTGTAAATGGAGTTGAGCAAAGCAAAGTAACCATCATGTATGGCTGGTTCTCGTCGTTGTTTGTATGTTGTAGTAAAATTGAATTCAGAAGGTAAGGCAGAAGAAAACTGACGTGAACCCTTTCCAAATGTGACTTTTAGAATTGGTTCTCCAACAAATTCGTCGTTATCAAAGCATAAACCAGTTGATTCTAAAACGAAAGGAAGACAAGATAGAAAATACAGATATCGAACTCAACGGTGTTCAATACGTACGAACTTCACATAATGAACCACTAAAGCCTTCTGGACAATGACAAACATTGTCGCCAATGCAACTGCCGCCATTTTCACATCCAGGATTGCAAACAGCTAAAATCATAGAAATACAGTTGAGAAAAGCTACGTCTTTTCAATGCAAAATTAAATCAATCATGTCAGAGTTTAGTATAGAAATTAAAAATCTCCAACGTTAATACAAATAGGTGCCGATTCATCAAGCATGTTTGTGAGCGTATTTTGAATAGGGCTATCAAACTTACGATATGCTTGTGTTGTTTCCTCCACGATTGCTCCAAGTAATTCTTCAGGTGTTGTCGACATCGGTTCTTCAGTTGTCATCATTGGTTCTTCAGTAGTTGTTGTCATTGGTTCTTCAGTTGTCGTTATTGGTTCTTCAGTAGTTGTTGTCATTGATTCTTCAGTTGTCGTTATTGGTTCTTCAGTAGTTGTCGTCATGGATTCTTCAGTTGTCGTCATGGGTTCTTCAGTGGTTGACGTCATTGGTTCTTCAGTAGTTGTCGTCATGGGTTCTTCAGTTGTCGTCATTGGTTCCTCGGTCGTTGTTGTTGTTCCTTGAGTAGTTGTTGTAACCGATGGCATTTTTGTTGATCTTTCTGTTTTTAATGATAGAAATGTATGGAAAGATTTATTGTGAAGATATACGTGTTTTGAGATATTGAGAATAATTAATAGATTTACTAGGATATTATCTTTTTAGTTGTAACTTAGTAACTAAAACTCATACATCCTGACATGAGGATCGGATTTACCTATCGTTTAAAAACTTTGTTTTCCTGGATGTATGTACAAATGGTTAAAACTGCGGATAAGTCTCACAAACTAGAAAAGGCATCCGTAAGATAAAGTATACACATGTTCCACTTTCCAGCACGCAATCTTGAAAATTAAATCGGTTATATATCTCAAGTGTATGTTTTTTTTCTACGTGTTACTATCTGATCCAAAGCGTCAGTCGCCTCGTTAAATAAAGGTGAGGGACTGAACTGTAAAGTAAAAAGTATGATGTTAACGCAAAGTTATAAACGTATATATATATTATGCAATTTACAGTACTTACGAGCACATCTGTTATCCTTATTGCAGAATCCGCTTGCACAATCACGATCAGCCCGACACTTCTTCTTATCAGCACATGGTGGACAATGCTTACCTCCACAGTCGATATCAGTCTCTTGTTTGCTAATTTTTCCATTCATGCACTTTTTATCTAAAAATGGAAAATACGTGGAATTGCCATTCTTGCTCTCGATTATAACTGTATCTACAACAAAAGATATAGTAAAATTAATCTTCTTACTTTTCTTTTTTGGTGGTTCTTTTTCTTTAGAATGATCATGTTCTCCAGAGTGTGAATGGTCGTGCTCTTCCGAATGGGAATGTTCACGTTCCTTGGAATGATCGTGCTCTTTCGAATGGGAATGTTCACGTTCCTTGGAGTGCTCGTGCTCTTCCGAATGGGAATGTCCACGTTCCTTCGAATGGTCGTGCTCTTCCGAATGGGAATGTCCACGTTCCTTCGAATGATCGTGCTCTTCCGAATGGGAATGTCCACGTTCCTTCGAATGGTCATGCTCTTCGGAATGGGAATGTTCTTTGGAATTTGATTCATCTTTTGATGATACTTTGTCGTGTTTAGGTCTTGCCATACATTGCCAACAGCAAATCGTCAACAGAAGTATTCCGACACAACTTAAACATACGAAAGAAAAGCGTTGTTTATTATTCAAGTTCAATGAAATTGAGTGATCTCTAGTCTCCGCTTTAGCTGGTAAACTGTAGACCTATTTCAATTTATAACGAACGTTGATAAAGATTAGTGCAATGCTTTTATGTAAAACATTTCTTTCGATATATGATGATCTAGATGAAAGTTTGCACTCTCATATTTTCGGTACACCTAGAACATTAAAAAGTTATTACTATAATGTCAAACGCATCGTTGGAAGGTTGAATTGAACGAAACAGAAGCAATCCAAATGATTACCACTTGATCAGCTAAATAGAATAAAGTCAGAAACCGTACAAAAAAAAACTTTTGAGAGCAGTAGATAGCTCTATTCTACAGATCCGTAGAGCTAAATACGAAGAAACTGACTTACCTGATTGCTGTTTAGAGAGGTGATTCTCGCAACAAAAAAAAATGATATGCCGCCTTTACTTCTTCGCTGGTATTTATACTGGCGCGTTATTTTACATTTTCGTAGATTTATTTTATTGATTTACAGTCGTATCACTGCGCTCTCTTGTAATTGATTCTATTAATCTGTGGAAACGAAAAACCATCCTCACACACTGAAGGATTAAACGAACAATAAACACATTCGAGATATTTTTAGCTTCTACAGAATCATTCGAGAATCTTTTGTTTATTTCATATATACGGGGAAATATTTCAATATCAACAAATCCGGTTGTTCTAAGTAGATCGGTCACCGATTGAGCATTATTCTGAAACTTTTAATGATGCTATATTCTCAAATACGCCTGTTAATTTATATTTGCTTTCCGAATGCTATTGAAGAGTCAATAATAAATTGAAAGACGTCATATCTCAGTATTTTCATCTTGATCGTTGATATCTGCTAATCACCATCAGTATCGCATTTTATGGGGAAAACAACAAGATACATTTACCAATGAGAAAAAGCAATTAGCGTTTTTCTTATGCTTTCAAAAGCCTCCAATGATTGCTGTTTTCATAGAAGTATTAAAAACACGTATTCTGATTGAAATAAAATCAATACTGTAGAGTATTACAGAATCAAAAAAAACAGGCACGCAATTTAAAAATTAACCTATATGCATGCATATATGTCATAATTGTGCGTATAATAATCAAATATAAGGCGCACATCGTACGTGGATGAATTAATTCGTTAACGAAGTGATTTCGTGGGCGATACAACAAGAGAATTGTATAATTAGTGGAATGACTAAACAAATGATTGGAGAAAGTCTCGTTCGCCGATGTCACTCGATTGATAGATCACTCTTTGACTGTTACTTTTATAGTTGAATATAGATCATTCTGACGCTTTTTACCTTCGTAAATCATTACATATTTGATACCGTCGATGGCGGTCTCATTGATAAGTCGTTGAAAGTACCAAGTCGTCTTGTTTGTTTCTTCTGCCCGAAATCTTCGATCCATCATCTCATCACAACACCAGGTTTGTTCAACTAATGATAAATCTTCACCAGTCAAGATGCGATTGAATATACTGATTGAATAACCTAGAGTTAACAGCACGCTTTGATTCATCTTACGATTGATGTAAAGATATCTTTTTAGAAAGGATTTGTCGAAGGTAGAATAGGCAATATTGAAACGGCGCATCGTCTCACTCACCAGATCAATATGAACGTCAGAAAATGGTCTCCAACTTTTGAATACATGATGCAAAGTAACCAACCCATCCATTCCACTTTCCAGCATACCAAGCATATTTCCTAAATGATCCATTTGATGGAAATGATGGTCTCGTGTTAGATTCACTCCTAACTCTTCAACAACACATTTACCGATCATTTCATCCCCACCATATGTGTAGTAAAATCGTTCATATTGTTGGCGATGCTGTACATATGATAACGCTAACGACCGACTGAAAACAATACCCGCACCACCGTAGGCATAGTAAGCTCCATGCTTTCTGATTTGCAATCTCTTAGTTGAAATATTTCCTAAATAAATTTTATCGGATGCGTTGTATTGACGAAGAACATGCAGAAGATTGTTCACAAACCAAATTGTATCATCATCGCCCACAGCAAACCATTGTATCTTCCTCCGTTCATTCTGATGACTATCACTTTCCTGTTTTTTCCAACCGTTATAGAATAATTCAAAGTATCTTTGTTCATAACGTTCCACTGGCGATGTTTGTATCTCACAAAGAACTCCTTGTTGAAGAAGAAAGTCGGTGATATTGGTATAGTTCATAAAATCCGTTTCGTGGAAAACGATAAGACAATTGATACCGGGACGAGTCGCCCAAAACTTTACATAATCAATTGTCGTAAAAATACGTTTTGTATGAGTAGTAAGAATGAATATGATGTCTTCGAGTGAATACTCGTTGGTACTATTTTCATTTAATGATGTCGATGATATCTCTCTATATTGACCAGAAAATTGTGTGAGAAGTTTGTTATTTCTATGTAATATTTGATTATCGAATATGCGTTGAATCTCTACACGAAATGTCGTTCTTATACTTTTATTCAATGCCAAAGTAACATTTGCATCATGAACAGCATGTGTTATTGGTCTAATGCCGATATTCCAGCGAAGAAAATGAAGCAGAAAAAATAGCATAATACCAGTTATGATAATGCATTTGATCCATCGTAATTTCAAAATTCTATTGATTGACCATTTTGTTTTATGTGATTGACTGACGAAGGTAATAAAACTATTGAAACAACGTTTCACTAAAAATAATTTTCGCCATTTCATTTAAACGCAACACAACAAATAAATTCGTTTTTCGTTACGTACACATGTGCCTACATGCACTGTAAAACATAGTTTCGTTCTCTTCATTCTCCAATTTTTCTTCGTGTGACTACAGCAGAAAGAGGAAAAAAGAGACTCGATAGAATTCATTCAGAGTAGGCATCGTCAAATCGACGTGTAAATCTCTGTTTATTTCAGAATATAGCACACAATCAACAACAAAAAAGAAATATATGAGTTCATAATAGATCAATTTTCCTATAATTTCCAAAACTTTGTTACGCGTGCAGCACCATTTTCCGAGACATACAGATTTAATTGTGAATCCAACGCCACACCATATGGAAGAATGAAAAAGCTACCTCCACTGCCAAATCCAGCAATCGTAATACCTGTGGTATCTCCTTTACAAAAGAGTTGAATACGCGAATTTAATGAATCAACAACATAGACGTTTTTCCACTGATCTAACGTTACACCCAGTGGTCCACTTAACTGAGTAGATGATGATCCGGAACTTCCAGCAATCCCAGCAACAATAGTACCATTCGGTGCGTTTATTCGCCACTTTGTCACTGTATGTGATCCAGTGTTAACAATGTACAAATTTTGATTAGACTCATCATAATATATACTAGTTGGATTACTTAGCTTATCTATTGTTGAGCCTACAAGTAAATTAGATAGTATAGGCTCTTGTGTAGAATGTATAAATTAACTACCTTGTCCATTGCCTCCGGCAACGATTATTCCCGTCGTCGTGCCTGGGCTCCATTTTGTTACGCGATGATTAGAGTATTCTGATGCATATACATTCGAACTCGAGTCAACCCATACCCCATACGGATTTCTCACTTGATTGAGTGTGCTTCCAGATGTACCATTGCCAGCTACTATCACGCCTGAAGATGCGCCATTTAACCAACGAATTATTCGATGATTCCCCGCATCGGCGATGTAAATTGCTTGATTTGAATCAGCATAATTAAAACGTGTACCCATTGCACTCAATTCATTCAGTCCGCTTCCCGAACTACCTCCAGCTACCAAAACTCCTGTTGCTGCACCAGGTAGATATTTTAGTGAACGAGCGTGTCCAGTATCATCGATGTATAGAGCATCGTTCGAATCGATAAATATACCGGTTGGTGAAGATAATTGATTTAGGGATGGACCTTGAGAACCATTGCCTGCATAGATAGTGCCTGTCGTATTCCAAAATATCCTCGTAACGCCTGGAAACAAAATAATAACAAACGAACTGTCACAGTTGTCGTATATAAATACATACATGGATTATTATCAGGCGTTGAATCTAATAATGACACGTGAGCGAAAGAGAAATATTCTTCATAGAATGAGGAATAAGAAATCATAAGTATATCTTACTTGAGGATGTGACGTTTGGCTTGATCAAAACAGCGAGTAGAGTTGCTACGACTGCTGTACAAAGAATAAATGCAGTAATGATCGAACATATAATAATAGAACGGGTATATCTGGAGAGGAAATCATGATGATCGAACAGAGAAAGAATCAAACAAGTACTTACTTCTTCTTTCGATTATTTTCTCTATTTTTATGATAATTATTTGTTACGCCCTTTCGATCGGTCCACTGCTCGGTAGCGAACAAATCTGGTGAACAGCGTTGATTTTCAACAGTGATTGTTTTAATTGATGAATTATCATCTTCGAACGTACACTCCCCCGCTTCGGATGGTGTAGAACGAACTTTACCAAAACTAACAGAGCTACTTATGATAGTTCTTGATTGTTGCGCAATGCTTTTTGCGATTGATTTTTCTTGTCCATGACTGCGTGCAACGGAATTCTTGCCGATCGAACGATGATTATTTTTCGATCGAATACTTGTATAAATTGTACGTGAATGCAACGTTGGTAATGACGATGACAATCGATGACGAGATATCTTGATGACTTTTGGTTGAACTTTGTGAGAATGATCGTTGAATGGTTCTATGCGACTTCGCATTGACATTTTGACAGTATGTTCCTCAATTCGAATGAAATAAAAAGAAATGCAATGTTATTTATTATTCTATGCGGCGTAATATAGATGTATGAGTATGTCTTTGGTTTCTTTTAATTAATAGAAAATTTTAATTTTCACAAATAAAAGAATTCGTTTTTGTTTCATTCGCTCGAGTTTCTTTCGACATAATCACGCCACCCATTTCATTTGTACTTGATGGTTTTTCTCCGAGGATGCCAAGTGAAGAATTGCGAACCTCATAAGAATCAATATTTTTTGTTTACTCTCAATAAACAAATTTCGAAGTAAGAAAGGAATCAGAAAGTTCTGATTAATGCAATGTCAATCGTTGTAATATTATCAGTTCTATTCAAGTTGGCAATGGACATATTCAAAAAGAGATAAGCAGATAATCTCGAGATAGAATATTTCTTCACCGGTGGGTCAGTATTGTAATTCTTTGAATGTAAATTAGCGAATAGTGAATGGAAATACAAAACGTATCATCTCACACTTTGGTAAGGTTCGAATTGAACAGAAATCGTCAGGTTTAATAAGTTTGTCAGAAACATACATGTACTCGTAATTTACGCTGAGATGTAAAAATGAGTGTGCATGCGAGCAATAGGCAGTCAAGACTAAGGTAAATATATTCCTACTAATTCTGTTTTTTTTCGCAAATAGACACATCTGATTGAAACTACACGTAGTCACACTGCCTAGAAGGTTTAGGTGTTGTCCGCTGTCTAAGGTATAACATATAGTTGAATTTATATCTATAGCTAAACTATCCTTGTTCACTTGGTACACTCTCAAACAACCATTTTCACATTCAAAGTACAACATACGTCTATCGAATCGACTCCGATCGGTACGTGTAAAGAAACTTCGTATAGTGAAATCATCTTTAAGAATCGAAATATAAGTTTTCAGAAAATATAGTGTCGTGTATTGTTATTCGCAATTACATTCATCATCGATATATTGGGTAAGTCCATTCACTACAACTACAATATTTTTGCATCAAATGTCATAATCATTAAAAGTAATTCTGATAAAAGAAACATATTCATTAGTTATTGTTGTTTGGCGCCGTTGAAAAAAGCATGAAATCCTGTGAGAATCAAGCTGATATGTAATTCAATATGAATTGTCATCGAACTTACGATAAGAAAAACTGCACCAAGTGTGACTACTTTCATTTTCACATCGAGATCTATCGGAACTATGTAAACATAGGAAATAAACATTCTGATCTTCATTCATATAGAAGACGCTCACCTTTGAGTAAAAATGCATCAGCGCTTGAAAATGCTTCTTGTAGATGACCACGATATTGCTTATAAATAGCTCCAATTTCTGTGATTCCATCTGTGCCAATCAACTAAAATTGACTTGCTTTAATAAAACTCGGCATTTTGTTTCATCTCTTCTTACAGTAAACTTATTTTCACAGCAGCATGTCAATAGTCCGTCGCAAATACATACTGGACCAACCAATGTAAACATAGTCGTATCATTTACATCTTTAATCTCAAATGTATGTCGCCAACAACTTCCTCTGAATAAAAATCAAACTAATAAAACTTCTTTGTTTTAACAATTTTAATATACTTTTGTGAGACAATTCCAATGACAACTCCCGGTGGTGATTCGACAGTTAATTCTTGCTTACAACATTGCGCATTGGCACACCAACAGCATCCTGAACAACATTTGAATTCACGTCTCATTAGAACAATATCTTGGTTAAGATTATTAACAATACGTAATGTAAAACGTCGTCTAGTTGTGCAACATAATCGTTGCCAAAATGATGATGCTATAAATTTCATAACAAATGCTGTAAATACATACTGATTTGTTAAGATAATCGACCTACTTTCTATGGCTTCAAATAGTCTTTCATTTCGTTCGTTGAAAATATCGAATTTTGCTTGCGAAGGAAAACCGCATATGACTAGTATATAGTAAAAGCACATAAAATTCATTTTCTCTGTTTAAATTATTCACTTTCAGCTATCAACGGAATTTGCTTTATTTTCAAAGTATCGATTGTTCGTAAAGCATCAAGTCCAACTGTATGACTATACGTTGGTGGTAATAAAGGAAGCATTTGATTTTCATCAACGGGATGTTTGTCTTCATTTACTTTGTCAGCCATTTGTTTTGTCAATGAATATAGAAACACGCGGCTTATAAATATCCTGACGAGAAATATTACTCGTTTGTTCTATTCCTGCCGAGTTCCACGGCGAGAAAAAATAAGAGGAGAGTGTTTATGTTACAGAAGAAAGGAGAAAAAGAGCGCTTATAGCGTTGAATATTTAGAGAAAAGGAAAAAGAAAATACATTTTAACGCAATACAAGAACATGCACTGTTATTCATTGTAACAAATCAATCTAAACAAACAAAGTGATGCATTTAAAAAGTATTTTTCATCTTCGATGTATAATTTAATTTGTTGTCAAGCGATCTTCACTATTCAATATTGATAACGCTTTCTGCCGGAAGGAAAGTGCTTGTGATTCATCGCCCATGTGTAGATATACTAAGCGTATGTTGTTGTAGCAAAAAGCTAAATCTGGATGATTTTTCGGAAGATTTTGCTGACATATTTCCAGATCTTTCTCGAAAAATAATAGAGCTTGCGAATGTTCACCCATAGCATGATACACCGAGCCAATATTGTTGTACGAAGTAGCTAAGTTCGGGTGGTTAGCTGGAAGAGATTTTTCACAAATACTCACAGCTTTCGTGTAGAAGGAAAGAGCTTGAGAGTAGTTTTTCGTGCTTTGATGCACTGAAGCTATGTTGTTGTAACAAGTAGCCAAACTGTGTTGATTCGTAGGGTTCATATTTTCTTGAATATCGAGAGCTTTTTCGAGATAGGAGAGCGCTTTAGAGTACTCCGCTGTCTGGTCGTAGGCCAAACCGATATTGTTGTACGACATGGCTAAATCAGGATGATTTGAAGGAAGAGTTTTCTGTTGAATGAGAAGAGCTTTCTCATAGAATGCAAGCGCTTCAGCATTTCGATTCATATTAGCGTAAACTAAACCCATGTTATTGTAGGAGATGGCGATATCGGGATGATCTTCAGGAAGAGCTTGTCGACGAATATTAAGAGCTTTTTCATAGAAGAAGAGCGCTTGTGAGTAGTTTCCCATATTTTTGTGCACCACACCGACATTATTGTATGAAGTAGCTAGATTCAGACGACTCTCGGGTAGATTGGCTTCGAAAATAGTCAAAGTCTTTTCATAACAGGAAAGTGCTCGAGAATGATCATTTATATCACTATACACGGAAGCAAGATTATTGTAGGAGACAGCTACGTCGAGATGATCTGAACGAAAACAGACGAGAGCTGCTTCAAGAGCTTTTTCAAGATGCACGAGTGCTTGAGTATACTCTCCTGTATTTTTATAGAGTAATCCAATATTGCTCCACAGGCAGACCAAGTTTGGATGATGATGATAATCAGGCAGATTTTCTTGATAAAGCAAAAGCGCTTTTTCGTAATACATGAGCGCCTGTGCATAATGACCCATAAGATCGTCTACCGAAGCGAGATTATTGTAACTAACGGCTAGATCAAAACGATCGACATAAGGGAGTTTTTGTTTAATGTCAAGGGCTTTTTCGAACAAGGAACGTGCTTGGGAATACGAGCCCATGTTCTTGTGTACCGAAGCAATGTTGTTGTAAGAAACAGCTACGTCGAGATGACANTTTATTGTAATTTAACATTAGTCGGCAAAGATTTCAATACGAACGCATTCGGAATTGTTTTTCAGAAAAATTGGCAGTACAAAAATATATTCGACAAAGCGGTTTTATTATTAAGAGAATCCGGGGATATTGACGAATTAAAACGAAAATGGTTTAAAACAACCGTTTGTTCAGAAACGGTGCAAACAACGTCTCAAGCAATGACCATCGAATCCATGGCGGGCTTATTTGTTACATTCATAATCATCAGTCTACTCGCGATTATTGTATGTTTATGGAAACATAGATCATGTCTCAATTTAGCATATGTCAAAAAGTTTTTTCTGAAACGAAATATGTACAAAGAGAAGCATTCAACAGAAATTTTCCGTACGAATCCAACGACTGTAGAAAAGTCCTTATTTTGAATATCGATGGCCTGCCATGCTCGATGTAACTTGAAAAGCGAATGTAATTCTTTTTGTAAATAAATGACATTGACTGTGTGTTCAATATTAGATCGAGTGCTGTTAGAGTTATGCAAGTAGTAAATCAAGTTTAATTATCTTCCCTGCAACATCTGCACGAGACACCTGTCTGTGCAAGTCATGTAGTGCATTTCGAGGATACATAAGACACATCACTGGTTTTGAAAGATTAAACTCGACAGTATTTATTCGAATTAATCCTTGAGCGCGTAGTAGTAGTTCAGACTTTTCGACGCAGAAAGAATTACTTGATCGATATGCTATTTCTTTTCGTGAAATCATTTATATAGAATTCAGAGAGTTTCCTATTTTGTTCAAACGACCTGTGACATATAAATGAATATATGCTCATTATTCCAGTTCATTTAACTCGTGTTTTTTTTTGTCTTTAAATAGAAGCGGATTTAGAGCATTTCAGATCTTATTCGTTCTGAAAAAACTTAAAATAGGTTGTAGATTATCGAGTGCTTTGTCATGTCATTAGCGTATCTAAGTCAACAAACAACTATCTATGTAGGACTGTTTCTCATTGTTACGGGTGTCATAGGAAACAGTTTAAATGTCTTCGTGTTTTCAACTGTTCGTTTGTATCGAAGAAATCCTTGTACGTTTTATTTCCTAATCCGTTCGATTGACAACATTGGTTTCATTCTGGTTAATCTGACCGTACGGATTATTAGTGTTGGCTATGGATATGATCTGACTCGTACGTCTGTTGTTTGGTGTAAAATTCGACAATATATCCTGCTTATTCTTGGTTTAATTTCATTTATGTTATCGTGCTTAGCTGTCATCGATCAATTCCTCGCAACGTCAAGAAATGCTAATTTACGTCGTGTGAGCAACATATCGTGGGCACACCGAATTGTATGTCTAGTGCTGATTTTCTGTTGTTTGTATGGAATACCTGCTCTTATATTCGTTGATATTTCACCGAGTCTCAAACTCTGCATGATTGCCAACGCTAACTACGCAATTTATATTTCAATACATGTTCTCAGTTTTACTTGCATTATTCCAGTGTTGGTAACGGTTATTTTTGGATATTTGACATATCGTTCCATCCATTCGACACGAGCCCTTGTAGAGCAGCAAGTTGATCGACAGTTAGTGCGTATGGTCTTCTCTGAAGTTGCAATTATCGTTGTATCCATTACTCCATATGGCGTCAACACAGTTTATAGTTTAATCACAAGTCGTATGGCAAAGGACACAAATCAGTTGTCTATAGAATCATTCGTCTCGACAATTACCAGTTTGTTATGCTATTTTTATTACACAGTATGTTGAAATATCTCCGCATGTTTACATAGTTGTCTCTGATTGTTATTTTTTAGGGAAGTTGCTATTTGTTTTTGCTTTCATCAAGTCGGTTTCGTCAAGCAGTCCAAAATCGAGTCTTGTTCTGGAAAAAAGACAGAATAATATATCCATCCAGAGCTCTTGTTACTATGAAAAAGGTCACATTGACGATGGAGAGGTGAACCGGTTACTCGACATTTCATTTATTTTTTCTTTGTTATATCTGTTGTAGAATTACATGTTTCAAAATGCGTTTTTCTTTCTAATTCATACGTTTTGCGTCAGAGCTTGGTCTAATAACTTTTTAATAGATTTCAGTAATTACAAGCCCTGATGAATTTGTTGCCATTTCAGTTCGATGTATGTTGTTGAAGAATATGACGTAAAATATTATCTATGTCAACATTCACGACGAAAGTGCTTCGAATGTATACAAGAAAGCGGCCGAAAAGAGAATTAATTTAAAAAAAAGAATAGTATCTATGACATATTTTTATATTAATAACTTTCTCGAGTATTCTCTTCCGTACATAATAGATTTTCTTAGCCATCATTTCCAGTTGCTAAACATATTTACATTCACGGGAGTATATGCGTATTCTGCACTGATTTGTTTATCATTTCTAAAACAACATCAAAAGATCATTCATTTCACGTGAAGCGTTCTCGAATAAAATATGGACGAGCTGTATATTTAAGAATCTGAGCCGCTTCGAGTGTGTTGAGCTAGGACATCAACATTTTTCTAGTTTTGGAAAAATTTAAAATATTTGTTGTTTTTTAAAACTATACAAAACAACTAAACTATCCACCTAGAATGATGAATCTTCTAAAGCTGCTTTGGATAATAACTAGCATTGTTTCGGGTTCCTCGATTTTTATTGGGTCAATATCTAACACAACATTCACAGCATCGAACATAATTGAAACATTGTACAACTTAACTTGTCAACAATGTACGTGTGAAGCTTTGAATATATCGGTCGTTGGATGGAATTATTTTACCTTAAATAACACTTGTCAATTGATTGGTAATTACACAGTAAATGATCCTGGACTTATAACTTCGACACATTCCATATTTTTCTTCCGACAAATTCCGTATGAACCGACTTCGACTACAAGTAAATACAGTAGTATTCAACTTAGCGTAATATTTTTAATTATTTGAGCTCAGTTCGCATTAGCTTCTTCCTTTTCATTCCCTTTTATTGTAACACTCTTCTCATCTATGATTGAAGATTTACTGATAGGAAATTTATTTCGTTCTGTTGTAGCCTCATCGACGACATCCACATCAACTTCCACGTCCAGCTCTACCTCAACGTCATCCACGTCAACCTCAACCTCGACTTCCACCTCAACAACGTCCACATCAACCTCCACGTCCAGCTCTACCTCAACAACATCCACGTCAACCTCAACCTCGACATCCACTTCAACAACGTCCACGTCGACTTCCACGTCCAGCTCTACCTCAACGTCATCCACGTCGACCTCAACCTCGACATCCACTTCAACAACATCCACATCAACTTCCACGTCCAGCTCTACCTCAACATCAACCACGTCAACTTCAACCTCAACCTCTACTTCTTCTTCGACAACTTCGACAACAACATGTGAGTTTCAAGAAAGACTGATTTTCATCTTAATTTGAATCGATCCGATATTTAAATATTTTGAATAGCGCCGTCATGTTCAATTCCATCTACAACAGGACAGATTTTCAGTTTTAATTCTGGTTCCGCTGGACTACAAAGTTACACGTTCAACACATATACATTTGTTGCTAGTAATTCTTTCGCCACCTTAACTTTTGTTATAAAAGGCGAAAGAGATGGTCAACACAAATATTGGTTACTAGATGACATATCAGTGACCTATGTGAGTACGGGCACTAATGTATTAGCGAATGGTGGTTTTGAAACGGGGAATCTATCCAATTGGACACAGTTCTGTGCGACAAATACTAATTGTCAAGGATCGAACGATCGATATGGCCAAATTACAGGATCGAGCTGCCGTACAGGATCATTTTGTTACGTTGACAAATGCGAGAATTACGATTATCTGGTTCAATCATTTCCCACTGTCAGTGGAGGACAGTATATTATAAATTTCTATTTGAAACTTAACAATAACGGTGGTACAGATCGATATGTCTACGTATTGTTGAACACTTGAACAAACTATGTCTTTTGAGTAATAATGTCTCGTTTTCAATTCTACTTTTCATTTGTCTAATAAAAACCATTTTTCTTCGTCTTCATTAATAAAATGAGTTCGCGGCGTTTACTATAGTTCTGAATATTGGAAGTGATGATGTGTAATAAAAATAAATACACGTGCTTTTTCTTCATCAAGACTCATGTCATTGATAAGTCATTCTTTTCATATATCTGTAATCAACCGTTGTAGGTAGATAGTCATTTGCTGTCTTTGTCTACCATGTACATCATCGGTGTTGATGTAGGTGGAACAAATACAGGTAAAACTTTGTTGTACTTTGATGAAATTTGTATTTTCGGAATTTTTGTCTATCAGATGCGGTTCTCATACGAATCGAGTCGGGAATTTGTGAGTGAATGCGGTATATTTTGTTTGCGTTGTTAAACCTTTCTTTCTTACACATTAATATAGCGCCAGTAGTCGTAGCCACGAATAAAACAACGACGACTGCCGATGTATTTTCTGGCATGCTTCATTCTGTTCGACAAGTCGTTCAAGATGTTGAAGTAACTGCGGTGATGGCTGGCACGACTCACTTCATCAATGCTCTTATTCAACGACGAAATCTTGCAAAAGTATGCATCTTGCGTCTCTGTGGACCAGCTACGCATTCCCTTCGGCCGATGTCCAACTGGCCAGATGATTTGAGGCAACAGGTAAAACACGATACATATTCAGTTTTTCTCCGAGACAAAAGATATCACATAGGTTGATGGTATAACAGCACTCGTTTCTGGTGGATATTTCTATGATGGATCGCCCATTGCCTCTTTGGATGAAGAGGAGATTCGTGGGATTGTTCGACAAGCTCTTGCAATGAATATTCAGTCGTTTTGTGTTTGTGGTGTGTTTTCTCCATGTCGATCCGATCAAGAGAAACGTGTTGCGGAAATCATCCGTGAAGAATCGCCGGATGTGTACATTACAGTTTCGCACGAAATCGCTGGTCTCGGTTTGATTGAACGCGAAAATGTATCGATCCTCAATGCGTGTCTTCGTCCATTAGCACTTCGTACAATGAAAGCATTAAAACAGGCACTCCCAAATGGTTTGCCATTATTTCTCACCCAAAATAACGGCACTCTATTATCATTGGAACAGTGCGCTCGTTTACCTGTTTTCACTTTTGCAAGTGGATGAACGAGTGCGATGATTGGTGCAGCACACCTAACAGGTATACAGAATGGCATTGTTATTGATATAGGAGGCACATCAACGGATATCGGAGTAATTATTAATGGTCGCCCAAGACAAACACACGCAGTTAGTTTCATATTCAGTGTTCATTTCGTATTTAAACTGATTTTCGTTTTTTTCGTCATCAGAAAGTTTATCTAGTCGACGAAATTCGTGTAAATGTGAGCATGCCTGACGTAGTTTCGTTACCCTTGGGAGGTGGTACAGTCATCCATATTGATGAAGATAACGATACGATTTGTGTTGGACCTGATAGTGTAGGATATGAATTACATACAAAAGGATTGGCTTTTGGCGGTCAAACGATGACTACTGCTGACATAGCGCTAGCCGCTGGATTGATTACGAAAGTGAGTTCATTCGTCTCCTTCGATATAAATACTATGAAGTTTAATTATAGATAGGCCATTCAACTGTAGAAATACCAGCATCAGTAATTCAAAAAGTACTTGATCACATCAAAAGTACAATCAATCGAGGAATTGACCGAATGAAAACGAATCAAGAACCAGTACCTGTCATTCTTTGCGGCGGAGGATCAATCCTTATTGATATCAAAGAATCATTTGCTGACGTCACAGAGGTATCGGTTTTACTCTGCTTTTCGTTTTCAAGACCTTCTAAATAGCATCTATTCTGCTTTAGATTATTCGTCCACCTCATTTTGCAGTGTGTAACGCTGTCGGCGCTGCTCTCTGTTCAGTGAGTGGTACCATTGAGTCAATTGTCGATCTTTTACCTTCGTCCATGGATGGAGGATTTCAACGTAAATTTGAACTTGATCGATTGACGCAGGCTGTTCAACAACAATGTGTACAGAATGGTGCGCGTCCAAATACAATTCGATTAGTCGATATAGAACAAGTTCCTTTGACATATTATCCAGGTGGATACAAACATCGAGTTCTGCTTAATGCTATTGGCGAGCTCGATCTGATGAAATTAAAAGAGCAACATCAAGAAACTACAGAGCATTTTTCGTTAACAGATATGTCACAAGATTTACCGAAAACCCGCCAGTCACTGAAGTATGCAGTGATAGCAAATAAACAACCGAGATTTGATGAAGACGGTGCATGGATCATTGATTCGACTGATATCGAGTACATTGCGTATGGTGTCGGCATATTAGGTTGCGGTGGTGGTGGCGAATCATATCATACGAAATTATCGTGTTTAGAAATGTTAAAGACGACTAATGGTAAGATGCGTGTCATACCGCCAGCTGTACTTCATCCATCGTCTGATTTGGCAGCCGTTATTGGCTTTATGGGTGCACCAACAGTCTCACACGAACAGTTGCCGAGTGGTAATGAATGTTTATTGGCTATCGATACTATTGAAAAGTACCTTTCGAAGAAAATAACAGCTGTATTTAGCGCCGAGATGGGCGGCGCAAACGGCCTCCGGAATTTATTAGTTGGAGCGGTAAAAAATATACCCTGTGTCGATTGTGACAATATGGGACGTGCATTTCCAAGACTTGATCAGAAACTACCATTTATTCTTGGCCAGAGCGTCACACCTGCGTGCATGTGTGATGTTCGTGGACGGACAGTCTTATATACAGAAGAGATGATTAAAGACGCGCATGAATTGGAGGATGTTTTAAGAAAAGAATGCATTAAGATGGGCCTAAGAGGAGGATTATGTATGCCACCCTTAACTGGCGAACAAGTTCAGAAATATTCAATACACAATAGTCTGTCTCGTGCATGGTTCTTGGGTAAGTTCGTGATTACTTAATTACCGTATAAAAATGAATAAAACTAGGTCGAGCAAAGTTCAGTCACCAAAGAGACGTGATCAGAGCAGTGGTAAGAGCAGGCAATGGTCGTATTCTAATATCGGATGGTAAAGTAACAAATGTCGAACGATACACTAGCTCTGGCTTTGCTCGAGGCCATGTTGAGATCGAAACGACTGCAGGAAAACTAATAACTATTGATTTTCAAAATGAAAACTTAGTAGCTCGATGTGGCGATGAAATTCTTGCTAGTGTTCCCGATCTAATCACTTTAGTTGAACAAGATTCCGGTGAACCATTGTCAACAGAGACTGTGAAATACGGTTGTCGTGTCTCGGTGCTTCTTCTCCCGGCACCAGAATCAATGACAACACCGCAAGCACTGAAATATGTTGGACCTGCTGTTTTTGGTTATAATCATGAGTTTGACATGCAATTGTTACCTCGCTCTGCAATTCAGTCTGTATGGGATGTGTATTACAAAAAATCTTCTGCGTAATTCGAATGGTTGGAGCTATTTTTCAATGATTTTCCTCTTCAATAAATTTCATGCACACGTATACTAGATCTTTTAGTCTAGACTATATTTTGACTGCAGTCTCTTATATCTCGTCTATACAAGCTTAGGTCAGTTTCAGCTACAGCCTTTATCCATCAAAATATCATTTAGTATCGTTTCTGAAATGGAAGTGGATAAATGTCTGTTTACTATACATTATAATTACATCAGTGAGTAGGTGCGCAAGTTCTCAATCAGGTGATCTTGAAAGTGAGAAGGCAACTTTAATACTGGAATATTGATCATTACTACCAACTGTTCTTTCGTAAATCATTTCATATCTGATACCGTCGATACAAGTCTCATTGATAAGTTGTTGGAAATACCAGGTCGTCTTGTTTGTTTCTTCTGGCCGAAAGCTTCGATCAATCATCTCATCACAGCACCATGTTCTTTCCACCATGGATAAATCTTCGGTAGTTAGAATGCGATTGACCACACTGACTGAATGGCCCATAGTTAACAGCACGCTTTGATTCGTGTCATGATTAACGTAAAAATATCTTTTTAGAAAGGATTTGTCGAAGATAGAATAGGCAGTATTTAAACGACGCACTGCTTCTTCTGTATTGTTCATGTTTAAAATAGGATACGGTTTCCAGTGACTAGACATGTGGTGCAAAGTGACTAACCCATTCACTCCACTTTCCAGCATACCAAGCATGTTTCCATAGTGATCCATCTGATGGAAATGGTGTTCTCTCGTTAGATTCACTCCTAACTCTTCAACAACACATTTACCAATCATTTCATCCCCGCCGAATGAAGCGTAGAATCGGTCACATTGTTGGCGATGTTGCACGTATGATAATGCCAACGATCGACTCAAAAGGATGCCTGCACCACCATAGCCGAAGAACGCGCCATGTCGTTTAAGTATAAACTTTTTAGTAGACGTGTTTCCCAAATAGATTGCGTCTGACGAGTTGTATTGACGAAGAACATGCAGAAGATTGTTCACAAACCAAATTGTATCATCATCTCCCACGGCGAACCATTGTATTCGTCTTCGTTCATTCTGATGACTATCGCTTTCCTGTTTCTTCCAACCATCATAGAATAATTCAAAATATCTTTGTTCATAACGTTCCACCGGCGACGTTTGTATCTCACAAAGAACTCCTTGTTGAAGAAGAAAGTCGGTGATATTGGTATAGTTCATAAAATCCTTTTCGTGGAAAACGATAAGACAATTAATACCGGGACGAGTCGCCCAAAACTTTAGAAAATGTATCGTCGTGAGAATCCGTCTCGCATGCGTAGTAATAAGGAACAAGATTTCTTCGAGCATGTATTCGTGAGTACTGTAATTCGTTGCTGATATGGATGATATTTCTCTGTATTGACCAGAAAATTGTGTGAGAAGTTTGTTATTTCTATGTGATATTTGATTATCGAAGATGTTCTGAATCTCAACAATTACAGCTCCCGGTGCAGTATGATTCCGTGTTGTTATGTTGCTCTTGTTAAGAAAATTACTTTGCATCAGCTTAGCATCATTAACTAGGATTTGAAAATAGAATATAATACAGATAATAGTACCAAGTACCATTAGCCATCGTGATCTCCATCGTTTTCTTGCGCTGGGTTGAGTAAAAAAGAAAGTCAGTCGGTTGCTACAACGCCTCAGTAGAAAAATTTTCGCCATTCCATTAACGTACGATAAATTCTTACTGATACAATCAGCTAAAACGCGAGTTTAATCAATCAATGGAATTTTTATTGACGCGTATGAATATAGAAAAATGTGTACACCATTTCACTCGTGTGACCATACTTACCTTCATACTCTATTTATTTAAACAGTCCATACCTCTCGTTTGAAACAGTTGAATTCTCTTTCGTCTGTTTCGTTAGAAACGAAAGGAGAAAAATGGTCGAGATTTTTTCGTCATTTCAACGCTGTTTTTTTTTACACAGATGGTTTTAATGGTTTCGTATAAAAACAGGAAGATTTAAATCGAAATTTAATATGTGTATTTCTCAGTCTATAAATGTATCGTGAGACGTACGTATTTCAGTATCGTTCAAACTGATTGTGATTGCACTACGATAAGCATTCATACTGATGCTTGGCAAAGACACACTTAGTGATTGTTTTCATTCATCAAAGCGATTTGTTCCTCCGGGACTTCGTAAAAGCCGAGTCGATTAGGATAGAAAAGAGAACCATTAGGCATAGTCGAATGTTTATTTCTTTTATTCTGCATTTTTGCATTTCATAAGTGAACTTATCATAGAACAAAAACACAAAAGAAAAATAATCGATTTGTGTCAACCATTTCAACTATGATATACTATTAATTTAACCGTTGGTGCATCATTGTGAGGGGCAGAAACCGGAACCTTTGTGAGCGCAGACACGTAATGCAACATCATCGATGACGATGTCATTGCCGCTACCGCCACGTGCATTTGAAATCATTAAGAGATTTACTGAGCTTTTCGTTGCGACGAACGAAAAACCGTACTTCTTCCAAGCCAATGTACTGGTTTCAGGAACATTGCCTGAATTCAATTGAGCAAGTAATTCATTTCCATCGACGGAACGAACTTCAAAGAGAACGTTTGGTTCGATTTTGCATGATTTTTTACAGAGATTAGCCAAGTAAACCGAAAATTCGTAACGCAGACCGACGCATAAATTGTCGACTCTGCCATTGTAAAATTGGCCTGGCTCAAAGTTTGCATTGACTAAATACATGTATCCACCTTCGTCTCCTGTATGATCTTTTGCGCCAGTATGCCAAGCATCATTATGATTGTAAATGGAGTTGAGCAAAGCAAAGTGACCATCATGTATGGCTGGTTCTCGTCGTTGTTTATATGTTGTAGTAAAATTGAATTCAGATGGTAAGGCAGAAGAAAACTGACGCGAACCCTTTCCAAATGTGACTTTTAGAATTGGTTCTCCAACAAATTCGTCGTTATCAAAGCATAAACCAGTTGATTCTAAAACGAAAGGAAGACAAGATAGAAAATACAGATATCGAACGCAAAGATCTTCAATACGTACGAACTTCACATAGTGAACCACTAAAGCCTTCTGGACAACTACAAACATTGTCGCCGATGCAACTGCCGCCATTTTTACATACAGTATTGCAAACAGCTAAAATCATAGAAATACAGTTGAGAAAAGCTACGTCTTTTCAATACAAAATTAAATCAATTATGTCAGAGTTTAGTGTACCAATTAAAAACCTCCAACGTTAATAAAAAATAGTCGTCGATTCATCAAGCATGCTTGTGAACGTATTTTGAATAGGGCTATCAAACTTACGATATACTTGTGTTGTTTCCTCCACGATCGCTGCAAGTAATTCTTCAGGTGTTGTCGTCATTGGTTCTTCGGTTGTCATCACTGGCTCTTCAGTTGTTGTTGACATTGGTTCTTCAGTTGTCGTCACTGGTTCTTCGGTTGTTGTCGTCATTGGTTCCTCAGTTGTTGTTGACATTGGTTCTTCGGTTGTTGTCGTCATTGGTTCTTCGGTCGTTGTCGACATTGGTTCTTCGGTTGTGGTCACTGGTTCTTCAGTTGTTGTCGACATTGGTTCTTCAGTTGTTGTTGACATTGGTTCTTCGGTTGTGGTCATTGGTTCTTCGGTTGTTGTCGACATTGGTTCTTCGGTTGTGGTCATTGGTTCTTCAGTTGTTGTCGACATTGGTTCTTCGGTTGTTGTCACTGGTTCTTCAGTTGTTGTTGACATTGGTTCTTCGGTTGTCGTCATCGGCTCTTCGGTCGTTGTCGTCATTGGTTCTTCAGTTGTTGTTGACATTGGTTCTTCGGTCGTTGTTGTTCCTTGAGTAGTTGTTGTAACCGATGGCATTTTTGTTGATCTTTCTGTTTTTAACGACAGAAATGTATGAAAAGATTTATTGTGAACACATACGTGTTTTGAGACATTGAAAAATATTAATAGACTTACTAGGATACTATCTTTTTAGTTGTAACATAGTAACTAAAACTCATACACGCTAACATAAGGATCGGACTTATCTATAGTTTTAAAAAATTGCTCTCCTGGATGTATATAAAAGTGGTTAAATCTGCGGATAAGTCTCACAAGCTAGAAAACAAATCCGTAAGACAAACTGCACACATGTTCCATTTTCTAGCACGCAGTCTTGAAAATTAAATAGGTTATATATCTCGAGTGTGTGTATTTTTTCTACGTGTCACTATCTGATCCAAAGCGTCAGTCATCTCATTAAATAAAGGTGAGGAACTGAACTGTAAAGTAAAAAGCATGATATTAACGTAAAGTTATAAACGTATTTATTTATATATATATTATACCAATTACAGTACTTACGAGCACATCTGTTATCCTTATTGCAGAATCCGCTTGCACAATCACGATCAGCCCGACACTTCTTCTTATCAGCACATGGTGGACAACGCTTACCTCCACAATCGATATCAGTCTCTTGTTTGCTAATTTTTCCATTCATGCACTTTTTATCTAAAAATGGAAAATACGTGGAATTCTCAAGTCTTCACATCTAAAATTGTCATTCTTGCTCTCGATTATCACCGTATCTACAGCAAAAGACATAGTAAAATTAGTCTTCTTACTTTTCTTTTTTGGTGGTTCTTTCTCTTTAGAATGGTCGTGTTCTTCGGAATGGGAATGTTCGCGTTCCTTGGAGTGATCGTGCTCTTCAGAATGAGAATGTCCACGTTCCTTGGAGTGGTCGTGTTCTTCGGAATGGGAATGTCCACGTTCCTTGGAATGGTCGTGTTCTTCGGAATGAGAATGTTCACGTTCCTTGGAGTGGTCGTGTTCTTCGGAATGAGAATGTTCACGTTCCTTGGAGTGGTCGTGTTCTTCGGAATGAGAATGTCCACGTTCCTTGGAGTGGTCGTGTTCTTCGGAAGGGGAATGTCCACGTTCCTTGGAGTGGTCGTGTTCTTCGGAATGAGAATGTTCACGTTCCTTGGAGTGGTCGTGTTCTTCGGAATGAGAATGTCCACGTTCCTTGGAGTGGTCGTGTTCTTCGGAATGGGAATGTCCACGTTCCTTGGAGTGGTCGTGTTCTTCGGAATGAGAATGTCCACGTTCCTTGGAGTGGTCGTGTTCTTCGGAATGAGAATGTTCACGTTCCTTGGAGTGGTCGTGTTCTTCGGAATGAGAATGTCCACGTTCCTTGGAGTGGTCGTGTTCTTCGGAATGAGAATGTCCACGTTCCTTGGAGTGGTCGTGTTCTTCGGAATGGGAATGTCCACGTTCCTTGGAATGGTCGTACTCTTCGGAATGAGAATGTTCTTTGGAATTTGACTCATCTTTTGATGATACTTTGTCGTGTTTAGGTCTTGCCATACATTGCCAACAGCAAATCGTCAACAGAAGTATTCCGACACAACTTAAACATACGAAAGAAAAGCGTTGTGCATTATTCAAGTTCAATGAAACTGAGTGATCTCTGGTCTCTGCTTTAGCTGGTGAACTGTAGACATATCTCAAATTATAACGAACATTGATAAAGATCAATGCAATGCTTTTATGTAAAACATTCCTTTCGATATATGATGATCTGGATGAAAGTTTACACTCTCGCTCATTTTCGGTACGCCTAGAATATTAAAAAGTTATTACTATAATGTCAAACGCATCGTTGGAAAGTTGAATTGAACGAAACAGAAACAGTCGAAATGATTACCACTTGATCAGCTAAATAGAATGAAGTCAGGAACCATACAAAAGCAACGTTTGAAAGCAGTAGATAGCTCTATTCTACAGAAGCGTAGAACTAACTACAAAGAAAGTGACTTACCTGATTGTTGTTTGGAGAGGTGATTCTCGCAACAAAAAAATGATATACGGCCTTTACTTCTTCGGTGATATTTATACTGGCAGGTTATTCTACATTTTCGTAGATTTATTTTATTGATATACAGTCGTATCACTGCTCTCTCTTGTAATTGACTCTATTAATCTATGGAAACGAAAAACCATCCTCACATCCTGAAGGATTAAAAAAATAATAAACACATTTGAGATATTTTTGGCTTCTACAGAATTTTTCGAGAATCTTTTGTGTATTTCATATATACGGGGAAATATTTCAATGTCCACAAATCCGTTTGTTCTAAGTAGATTGGTCACCGATTGAGCATTATACTGAAACTTTTAACAATGCCATATTCTCAAATACTCCTGTTAATTTATATTTGCTTTCCGAGTTCTATTGAAGAGTCAATAACAAATTAAAAGACGTCATATCGTAGTATTTTCATCTTGATCGTCGGTATCTGCTAATCACTATCAATATCGAATTTTATGGGGAAAACAATAAGATATATTTACCAATGAGAAAAAGCAATTAGCTTTTCTTTTATTCTTTCAAAAGACTCGAATGATTGCTGTTTTCATCGAAGTATTAAAAACACGTATTTTGATTGAAATAAAATCAATACTGTAGATTAAAACAGCGTCAAAAAAACAGGCACGCACTTTAAAAAATAACCTATATGCATGCATATACGTATATCATAATTGTACTTATAATTATCAAATATAAGGCGCACATCGTACGCGGATGAATTAATTTGTTAACGAAGTGATCCCGTGGGCAATGCAACAAGAGAATTGTATAATTAGTGGAATGGCTAAACAAATGATCGAAGAAAGTCTCGTTCGTCGATGTCACTCGATTGATGGATCACTCTTTGATTGTTACTTTTATAGTTGAGTAAAGATCACTCTGACGCTTTTTACCTTCGTAAATCATTACATATTTGACACCGTCGATACAGGTCTCATTGATAAGTCGTTGAAAGTACCAAGTCGTCTTATTTCTTTCTGCTGTCCGAAATCTTCGATCCATCATCTCATCACAACACCAGGTTTGTTCAACGAATGATAAATCTTCACCAGTCAAGATGCGATTGAATATACTGATTGAATAACCTAGAGTTAACAGCACGCTTTGATTCATCTCACGATTGATGTAAAGATATCTTTTCAGAAAGGATTTGTCGAAGGTAGAATAGGCAATATTGAAACGGCGCATTGTCTCACTCACCAGATCAATCTGAACGTCAGAAAATGGTCTCCAACTTTTGAATACATGATGCAAAGTAACCAAACCATCCATTCCACTTTCCATCAAACCAAGCATATTTCCTAAATGATCCATCTGATGGAAATGATGATCTCTCGTTAGATTCACTCCTAACTCTTCAACAACACATTTACCAATCATTTCATCCCCACCATATGTGTAGTAAAATCGTTCACATTGTTGGCGATGCTGTACATATGATAACGCTAGCGACCGACTGAAAACAATACCTGCACCACCGTAGGCATAGTAAGCACCATGTTTTTTGATTTGCAATCTCTTAGTTGAAATATTTCCTAAATATATTTTATCGGTTGAGTTATGTTGACGAAGAACATGCAGAAGATTGTTCACAAACCAAATTGTATCATCATCGCCCACAGCAAACCATTGTATTCGTCTTCGTTCATTCTGATGACTATCGCTTTCCTGTTTCTTCCAACCATCATAGAATAATTCAAAATATCTTTGTTCGAAACGCTCCACTGGCGATGTTTGTATCTCACAAAGAACTCCTTGTTGAAGAAGAAAGTCGGTGATATTGGTATAGTTCATAAAATCCTTTTCGTGGAAAACAATAAGACAATTAATACCGGGATGAGTCGCCCAAAACTTTACATAATCAATTGTCGTAAAAATACGTTTTGTATGAGTAGTAAGAATAAATATGATATCTTCGAGTGAATACTCGTTGGTAATATTTTCATTTAATGATGTCGATGATATCTCTCTGTATTGACCAGAAAATTGTGTGAGAAGTTTGTTATTTCTGTGTGATATTTGATTATCGAATATGCGTTGAATCTCTACATGAAATGTCGTTCTTATGCTTTTATTCAATACCAAAGTAACACTTGCATCATGAACAGCATGTGTCATTGATCGAATACCAATAATCCGGCGACGAAAATGAAGCAGGAAAAATAGCATAATACCAGTTATGATAATACATTTGATCCATCGTAATTTCAAAATCCGATTGATTAGCCATTTTGTTTTATATGATTGACTGGCAAAGGTAATAGAACCATTGAAACAACGTTTTACTAAAAATAATTTCTGCCATTTCATTTAGACGCAACACACCAAATAAATTTGTTTGTCGTTACGCACACATGTGCCTACATGCACTGTAAAACGTAGTTTCGTTCTCTTCATTCTCGAATTTTTCTTCGTGTGACAAGAACAGAAAGAGGAAAACAGAGACTCGATAGAATTCATTCAGAGTAGGCATCGTCAAATCGACGTGTAAATCTGTGTTTATTTCAGAATATAGCACACAATCAACAACAAAAAAGAAATATATGAGTTCATAATAGATCAATTTTCCTATAATTTCCAAAATTTTGTTACGCGTGCAGCTCCATTTTCTGAGACACACAAATTTAATTGTGAATCCAACGCCACACCGTATGGAAGAATGAAAAAGCTACCTCCACTGCCAAATCCAGCAATCGTAACACCTGTGGTATCTCCTTTACAAAAAAGTTGAATACGCGAATTCAATGAATCAACAACATAGACGTTTTTCCACTGATCTAACGTTACACCCAATGGTCCACTTAACTGAGTAGATGATGATCCGGAACTTCCAGCAATCCCAGCAACAATAGTACCATTCGGTGCGTTTATTCGCCACTTTGTCACTGTATGCGATCCAGTGTTAACAATGTACAGATTTTGATTAGACTCATCGTAATATATACTAGTTGGATTATTTAGCTTATCTATTGTTGAGCCTACAAGTAAATCAGATAGTATAGGCACTTGTGTAGAATGTATAAATTAACTACCTTGCCCATTGCCTCCGGCAACGATTATTCCCGCCGTCGCGCCTGGACTCCATTTTGTTACGCGATGATTAAAGTATTCTGATGCATATACATTCGAACTTGAGTCAACCCATACCCCATACGGATTTCTCACTTGATTGAGTGTGCTTCCAGGTGTACCATTGCCAGCCACTATCACGCCTGAAGATGCGCCATTTAACCAACGAATTATTCGATGGTTCCCCGCATCGGCGATGTAAGTTGCTTGATTTGAATCAGCATAATTAAAACGTGTACCCATTGCACTCAATTCATTCAGTCCGCTTCCCGAACTACCTCCAGCTACCAAAACTCCTGTTGCTGCACCAGGTAGATATTTTAGTGAACGAGCGTGTCCAGTATCATCGATGTATAGAGCATCGTTCGAATCGATAAATATACCGGTTGGTGAAGATAATTGATTTAGGGATGGACCTTGAGAACCATTGCCTGCATAGATAGTGCCTGTCGTATTCCAAAATATCCTCGTAACGCCTGGAAACAAAATAATAACAAACGAACTGTCACAGTTGTCGTATATAAATACATACATGGATTATTATCAGGCGTTGAATCTAATAATGACACGTGAGCGAAAGAGAATATTCTTCATAGAATGAGGAATAAGAGATCATAAGTATATCTTACTTGACGATGTGACGTTTGGCTTGATCAAAACAGCAAGCAGAGTTGCTACGACTGCTATACAAAGAATAAATGCAGTAATGATCGAACATATAATAATAGAACGGGTATATCTGGAGAGGAAATCATGATGATCGAACAGAGAAAGAATCAAATAAGTACTTACTTCTTCTTTCGATTATTTTCTCTATTCTTATGGTAATTATTTGTTACGCCCTTTCGATCGGTCCACTTCACAGCACTGAACAAATCTGGTGAACAGCGTTGATTTTCAACAGGGTCTGTTTTAATTGAAGAACTATCATCTTCAAAAGTGCACTCCCTCGCTTCGGATGGTGTAGGACGAACTTTACCAGAACTAACAGAGCTACTTATGATAGTTCTTGATTGTTGCACAATGCTTTTTGAGATTGATTTTTCTTGACCATGACTGCGTGCAACGGAATTCTTGCCGATCGAACGATGGCTATTTTTCGATCGAATACTTGTATGAATTGTACGTGAATGCAACGTTGGTAATGACGATGACAGTCGATGGTGATTCTGAATTGTTTAAAGAAAAAAAGAATAGCGAAGCGATGATTAATGAGAAGATAACGAACGCGACTGTGCCGATGACGAGATATCTCGATGACTTTTAGTTGAACTTTGTGAGAATGATCGCTGAATGGTTCTATGCGACTTCGCGTTGACATTTGACAGTATGTTCCTCAATTCGAATGAAATAAAAAGAAATGCAATGTTATTTATTATTCTTTCGGTGTAATATAGATGTATCAGTATGTCTTTGGTTTCTTTCAATTAATTGAAAATTTTAATTTTCACAAATAAAAAAATTCATTTTTGTTTCATTCGCTCGAGTTTCTTTCGACATAATCACGCCACCCATTTCACTTGTACTTGATGGTTTTTCTTTGAGGATGCCAAGTGAAGAATTGCGAACCTCATAAGAATCAATATTTTTGTTTACTCTCAATAAACAAATTTCGGAGTAAGAAAGGAATCCAAGAGTTCTGCTTAATGCAATATTATTTCAACGAATACAGACAATATGTCAATCGATGTAATATTATCGGTTCTGTCCAAGTTGACGATGGACATATTCAAAAATAGACAAGCACATAGTCCCGAGATAGAATAGTAAGTGAAAATACAAAACGTATCATCCCGCGCTTTGATAAGATTCAAATTGGACAGAATTCACCATACTTGATAAGCTTGTCAGAAACATAGACATGCACTCGTAACTTACACTGAGATGTAAAAATGAGTGTGCATGCGAGCAATAGGCAATCAAGACTAACATAAATATTTTCCTACTAATTCTTTTTTTTCGCAAATAGCAACCTCAGAATGAAACTACACGTATAGTCACACTATGCTTGGAAGGTATAACATACAGTTGAATTTATATTTATAGCTAAACTACTTGTTCGATTCGTACACTCGCAAACAACCACTTTCACATTCAAAGTAAAACATACGTCTATCGGCTCCATTGCGATCAGTTTCTTTCAGAAAAATCTATACCCGTGACATATGGGAGGTGTAAAGAAACTTTGCAGTGAAATCATCCTTAAGAATCAAAATATAAGCTTTCAGAAAATATAATGACGTTTATTCTTATTCGTAATACGCTCATCGTGAATATATTGAGTAATTAAATCCATTCACTACAGCTACAATATTTTTTGCATCAAATCAAATGTCACAATGGTTCAAAGTAATTTGGATAAAATGAAACATATTCATTTCTTTCTGAAGGTTGGCACCGTTGAAAAAAGCATGATATCCTGTGAGAATCAAGCTGATATGAAATTAAAGATGAACCATAATCGAACTTACGATAAGAAAAACTGCGCCAAGTACGACTGCTTTCATTTTCACATCGAGATCCACCGGAACTATGTAAGCAGGTAGGAAATTAACATTTGATCTTCACTCGTACATAAGACGCTCACCTTTGAGTAAAAATGCATCAGTACTTGAAGTTGCTTCATGTAGAGGACAACGATATTTCTTATAAATAGCTCCAACTTCTGTGATTCCATCTGTGCCAATTAACTAAAATTGACTTGTTTTAATAAAACTCTGCATTTTGTTTCATTTCGTCTTACAGTAAATTTATTTTCACAACAGCATGAGAATAGCCCGTCGCAAATACACAATGGGGCAACTAGAGTGAATATAGTCTTATAATTTACATCTTTGATTTCAAATGTATGTCGCCAGCAACTTCCTCTAAATGAAAAATAAACTAATAAAATTTATTCTTTTAACAACTTTAATAGACTTTTGTGACACAGTGCCAATGACGACTCCCGGTGGTGATTCGACAATTAATTCTTGCTTACAACATTGTAAATTGCCACACCAACACCATCCTGAAAAGCATTCGAATTCACGTCTCATCCGAATAATATCTTGCTTAAGATTATTAGCAATATGTAGTGTAAAACTTCGTCTAGCTTTGCAACATAATCGTTGCCAATATGCCGATGCTATAGATTTCATTACAAACGATGTAAATACATATTGATTTGTTAAGATAATCAACCTACATTCCCTGACTTTGAATAGTTTTTCATTTTGTTCGTTAAAAATATTAAATTTTGCTGCAGACGAACTACCACACAGTGCTAGAATAATATAAACATATACAATCCATTTTCTCTGTCTAAATAATTCACCTTCACGTATTGAAACAAGTTGCTTTATTTTCAATTTATCGATTGTTCGTAGGGCATCAAGTCCAACTGTATGACTATTTGTTACTGGTAATAAAGGATCCATTTGGCTTTCATCAACAGGATATTTGCCTTCCTTCGCTTTGCCAGCCATTTGTTTTGTCAATGAATAGAAACACACAACTGATAAATATTCTAAAGAGAAATACTACATCTGTGTTCGATTCGTGCTGAGTTTTATTGTAATAAGCAGTAAGAGGAAAATGTTTAGGTTACAAAAGAAAGACAAACAAGAGGTATATGTACTGTTATTCACTATCACAAACGAAGACATGTCACAGTTGACATGAGAATTTTAGTTGAGATTGGAATGCGCGCAAAAATCAATCCATCGATTTACCACATATATAAGTGAATTCATGCATTTAAAAAGTATTTTCTAAATAGATCCTGTATGTTTTTGATGTACAGTTTAATTTGTTGTCAAGCGATCTGCACTATTCAATATTGATAACGTTTTCTCCCGGAAGTAGAGTGCTTTGGATTCATCGCCCATGTGTAGATATACTAAACGGATGTTGTTGTAGCAAGAAGCTAAATCAGGATGATTTTTTGGAAGATTTTGCTGACATATTTCCAGATCTTTCTCGAAAAATACTAGAGCTTGAGAATGTTCACCCATAGCATGATACACCGAGCCTATATTGTTGTACGAAGTAGCTAAGTTCGGGTGGTTAGCTGGAAGAGATTTTTCACAAATACTCACAGCTTTCGTGTAGAAGGAAAGAGCTTGACAATAGTTTTTCGTGCTTTGATGCACTGAAGCGATGTTGTTGTAACAAGTAGCCAAACTGTGTTGATTCATAGGGTTCGTATTTTCTTGAATATCTAGAGCTTTTTCGAGATAGGAGAGCGCTTTAGAGTACTCCGCTGTCTGGTCGTAGGCCAAACCGATATTGTTGTACGACATGGCTAAATCAGGATGATTTGAAGGAAGAGTTTTCTGTTGAATCAGAAGAGCTTTCTCATAGAATTCAAGTGCTTCAGAATTTCGATTCATATTGGCGTAAACTAAACCCATGTTATTGTACGAGATGGCGATATCGGGATGATCTTCAGGAAGAGCTTGCCGGCGAATATCAAGAGCTTTTTCATAGAAGAAGAGCGCTTGTGAGTAGTTTCCCATGTTTTTGTGCACCACCCCGACATTATTGTATGAAGTAGCTAGATTCAGACGACTCTCGGGTAGATTGGCTTCAAAAATAGTCAAAGTCTTTTCATAACAGGAAAGTGCTCGAGAATGATCATTTATATCACTATACACGGAAGCAAGATTGTTGTAGGAGACAGCTACGTCGAGATGATCTGAACGAAAACAGACGAGAGCTGCTTCAAGAGCTCTTTCAAGATACACGAGTGCTTGGGTATACTCTCCTGTATTTTTATAGAGTAATCCAATATTGCTCCACAGGCAGACCAAGTTTGGATGATGATGATAATCAGGCAGACTTTCTTGATAAAGCAAAAGTGCTTTTTCGTAATACATGAGCGCCTGTGCATAATGACCCATAAGATCGTCTACCGAAGCGAGATTATTGTAACTAACGGCTAGATCAAAACGATCGACATAAGGGAGTTTTTGTTTAATGTCAAGGGCTTTTTCGAACAAGGAACGTGCTTGGGAATACGAGCCCATGTTCTTGTGTACCGAAGCAATGTTGTTGTAAGAAACAGCTACGTCGAGATGACATTCCGAGTATATCTCTAGTCGCGTATGAAGAGCCTTGTCATAGTACGAGAGTGCCTGTGTGTAATCTCCCTTTTTTTCATGTACCGAGCCTATATTATTGTACGATGCTGCTATATCAGGATGTTTTTCGGAAAAATGCTTTTGTCGAATTTTGAGAGCTTCTTCAAAATAGAAAAGTGCTTTAGAATATTCACCCATGTCACAATGTAGCGAGCCAACGTTGTTGTAATATGTAGCTAAGTCAGGATGATTGGCATCAAGGAGCTTCTGTTGAATTGCGAGAACTTTCTCAAAATAGAAAAGTGCTTCGGAATATTTACCAATCTTTTCATACATTAAGCCAATGTTGTTAAATGAAGTTATCGTATCAGGATGATGTTCAGGAAGATTCTTTTGTTGAACAGCAAGAGCTTGTTCATAGTAGGAGAGTGCACGCAAGTAGTCACCTTTTTTATCATAGACGGAACCAATATTATTGTAGGATGTAGCGATATCAGGATGTTCTTCGGGATAATTTTTTTTTTGAACATCGAGCGCTTTCTCAAAGCAGGCAAGTGCTTTGGAATACTCGTTCATATTACAATACACGAAGCCAATATTATTGTAAGAAGTTGCGAAATGAGAATGATCTGCAGGAAGAGACTTCTGTTGAATATCGAAGACTTTCTCGCAGCAAGCGAGTCCTTTAGTATGATCGGCCATCATATCATAGATCAAAGCAATATTGCTGTAAAAAGTAGCTACCATCGGATGATTTGCTAGTGAACGTTTCTGTTGAATGCCGAGAGCTTGTTTATAATACGAAAGTGCTTGAGGATAATCTCCCATCGAATGATGTACTGAACCCAAGTTATTGTACGAAATGGCTATTTCAGGATGATCCGAAGGAAGAATTTGTAGTTGGATATCGAGTGCTTTTTTATGGTAGGAAAGCGCCTTCGAGTAATCACCCGTGTGCCTGTAGACCATACCGATATGGTTGTATGTATGCGTTGGAAATAATTTATCTGACGTGCAAGATTTGCCATGCTCTTCAAGAGCTTGTTGATAATATTGAACTGCTTCTTCATGGTTTCTTTGCTTTGCTTTAATTTTTCCTAAGGCGTGATAGTATTTACATGGGCTTTGATCTTCTAAGTTTTGATCAAGTAGAGTAAGAAATAAATTCTCCGCTGTTTCCAGCTTACCAAGATAGATCAACAGGTCGCCCATTCGTGTCCATCCAACTTCTTCATCTTCTTGTTCAATTTGCGTAGTTAAGACACGAAGTTCTGGATCATTGTCATTAGTTAAACTGAGAAACACCTTGAACACACGATCATTGACTTTGTCTTTTTCTATTTTATTTATGCGAAACACGGCATGCATTGAAAACAGCACTTCATCTTCATCTTCGATAGCGCTAATATTCCTGATCCGAGCAAAAGACGTCGTGTCTAATTTAGGATCAATGGTCATGATGAATAATATTCCCATAACCTCTAAGTCTTGCGTTGCACTATCAGCGTACATATAAGCTGGTGCTTCATCTTGACTGGTTGAAATAAAACTATTAAAAGCAATCAATCCTTTTTGACTTTTTCCCAGCTGATGAAAGTCATCTATTGAGAGTCTTTGTCCTCGATAAACATCAAATGGTTTGTCACCATAGCTGCACGCTTGTTCTTTGTATAATTCTTCGATTTGTCGATGAAGATCGTGAATAAAGAAACTCATGTAGACAATAACATCTGATTCTAGAAGTCTAAGGGCTCGATTTAACATTGGATAGATAAAACAGTCTTTTGTGTACCACCATATTGCCTTATCAGGTTGATAAGCTTGACTGAATTCATCGACGACTGCTAATGTCCTCAGATTATCCTGAAATTGATCTCGGCAGAATTCGATTAGCATTGAACTACTTTGATTGTCATATTTCGTGTTTAGTATTGCATTTTTGAATATTTGAGTATACATATAACTCGGCTGTAATCGATTCAGATCAACTTGTTCATTCGTTTCGTTCATTCGCGCAAAACTGATCGGAGTAGTATCTTGATCGCAGCGCTTAGCAGCTGGATGAATTATTTCAATCAGAGGTTGAATCGTGGGATGAAGTCCTTTAACTTTTGGCCATTCCGAAGCCCATTGTCCATACCACGGTTGATCCTCATCGCAGATATAGATCGTATTTATTGCTTTCATTGAGTGAATTTGTGGAACTAATGTTTGCGCGAAGGCAGCGGATGTAATAACGAATATTTTTTCCGATTCGATTTCTTTTAGAAATTTCAAAGAATCTTCGATCGTGTTGAATAGGGTCACAGAATTAATTACATTACGCAGCTGCTCGATGTTACTCTGAATGTTATTGTTCGATAAATCAGCATTAGCATCGAGCCAAACAGCCAAATAGTTCTGCACAATTCGTCTTCGAATTGTTCGATATTGTGGTACTTTTTTCAAATTCGCCATCTTCTTCAATAAGTATACAGTGCAGTGAAGAACACGAGTCGATGTTTACTAATCTGACTATGTGTGTGTTATCATTATTTTATATATGAATAGCATGCTTGAGTAGATTCGTTTGTTCTATTCTTCCGTCAAGGTGAGTCAGGAAGAGAGAAGACAACTATGAATCATGACTATTTAGCTTTTAATCGAAAGTACGATTATTGAAGAAGCCAAGTTCTTCAAATCGTGCGTGCACGGGTGCACATAGGAATGAGTCACTGTCTCATCAGCATACTCCTCAGTCTTTGTTTTTTATGTACGAGAATATTCCATTCGTCAAGATATCTTCGGCACCGGATATGCCTTTTTCTTTTTCTCTATATCTTCATGAGAGTTATATCAGTATGGATCGTTTATATTCGCCGACTTTTCCTTCTAGTTCTGTACACATGCATATTCTTAGATAAAGAAAGAGGAAAAATAAACATGTGCTTCAGAACGTCGTAGTAACGACAAATAGGTTGCGCACAAAAACTTCCAGAGAGAACATAGTTCTTTTCCTCTGTGAGTGAAATTTTATTTCGGATAAATCATGTCTGCGATTATCAATGCTTTGTTCGGCTCATTCTCGTCGGCAGAAGAGCAGAGTCCTATGACAAATACAAGTGGAGCCGTCACTGAAAATATCCAAACATCAGTTGTAGCCGATAATGTTCAAGTCAATTCGGTCATCTCATCCGATACTCAAGCAAATGCAAGTATTAATACAAACACAAATATGGAAAATTTATTATCACAAATAAATACAACACATGCACAAGTGGATGAATATTCCAGAACTCGTGTTGCAGAAATCAACGAACAGGTAAGTAGTGTACTCATTCGTTCAGATATAACTGAGCTTTCGGTTTAGGTTCGAAACTCAATTGCAGACGTTCTTAAAAATACGCAACGTCATCAAGAAGAATTATTGACTTTTGCTAATCAACGCCATTTGATTATTGATAATGAATATAAAGTTCAATTAAAACGAGCTGTACAAGCATTAGATGCTGTGAAAGCGAAAACATTAGCTGATCTAGAACGTGATTTACAAGTCAGACAGCAAAAGATTCTGAATGAAGCAAAGAAACAGATCGATCTTCTGAATAATCAAGCGAATGCGGATAAGCTAAATGTTTTAATTGAAACACAACTACAAAATAAAGAAAATATTCAGAATCTTACCGATCAAGTTCTTGAATTGAATCAACAACAAACTCAGCATTTACTCGAATCAACGACAACAACAATTATTACTTCTCACGCACAAGCAACAACACCACCAATCAATCCTATTGTTGCTGCTGCTGCTAACGTCACGCTCAGCAGCAGTGCAATTGATTCGATCATGGCGAAAGCAAGCGAAAAGAATCAGAATAAGATACCTCCAGTTCAATCTATCCCGACTGCCGTGACAAATACGCCAGCTAATATTAATCCTATTGTTATTGCTGCTAACGTGACACTCAGTAGCAGCGCAATTGATTCTGTTATAGCCAAAGCCGGTGTAAAAAAGGAGCAGAAAACCAGCGAGGTAAATACGGTCAATCACATAGCTACTGCTGCTAATGTTGCGCTTAACAGCAATATCATCGAATCTATTGTTAACAACGCACGTGAGCGAAGTAAAAAGCCGGTTGCCGAACCAATCAATTGAAAATATTTGTAAAAAAAAGCGTAATTATTAATCCCGCTCGCATCCTTTACCCGACGTAAAATCGAAATGTATCCTATAGCTGTACAAATCCTTAAACATTGTATATTATTTTTCTGTATAACAGTAGTGCATGTAAAATTTTTACATAGATTCAAAGTATTTGTCATTAGAAATAAAAATTATCATACTTTAAAGTTCTGTCTTATCATTTGCCGTTCCGCACGTAGGATTTGCGTGTAATCCACCATGTAGAAGAACGAATTGATTCAAACATGATGATGGTGGTCCTAAGCATTCGATATTGAAACACTGCTGTGCTATCATGCGCGCACATAAACATTTCAAACGACTCGGATTTGTTTTTGACTTCAGTAGAGTTTTGATTTCATCATTTTTTACATAATCAATTGGAAGATAACCATCTTCGTTAACACAATCTACATGAAATCCATAATCTAATAGCAGCTTGATGAATTCTTTATCATTTGAATCCCGACATAAACAATGCAACGCTGTATTTCCATTGCTAAAATCAACTGCATCATAACACAAATATTGTCGTCCACAATATAGTAACAATCGAAACGCAGCTACATTAGGAAATCTAAAGAAGAAAATGATTCAAAATTACATCAACTTCACATTTTGATAATACATACTGTAAATGTCGACGAAGTTTCTGTGAACGACAATTCACGTTACTATTAGTCTCTTTCATCGCACAGATATGAATTAAAGTCAATCCATGTTCGGTGATCATTTTATGTTGGCATAGAACTTCAATCCAATTATAGATTAGTTTTTTTTCTTCTTTTGTATTTTCTTGCTGATCAAGAATCTAAACGGAAGACAAAAAGAGTCAAAATCAGCAATGTTAGTGAAGTGATCACCTTCGTTGCAATGACCACCAATAATACAGCACTGTATATGCTTGTAGGATAATCTATCTGCGATGGTTCGAAAACAAGTTGACAAACTTGTACAAATCTTTGAACAGGTATGGTTTCGTCTCTATCTAGTATTCGACAAAAAAGATGAACAAACCCGTGAAGTGAAGTTTCAAAATGGTTTTGTTGACGAAAATAAAACAAATGAATGCCAATGTCAATACACTTGCCGAATTCTTTATGAGCGTTTAACATGTTCGCATAGTCATTTAAACACTCGATGATTTCGATACTATTTCTCGATTGAAAAATACGTTCTCGAATAAGTAATGTTTCGATATACATTCGATCACGATTGCCTTCGATCTTTGCTAATTCTTCAATTGTTTGACATTCTTGTTCGTGATTGTAGATGGATTTTGGTGGTGAACAAATTTTCGGCTTCTGTAAGAGATCACGTTGATGTAAAACTAGTTTTAACAAACTGACTACTTTGTCTGAGAATACATTAGAAAATGACCTATAAGATCGGGAACAAACAGCTAGTTCGACATCTTCAATTGTATTGATAGATTTTTCCAAAAGAAAATTAATCATCGGATGTGAATTACGTTCAATCGCATTGTCTAAAAGAGTTCTTCCTGTATTATTCCGAATCATGATATCTGCGCCTGCGTCATAAAGTAGCCGAACTACTTCGACGTGCACAGTCTGACAAGCAAATGATATTGGGGTGCGAGCAGTCAGATACGCACTCGAACAGCAATAGTTAACATCAGCACCATTTTCGACCAGGTATTTAGCGATCGACGTATAGCCTCGAAGGGCTGCCCATGTCAAAGCCGTACATCGATTTCTGTCAGTGGATTTTGTTTCATTCACATCTGAGTAACTGTTTTCAACAAGAAAACGAACTATATCAAGACGATCCATTGTAGTAGCGAAGATAAGCAACGGACAATGTGGATATTCGTAAGTGTCTTGCAATGGATTTGCATGACCAATTTCGATTAATGTTTTCGCAACTGTAAAATGCCCATAAAAACATGCAGCGTATAGCGCTGTTCCACCGCCGATGTATTCGCCGTCAGGTTTTTTTACTGTACCTTTCAATTCAACTTGTTCGACTGAATTATAATAACTTAAAAGTATTCGAACGAGATCATCATGTCCATTCTTCGCAGCAATCATTAGTAAACTCAAATGCTCGCCATCATACCAATTCAGGGTGATTAGATAATCAACAGCATTCGAGAGTTCATTTAACTGCGTGTTTAATTGAGAACATAAACCATCTTGAGTAAGTCTATAAAGTCTATCCATGATAGAGGCATCGAGAAATAGCTCTCTAAGCGAAAGTATCTGTTCCATTTTGGTAAAATTATTCTATGCGGTAACATCACTTTATTTATATATATTTCTTCGGTTGGAAATCTCCCGAGAAGTTTATATTTCCTTGAAAGGACGTGACAACATCATGAGTCACAAAGAATTTCTCAATTTACCAAAGGAATTATAAGGATTCAGCGAACGAAAAAAGAAATTCACATATTCAATCACAGCAGACTAGATGTCGGTGTCGGCAAGATGAGAAATTCACAAAAAAAACACTAATATTCAATCGAGATTACCAAATTGTTTTACAAAAAAACCTTTTATTGATATCATACAACATTAATCGTCAGATAAATTCGAGATTGTACGTCTTATATGCGATAATATTCAACGATCATTTAGAATTTATTACCGAGATAAACCTAAGTGACGAGAGATGAAAGCATCAATAAATATCTTTGATAGAAGCGTTTACTTCATTCGAGACAATCGAGATGACGAGAAAAGATCTTCAACGATATATGGTTCTGTTCTTAGCTGAATGCTTCGCGACATGTATAATGATATTAATTGGTGAAGGTGCTATCGCTAATTATAAATTTACCCAAGAACCGTCTCAAACAACACTACCGATTGCCATTGCGTTCGGTGTTGGTGTTTATGCAGGTAGCTGTCGTGTAACTAATTTTTCAGCATCTTCATTCTTTTGATTTTTAGCATTAATGCTCGCTGCACCAATCGCAGGTATGAGATCAGATGAATGATGGTGTTATACGTTGATTCTATTGAGGTTCTAGGCGCGCAGCTGAATCCTGCGTTAAGTATATCACTATTGACTATTGGTGAAATAAAACCATTACTGTGTCTATTGTACGTCATTGCGCAAGTTGTGGGCGCATTTCTCGGAGCGGTTTTAGTTTATGTTGTTTATGTGAAGCAATTTGATGCGTATGATGGGGGTCGACGGGAAATGATAGGCGTAACTGGTACAGCTGATGTTTTCTTCACTATGCCTGCTGAAGGTATACCGAATTGGAGTGCGTTCATTGATCAAGTTATTGGAACTGGTATCCTTATGATTTTTGTTCAGGCCGTTGGAAATGTAAAGAGAAAGTTGAACTTGTATACATAGGCATAAAAAATATTGATTTTATTTGTAGAAATCCAATCAAATTACATCGAAAGTTATCCAACCATTTGCATATGCATTAATTGTGATTGGCATTATTTCGGCATTCTCAATTAATGCTGGTGCTGCAGTTAATCCCGTAGATATGTCTACTTGTCATTTGCATTGATTGAATTTCTCCGTTTCATTGAAGGCTCGTGATTTCGGTCCACGTATTTTCGGAGCATTCATCTATGGTTGGAAGGCTGTCTTTACAGTACATGATTATTACTTTTGGGTACCCATCGTTGGTCCAATTGTAGGAGCCATCATCGGTGTATGGGTGTATCAATGTTATAGGTTTATCGTGAAAAAATACGGATATCTTTCGAATGTCGAAGCTCCATCGATAGACATCGAACAACGTGTTTCGAGCAAATTTTAAAAGATTTTGAGCTGGTCCGAACTTTTCTAACCTATAATCTTGGAGATGTACGTGTGGTACCCAGATGAGTTAAATGGAGAAACTTCTGTTAAAATTCAAATGCTTTGCTTTGAAATAATCTTCAGATAAACATTAGATCTATAACGTGCATAACGATGACGACAACGCAATTAATAAGCTTTCATGTGAAAATGTGGTATTAAATTTGTCGCAGGAGACTACGTACATTCACATATTTCGAGCACGTATACGTTCGAGGGAGAGATATTGGTACTGCTTTGTCAGAAGGAATGTATATTGATCATCATCACGATTCTCACATTACACTACTTCTGTTTGCAGACAGGTCCAACTATGAATTGAACACAGTGCGGATCTGTTGACATCAATCGATAAAACATTCAATATTCTTTCATATCGTCTATGAAAGCCAGCGACGAGCATATCGGACGAAAGCGTATTCAAAACTAAAGGTATGCATATTTTACTAAAAAAAACCCTACGTGTGTGCATTAATATCAATGACGGATTCGCATAGTTGACTTATTTAAGTAGGTACGACTATGATGTGATACATCAATTCAATCTATCATACTGTGAAGGTACCTAAGAAAACTAGATAACATGAAATTAATTAAATCTTTTGAAGAAAAATGAATAATCATTTGTTTCGACAACATCAAGCATAAGCAAGCCTTTAGTCAATTTTTCGAATGACAATAGAACATTGAAAGCAACATAAATAGAGGGTGATCATAAGAGACTGCGCATTAGTCAATTTAGATTCACCGGTACTACTCGAGTTCTACGACGGCGACTACCAATGTATTGCTGAGTTTTCCAATAAATATCCAAGCTATACCAAACGATGAACTTCAATCCAACAGTTAATCCGCCATATAAACCGAGAAATGTTGTTAGTATATATAAAGCACTACTTCTCACTGCATAACTGTATTCACATGAAGATGGCGAACAAGACGAATAGTACTCCGAATAATTACTAGAATTCTGCCACGTTTCGATAAAGAATTCATCGATTAATTCACCGATTGTCGTAGTCGATATCGGATAAAAGCGACTTGAAACAGAGCGATTAAGAGCATTTGGAATATTAGTCATATTTAGAAAATCAGCTAGTAGTTGTAAACACGTGGAATTGTACAAGCACTCAAGTGTTGACTGACGAAGACCATCAATCGGTAAACAACCAAAAACGATACCTTTAAACGTAATCTTATAGATCAATGTATTTATTCAAATGTATCTCACCTGGTAGACGTATTGTTTGATTAAAACTTGTGAGTATCGTTCTAAAACATCGAGATGGCGATATTGTACACAAACATGATTCCCCGCTTTCGTTAAACCATATTGGAAATGTTCGTATGACATAGTTCATTTGTGCATTCGATGCAAAAGATGCCCAATTCAAACCAAATCTATGTTGTAATTGATTTGCATGGAACATGTCAATTATGTAATGATGCATCCATTGAAATTGAGCTAGTGTTTGAACGATGAAATTGTTAATAATTGAATCAACTTGGATTTGAAACGAATAATGCGTTAGTATTTGCAGAGTAATCAGATTTTTTGTGGAGAATGTTTGAACATTTAGTTCGATCGTACTTCTTGTCAATGCACAAAATGATGATAGAACATGAAATAAACCACTGAGAACTTTTCTATCATAGTTAAGTGTATATTCTGCTACGTCCTCTAAACCCCACACTGATGTAATAAAGGCCGAAGATACAAAATCAGTAGAACAAATCTGATGATACGTCTCGGGTTGAATAGAAACGAATTTTGAATACGGTATTGCAATGTTTGAACATGAACATGTTAGTGTTGATGCATGTTTGCTTTGTAGTTCGTTGAATGTGGATAAACTTGGTGAAGAAACTGTGATTGTATTGATGTGAGTGTTTAAATTAAGAAAGAGTATGATTATATGAAATGAAATAAGGAATAAAAGACTGTAGATCCGAGTTGCAAAACGTTGTTGTTCACACAACAAGTCGTCGTCATTTTCCTGTCCTTGGCGATAAAAATTCATTTGTTGGACATTGTTTCGAAGCTGATTGAGAACAGTTGCGAATCTTCGTGCATTATTTGAGTCTTCTTCAATCTGTTCGCTCGATATGCAACAATAACGAAATATTCGTCGAATCGATTTCACGAAAAACGGAACTAAGATTTTAAGGGCAACTGACAGTCCACCGATAATTCCTGCTACAGTCGCAATTATGTAGGATATGCTAAAGCGTTCTTCATAGGTATAAATACATTCTCTTGGTGCACATGCTTCAAAATATCTGTCGAAATAAATCGAATAGATCCATTTTTCGATGAACATTGCCGAAATGATTTCATTTAATCTTGTCGAAGTGTTAAACCGACTGTTAATCATCGGATTCAAGGGCGTGACATTGGCTGCACGCGGATCGATGGTTACTCCAGACATTCCCAATGGAAACGCATCGATTAACATTTGAACGCACGATGAATTGTAGAGACATGTTAATGACGAGGTGGACAGCGAATCAATGGGTGAACAACTTGTGTACCAATTAGGTACAACTTTATTAAGTGCACTCTCATTTCCTGAACAAACGCCTGTTATACAGTAAAATCCTGTGTCGGTTTCACAGAATCTGTCGATACCGCACGAACAATTAGGATTACTAAAGACGCGCATCGCTTGAAAGAATATTTGTATGGTGTCATTCAATTGTAGTAATGCCATATTTGAATCAATGCTTCCTGATTTTGCCAATTGATTCACTTGAATAGAAGTTTGAACAGTTTGGTATAGATCATAAAAAGAGGCGACTGTCTAAAAAAATAAATAAGAGCATGTGAATAGCTGAAGTGAAATTATTGGATCCCACTTTGGAATTCTATGCTATATACTCTACGTACTTTTTGCTTAAATTGATTGATAATCGAATCTATTTGAGTATTGAATGTGTCCTCTGCTAATACTTGACTTGTGAAAAACTGCAAATTATTAAAAACAGCGATTTCATTGGAGATTGTTTCGTTTGATAAAAGACACAATTTTTGAAGGATACGAAATGACGCCATGCCTATGGTACGAAAATCAATCAGTAAGAAAATTCCCACGAGATTCGAATTGTACAATAGCCAAACATCATCCTTGATGAAACCGCTTGAACATACTTGATGAAGAGTTGTGCTTATATCGATGATGGACGAATATTTTATTGAAATGTGCGAGCACGGGCAAGTCAATGTTGACGAATATTGTTGAGATAGTTGTGAAAAAACATTCCACGACGGGTTCATGATGGATATTGGACGAACTTGTGTTGAGATCGATGAGTAAAACAATAGAATAATCAAACCAAGGGTTAAAAATAAAATATACAAACGTGTAGAATAAATGCCATCTTTTATATCAGTGAACAATGGAAACATATTGTATGTTTGGATTTGCTGCGGAAGAGTTCTAATACGGTTTTTGAAATCTAGAATATTCCGAAAAAAGATTATTGTCAATATAACGATTTGGCGTATCACTTTTACTTGGCTTTCCATCTCTTTGAGTATGTGTCGTTTGTTTTCGATGAGAAATGTTCTTCTGAATTTTCTGGACTAATCGAACAAAAAATGGTGCTGACACAAATAAAATGATCTTTAGTCCACCAAATAAACTAATTATGGTAACGGCGATGTATAAGAAATTGAATGATTGATCAAACGAATATGTACACAGTTTCGGAGAACATATTTCATAATATTTACTGAAATTATACACTTCATTCCATGCTTCAATGAAAAGATTATTCAAAATATCATTGATCAATGTTTCTGGTGCAAACTGAGATTGCTTCAATGGTGAAACCAAAGAGAATCCTGCAATATACTTCTGAAGAGAACTCAAACATGATTGATCATAAAAACATTCGAATGTAGAACTCAAGAGCGATCTATATGGATAACAGCCAACTTCCATATTTGGTAAAATAAACATAACATGTGAATCCTTATCAGTTGTACCGTATAGCAAACCACCATCCCTGCCTATTCGACCAGTATCATTGTAAATATAAGCTGGGTATGTACAGGTATCAACTTTTCGACAATCACAATAACTCGATGCAGTTCCATATCGAGCTGTTAGGATAGTGGGAGAAGCCGATGATAATCGCATATGTGCTTCACTGCATAGTCCCGAAGAAATTCTATTATAAAATGTATTGAGCCAAATGAAATTATTGATATGTTTATGAGCGTTTATTGTGTTTTGTTGAAACTGATTTACAAGTGTCGTCATTTGACTTTGAAAATTGTCAAAAGATAAGACTTGAGTGGTGATTAAATATTGAGAGGCAAATTCTTGTATGGCATCGGTGATCTTTTCTTTTGTCGTTCGACAAAATATTTGAACAAGCTGAATGTGTGATGATACCATTAAACGATAGTCGACAGGCCAATATTGACTGACATCAACATTTGTTAAGGATAATAAAAAGGTTTGATTAACAAATTGACTTGAGCAGATCAGATGATATTCAGGGTGAAACGAAACAATTTCGCCTTGAACAATTGAGTTCTGTTGGCATAAACACGAAAGTGTGTGAGAATATTTGCTTGAAAGTTGCTTGAAAACTTTCTCCGATGGTGAATCAATAGATATGAACTTTGTTTGAACAGTAAAACTTGTAAATAGAACTATGACCAGGATTGAAACAATTAAGAAACAAGTGAATATCCTCGTTGAAAGTATTTGATCTGCTTTCGGTAGTTTTTTATCTTCTTCATAGAGATTAAACTGTTTAATTAAATCAGCGAGCTTTCTTACTCGATTGGTCTGCATTTATTCTGAATTAAATGAGAGAAAAAGCTCGGAATATTTCTATTGTTCACATTTTTAGATTATTCTCTTCTAGAGAAATAACTCATGAATGTAATTTTTATTCTTAATAAGATGTAAAAACAATTATATTTCCGTTCAGCGTTAATTAGTGACTATTTCATTTCCTATTTGTTCAACTCAAAAAGAAAAACAATTCTGTTTCAAGATCATATCCATATTCATATCAATTGAAACCTGATATATGGCAAATGTTCTCAGAAAGTGCTTTTTGTTTCTATCAGTTTGTACGTAATGCATATTATAAAGATACATGAGATAAACGATGGTGTTATCAAAGATATAAATTATGTTCGGAATGCCATGTTCATATGAAATTGTACTTGTTTACACTGCAGCAAGTTGCATGCTACTAGAAGAAAATATTTCTATGTGTCAAAATTTTTCATGCTACATTCTGTTCTCTTCGTTTGTGTAGAGACCTTGTTGACAATCAAATAGTCGTTGTGTCATAACATTCTGAAATGGTTCATTCTTTAGTCTATATTTGTGACATTGATTCGTAACGATTCAATGGATGCTGATAAATACGACTTTCCTACTAGTATTTAATGAAATACTCACGTTATAGTTGTAGGTTGATAATCGTTTTGATCGATGATACACGTGTTGACAAATCATTACTGCTAACATGTTTTACTCATAAATAGCTTCTTTTTTTTTCAGAAGAATACGTTCAATGAGAAAACTTCACCGATTAATGGGGCTGATTTTGTGAGGATATGGATCTACGCCTACTCGAAATCGATCTTGACAATTTAGTCAAGTCATATAGTAAGAAAAAAAAACGAAAACGAGCCAGAATATATTGCATAAAAAAATCTCATTGTAGTTTGGTACAAGGTACATTAGTGGTTATTTTTGTTTACTTACAGTACGATACAGCAGGCTAAGAAAAGAATCTTTTGTGGAAAAAATTCAACAAAGTGATTTGTTGAACTTTTAGGATGACTTCTGAAGAATGCCAATGTTGTGATGATCGTTGACGATGTCACAAACACTGCATGTTGTTCAACTAATGTTTTACTCTTTCAAGAAATATAGATAATTTAGGGATTGTTCGAGAATGGAAATAAATTGATACGAGATACCATGCAAATAGGTGAGCGTCAAATAAGATTGATAGGATATTAATTGGTAACAAATGTGATTCAAGTTTGGAGAGAGTTACCGGTACTGCACAAGTCAAACTATGCTATATTGAAGAATTTTGATTTCAGTAGTGTTCTATGGTATAGAATTTAGCGGATTCGTATGCTATTCCATACGTTGAAACGTCAGCGAAAAGTTTAACAAAGATTGAAGAAGCATTGTGGAACATATTCGATAATCTGATCACGAATATTCCAGATAAGCCGAAATTTAGTTTTGAAAATTCTTTGTTATTACCAAAACGATCGGGCAATGCTGAAGCAGGAATTGATCTGTAAGTATTAAGGAATACAGTTTCGTTCATATATTTTTATGACGTCAGAATTTACTCATTGTTTAGTGAACATTCATCTCGAATAGTATTAATTGGTTATACGTAAATAGAATCGTAATAAAGATAAAGCTTTGATTCTTTTTGCAGTGGGATGTGACTGGCAACAAATGTGATTTAGCATAGAAAAGAGTGATTAGGTATGAACAAGCTAAAGTAGAGATTTGATCACGAAACCAACCAACTAACGAATTCCTTTGTTTAGAGTTTAGCGGATTCTCTCAATGTTCCTCACGTAGAAATATTCGTGAAAGATAATACAAAATGTCGACGATGCGTTTCTTAAACTAATTTTTTAATGAAAAGAGCATGAATACCGATAGGCATGAGGTTGTGTGAAAATCAGTTTCTTAATATGTGAAATTATTTGAATCCTCACCTGTATTAACCCATCCACATATTGTTCTTGTTGATGATATTCTTACAATAACGAACATGTAATTTTTTTGCGCTTCAACTATTAAACGATGAGGACATCGATTTCATGTTAAAGAAAGGAAAGAAAAAATCCCTTTGAAATAATGTACTATCGTCGCCTATGACAGAGCAGATTTTTCTTTGCTCTGAGTGAATAAAAAGCCTTGTCAGGTAAACAAAAATCTATGATATCGAGATAGATTTGTTAGTACTCGAAGTTAGACTTAATAATGCACTTTGACGAACGCCCGGCATGTTTTCGCAATTTTCTACATGAAATTGTCTTCGTTGGTGTAATTTCTTGTGCACAATTACTTTGTCAAGCAGCACTAGGCAACATACTTGTTCCTCTTCATATTATCGGCCCTGATGTTGGTATTGACGATCCGGCTAAATTGCCATGGACATTAGCATCTTATTCACTTACTGTTGGGATATTTATTATGGTCACCGGTAGACTGGGTGATATTCATGGACACAAATTATTGTTAGTTATTGGGTTTGTAATCTTTTCAGTCTTCAGCGTGTTCACCGGGATGGGAACCTATGTGAAAAACGATGTTTATTTCAATATTATGAGAGCATTGCAAGGAATCGGTCCTGCAACACTCCTACCGAATGGTGTTGCTCTACTTGCGAGAACCTATCCCTCCGGGAAGAGAAAATCGTTTGTCTTCGCAATGTTTGGGGCAACAGCACCTTTGGGATTCATTCTCGGTGCTTTGTTTGCAAGTATCTTCGCTCAATTATTGTGGTGGCCTTGGGGTCAATGGGTACTTGCATTCTTTTGTGCATTTCTTGCTATTTTATCTTCGTATGTTGTACCTGAAGAAGTGTCGCCAGCTGTTCATCCAACTGGAAAAACGGATATTCCCGGTGCAATTGTTGGATTATCTGGTTTAACGTTGTTTATCTACTGTTGGAATCAAGGGCCGGTGACTGGATGGGATAAACCTTATGTGTATGCTTTATTAATTGTTAGCGTTTTGATTATCGGCTTGTTTATTTTTATCGAAATGAAAACAGAAGAACCAATCATGCCACTATCTATTTGGCTTGTGAAGGGATTTCCAGGTGTTCTAGCCTGTATCGCATTGGGATGGTCTAGTTTTGGTATATTTATCTATTACATCGTACAATTTCTACAAGTCATTCGTGGTGCATCTCCATTACTAACCACTGCAATGTTGTCACCAGTTATACCGGCTGGTCTATCAGCAACATTATCTGTGTCTCAATTATACGGTCGGATACCTGCACATTTCCTTCTAATGGCGTCCATGGTTTTCTTCTGTATTGGCAATGTTCTCATAGGAACAATGCCAGCCGATCAAACATATTGGGCACAAGTATTCGTATCAACATTACTAACACCATTCGGTATGGATATTAGCTTTCCTGCGGCATCGCTCATTGTCAGTAATACAATGCCAGTACATCAACAAGGCGTTGCTGCAAGTATGGTTAATACTGCTATTAACTGGTCGATTTCTCTCGGGCTAGGTATTGCTGGAACGGTTGAAAGTGAATTGTTGAAAAAGGGAGCATCTGTATTGGAAGGTTTTCGTGGTGGCTTATATGTCGGTATGGGGCTTAGTGGTGCAGGAATTATCGTTGCACTTCTCTTTTGTCGTGTACCACTAGCGCCAGAAACAGCATCGAGCGATCATCAAAGAAAATCATCAGTTATGAACACAATCTCGAAAACAACCGCATCGGATGTTATTATTGACACAGAAAGTATCCAAGGTGAAGGACTTCAAGGGGAATTTCCGATTATACATCGTCTCTAATCCATTATCTTCTCTCATATAGGCGTTTTCAATATAAAATAGTCGGTGATGTTGAAGATGTACTTGTTAGACAAGTAAAATCATGACTTCATGAACATCTATGAGAAATTGTATTGAACATAAAAATTAGCTTGATGCAAGATGTAAATGAGTATCGTTCTGAAGAGTCTAGACGTTTTTCTGTTTCTTGATTTCGTGTCGAAATGTTCTTGGTGCAATTAAATCACTCTCACAATTTGTAAAGAAAGATTTAGAATGATATTTTCAATATGGATTCAATCAATACTTTTCTGATCGTTTTCCGTCATATTGTTGATGCATAAAAAAAACTGCAATGTGTAAACTCAAAGAAAGTATACATTATAATGCCGATATTTTGATGAAGTACAATGATAACTAGGATTTGATCCTATAGTTCTACCTGTCGTATTCTGAGGAAACGATCGAACTCGATTTGTAATGCGATTATTCTTCAATATCTTCAATTCAAATAGTGCTAATAATACAATAGATACTAATTCTTCGAATAATAGGTAATAGTTAACGCAGCTAAGATAAGAACTATGTCTAAAATAACATAGAAAATAATTAACATCGAATTGGACAATATGCTTTTGTTAACGATGAAGGCAGAGCGAGTATTTAAGAAAAGCGTCGTTCTCCAAACTGGTTTAAGCAAAGATTAATGTGTCTAGAGACGGTAGGAACTATTCTATAATACAATATGCCCCGTATGATTCAAGTTCTGCGAAGATAGATATGCCTTTCTTTCGTTGTGAAATGGCTCGTGTATCCACGTTCGATTAACACAGCCAGATAACGTTTCGAAAGTCGTGTGTATAGAAAAAGAAGTCAAATTACATCGCCATCTTTTTATTAATAAAAAATGATGTAAACGTAGCAAAAGCATCCGGCTATTTTGTCTCCACGTTAGCGAAGATGTTCAATGGTAAAAATGCACCAACTGTATAATTGGGCATATCAACAACTTGTGTGGCACGAATATCAACTGCAACCGAACATAACATATATGCTTCTTCTCTTGTCAATTGTTTATTTTGCACCAAGTAAGCAATCATTTGTCGAACTGCCTGTTTCGTTGCTTCGCGCATATCATCCGCAATACCTAATACAGAATAATAACGTGTCGATGATCGATCTTCCGTTCGTGTTAACAAACATGGACTTGTAACATGACTAACAGATTCGCCACGTATTACAGTCAAACGAACTGACACGACTACTGGTGTTTCGATTGCTGTACCACATACTTCGCCATCTCCTTGTGCCGCATGCCCATCGCCAATACTAAAGAGTGCACCTTCACATTCAATTGGTAGATATAGTTTGGATCCTTTGGTTAAATATTTTGTATCAATGTTACCCCCAGTGCGATAGGGAGGTATTGTGGAGAAAGATCCTGGCAAACCTCGTGCCACACCACATTCGCCAGTGAATGGGCGAATCGGAATGCGGATTTGATTCGGCTTAAACCAAGCGAAGCCTTGATCTTGATCCAGTTGCCATATTTTCAGTTTTGCTTCTGGAAACTCCTCATGGAGCAATCCAAAATTTGGAATAATAGCAGTCCAGCCCCACGTAGCTATTTTAATATNACATCAACAAGGCGTTGCTGCAAGTATGGTTAATACTGCTATTAACTGGTCGATTTCTCTCGGGCTAGGTATTGCTGGAACGGTTGAAAGTGAATTGTTGAAAAAGGGAGCGTCTGTATTGGAAGGTTTTCGTGGTGGCTTATATGTCGGTATGGGGCTTAGTGGTGCGGGAATTATCGTTGCACTTCTCTTTTGTCGTGTACCACTAGCGCCAGAAACAGCACCGAGCGATAATCGAAGAAAATCATCAGCAATTAACACAGTCTCGAAAACAGCCGCATCGGATGTGATTATCGACACAGAAAGTATCCAAGGTGAAGGACTTCAAGGGGAATTTCCGATTATACATCGTCTCTAACTCATTATCTTCTCTGATATAGGCATTTTCAATATAAAATAGTCGGTGATGTTGAGGATGTACTTGTTAGACAAGTAAAATCATGATTTCATGAACGTCTATGAGAAATTGTATTGAACATAAAAGTTAGCTTGATGAAAGATGTAAATAAGTATCGCTCTGAAGAGTCTAGACGTCTTTCTGTTTCTTCATTTCGTGTCGAAATGTTCTTGATGCAATTAAATCACTCTCACAAATCGTAAAGAAAGATTTAGAATGATATTTTCAATATAGATTCAATCAATACTATTCTTATCGTTTTCCACCATATTGTTGGTGCATAAAAAAGATTGCAATCAGTAAACTCAAAGAAAGTGTACATTATAACATTGATAAGTAATATAGCAGCTAGTTGCCGACATTTTGATGACGTACAATGATACAGCGAGGATTTGATCCGATAGTTCTATCTGTCGTATTCTGAGGAAACGATCGAACTCGATTTGTTATGCGATTATTCTTACATATCTGCAATTCAAATAGTGCTAATAATACAATAGATACTAATTCTTCGAATAATAGGTAGTAACTAACGCAGCTAAGATAAGAACTATGTCCAAAATAACATAGAAAATAATCAACATCGAATTGGACAATATGCGTTTGTTAACGATGAAGGCATAGTGAGTATTTAAGAAAAGCGTCGTTCTCCAAACTGGATTAAGCAAAGATTAACGTGTCTAGAGACGGTAGGAACTATTCTATAATACAATATGCCCCGTATGATGTAAGTTCTGTGAAATGACTCGTGTATCCACGTTCGATTAACGCAGCCAAATAACGTTTCGAAAGTCGTGTGTATAGAAAAAGAAGTCAAATTACATTACCATCTTTTTTTAATCAGAAATAATGTAAAAGTAGTCAAAGCACCTGGCTATTTTGTCTCCTCGTTAACGAAGATGTCCAATGGTAAAAATGCACCAATTGTATAATTGGGCATATCGACAACTTGTGTGGCACGAATATCAACTGCAACCGAACATAACATATATGCTTCTTCTCTTGTCAATCCTTTATTTTGCACCAAGTAAACAATCATTTGTCGAATTGCCTGTTTCGCTGCTTCGCGCATATCGTCCGCAATGCCTAATACAGAATAATAACGTGTCGACGATCGTTCTTCCGTTCGTGTCAACAAACATGGACTTGTAACATGACTAACAGATTCGCCACGTATTACAGTCAAACGAACTGACACGATTACGGGTGTTTCGATTGCTGTACCACATACTTCGCCATCTCCTTGTGCCGCATGACCGTCACCAATACTAAAGAGTGCACCTTCACATTCAATTGGTAGATATAGTTTGGATCCTTTGGTTAAATATTTCGTGTCGATATTACCACCGGTGCAATAGGGAGGTATTGTGGAGAAAGATCCTGGCAAACCTCGTGCCACACCACATTCGCCAGTGAATGGGCGAATCGGAATGCGGATTTGATTCGGCTTAAACCAAGCGAAGCCTTGATCTTGATCCAATTGCCATATTTTCAGTTGTGCTTCTGGAAACTCCTCGTGGAGCAATCCAAAATTTGGAATAATAGCAGTCCAGCCCCACGTAGCTATTTTGATATCGACAATTTCAACTTCCAATACATCACCAGGTTTGGCATTACGAACAAAAATTGGTCCATTGATCTGATCTAATTTCGACATATCAAACGAGTGAATGGCATCCACAGTCGAGCCGGCTGTCACTTGACCATTCGATGCATCGAGACAGTCGAATGTAACTATTTCACCAGAATCGATCGTAGCAACCGGAGGAATCGAATTATCCCATGCTAAATGATGCTGATGTCGATGAATATGATGCGTCATACGGATATTGATCAAAATTTACAATGGAAACTTTCTTTCGTTCGCACTGATTTGTTTTATCGATTGTCTTTATGATACATACAAGACGAGATCAACTATGCAGACCATTAATAAGACAAATCGACAGAGGTCATGCTCTATCAATTGATTATAGACGAGTACTTCGTCTTTCATTTGAATTCTGTCTAAACTGTATATCGGTAGAGAAAATTTTATGATTGCAGAATGACTCAACTCGTGTCTTCAAATGTGATGCGAAGATGCAGCGAAGCACGTCCTAACAAACCGTATTTTATATCTATGAAAATGGGACGCCCAAGGGCAAAGTAGAGAATAAGAAAAGGTGCGATCATCATATTGTCGTAAACATCAAAACATGTATCTCACAATTATCGTTGTTGCTTGTTTTATCAGTCTTCTTGTTATCTACTTGTCGATTTTAAAATCTCGATATTCATATTTTCAATGTCGAGGTATTCCAGGCCCTTCGCCCACTTTCTTTCTTGGCCATTTCGGTATTATATGGTCGACGAAATCTTATTCGCGTCAATTACAATCATGGACGAAACAATTCGGTTCAATTTATGGTATTTTTGAAGGCACTCGTCCATTCTATGTTGTGTCCGATGTTGATTTCCTTCAAAATATATTTATTCATCAATTTTCATCCTTCAATTCACATCGCATTTCTTTCCTTTACAAATTATCTAAATCAGTACATTTGATTGGTGCTGATTCAGCACGATGGCATCAACAACGACACGCTATCAATCCTGCATTTTCAGCCGCAAAACTCAAGCTTATGGACCCACTCATCGATCGATGCATCGAATCATTTATCGAGAAATCATCTGAAATAAATCAAGAAAGCAACGAATTTGATATCTATAAGTTATATCAACGATTAACCATGGATGTTATCTGTTAGTATATTCATTCGTTTTACAAAATATATGATTTTGTATATTTTGCATCGGTTCCAGGTCATTGTGCATTTGGCATTGATACAGATATGCAAAATGATGTCGATAACGAGATGATGGCTAAAGCAGCTGTTATTTTCAAACAAGATGTCGAACGCATGTCATTGACAAAATTGAGCTATCTTATGCCATGGTTAACACCCATTCTCACTCGATTCCTTCTCTTTCAGACAGTTCTTTTTCATACTCTTCACAGACTGGCACCTACTATTTTTCCCGATCTTACGGATAAGATACCTCGTTTTTGGCTTCTCGCAAGAGTCCAACAAGTTATCGATGCGCGCAACACCGAATCAGGAGCAGATACAGCGAAACGAATTGATCTTTTGCAATTGATGCTTGATGCGAAAACTACGTCGCAGCATGAGGTTCCTTAATCACCCTGAAATAGTTTGATATCTTTTGTGTGTATGTGTATCCTAGGAAACTACACGTGAGAAAGGACTGACCAATGATGAAATCAAAGCAAATATTTTTCTCTTCATGGTTGCTGGCTTTGACACAACATCGACAATGTTAGCGAATTGTACTTACGTACTAGCTATAAAGCCTGCAATCCAAGAGAAGCTTTATGAAGAAATTCATAGTTTGGAAAAAGACAAGTTTGATTATGATACAATAACTAAACTAGAATACATGGAATTATTTCTACGAGAAGTTCTTCGTATGTATCCTGCTTCCACAAGTGTACTCACCAGAGTATGCAATGAAACAACAACTGTATGCGGTCATCTTATTGAGAAAGGTAAAGTGCTTTTCGAGCATGTTTTGATTTGTTTTTCTATTTGGCCTGCTCAGGAAGTGTTATTCAAACAGATTTATTTACAATTCATTATAATCCTGATCTATGGGGCCCTGATGATCCACATGAGTTCGTGCCTGAACGGCATCTAACCAAACGACATCCAATGGCACTTTTAACATTTGGTGCTGGGCCACGTATATGTATTGGAATGCGATTTGCGATGATGGAGATCAAAATGACTCTCGCACGTTTACTACACGATTATAAAATATTACCTGGTAAACATTTAGAAGAAGGCTTTCAACTTCGTGATGGATTTGTTATACAGCCAGATGCTGTTTATATTAAACTTCAAAAGCGTAACTAATGAAAACAAGCTTACAAACGTTATAGACAATCTTTTTCTTCTATTAACATACATATGTACTCGCGCTGCTATGAATAGCTCTATAATGATTAGACAAGTGTTTCAAAATTTAGTGTTGTGACTGGCAATTGAACTGTTCGAAGAACTACGAGGAATTGAATAAAGAGCAGGAGTTCGGAGAATATCACGCTTAGTACTGGGTTGAACGGTACGACGTATGGAATAAATACATTTCTTGACTAATCCAGAGAAATGACACTTGACGACTACCATGTATTGGCACATAAATAATAATAAGGCCAGAATACTTATACTTCCGAATATGATAAATACACCAGCCATTGTTCCAATCGACAGCTGATCAACTAGTATCGACGATGTATTCGAACAATAACTGGTTTGAAACCATTTCGTTTTTAAACTATCTAATACACCTGATTCTCGCAATGATAGGATATTTACGTCTAAAACTTGTTGATAAATCCAGTTCTTTTGAGTAACAATTCCAAACTGACTGTAATCAGCAGGCGCGCCAACTAATGTTAAATTGCAGTAAACATTCCCAACGAAATATTCTGACACGCCACTATCCATCAAAGCTACGTCGATTACATTCGTCAAGAGTTTCTGAAAGGTTTCACCTTTTGTGCGTAATGGATAAAAATCTCGACTACCACCGGATACTTCTCGTAAATAAAAGGTTTCAATAGCCGTATTCGTACGAATACCTATCCGTCCAGGTGCAGCTTTTCCATTTTTCAAGTCCTCAATACCAGAAATTATGTTATTTGTCTTAGCTACTGTTAAATCAGACGTCAGATTCGCTTGATATTGCGCTACTAGAACAAAACTGAGAATGTATATAGCAGCAGTTACTAATCGACTCATCAGCGTCCTGATACGATAATCCCAATTATATCCAACAAGAGTTCCAAACGCGTAATACATACTTAATTCAAATTGATGAATGAGAGATTTACGTTTCATTGTTCGATTGCGCCGACATTCAAACAAAAATATCAAAATAGCCGACCAGACAATAACGCATATGATGATTATCCAAAGATGACATGAAAAGGGTCGTAGGAAAGACCAATAATTGACTGGTTCGATGGGCGTAATACGTGTGATAATTCGTAAGGAATTATCAAAAATTCCGGCGGAGAAAGTAACTAATTTTCGTCGATCGGCATAGATTGTCACATCACCAACAACCATATCATAATCGCCATTTGCAACGGCATTAATAAGTGCATTGTAACTCTNATCGATCGTAGCAACCGGAGGAATCGAATTATCCCATGCTAAATGATGCTGATGTCGATGAATATGATGCGTCATACGGATATTGATCAAAATTTACAATGGAAACTTTCTTTCGTTCGCAATGATTTGTTTTATCGGTTGTCTTTATGATACATACAAGACGAGATCAACTATGCAGACCATTAATAAAACAAATCGACAGAGGTCATGCTCTATCAATTGATTATAGACGAGTACTTCGCCTTTCATTTGAATTCGGTATAAACTGTATATCGGTAGAGAAAATTTTACAATCACAGAATGACTCAACTCGTGTCTTCAAATGTGATGTGGAGATGCAGCGAAGCACGTCCTATCAAACCTTATTTTATATCTATGAAAATGGGACGTCCAAGGGCAAAGTAGAGAATAAGAAAAGGTGCGATGATCATATTGTCGTAAACATCAAAACATGCATCTCACAATTATCGTCGTTGTTTGTTTTATCAGTCTTCTTGTTATCTACTTGTCAATTTTAAAATCTCGATATTCATATTTTCAACGTCGAGGTATTCCAGGCCCTTCGCCCACTTTCTTTCTTGGCCATTTCGGTATTATATGGTCGACGAAATCTTATTCGCGTCAATTACAATCATGGACAAAACAATTTGGCTCAATTTATGGTCTTTTTGAAGGCACTCGTCCATTCTATGTTGTGTCCGATGTTGATTTTCTTCAAAATATATTCATTCATCAATTTTCATCCTTCAATTCGCATCGTATTTCTTTCCTTTACAAATTATCTAAATCAGTGCATTTGATTGGTGCGGATTCAGCACGATGGCATCAACAACGACACGCTATCAATCCTGCATTTTCAGCCGCAAAACTCAAGCTTATGAACCCACTCATCGATCGATGCATCGAATCATTTATCGAGAAATCATCTGAAATAAATCAAGAAAGCAACGAATTTGATATCTATAAGTTATATCAACGATTAACCATGGATGTTATCTGTTAGTATACATTCGTTTTACAAAATATATGATTTTGTATATGTTGCATTCGTTCCAGGTCATTGTGCATTTGGCATTGATACAGATATGCAAAATGATGTCGATAACGAGATGATGGCTAAAGCAGCTATTATTTTCAAACAAGATGTCGAACGCATGCCATTGACAAAACTGAGCTATCTAATGCCATGGTTAACACCCATTCTCGCTCGATTCCTTCTCTTTCAGACAGTTCTTTTTCATGCTCTCCACAGACTGGCACCTACTATTTTTCCCGATCTTACGGATAAGATACCTCGTTTTTGGCTTCTCGCAAGAGTCCAACAAGTTATCGATGCGCGTAACATCGGATCAGGAGCAGATACAGCGAAACGAGTTGATCTTCTGCAACTGATGCTTGATGCGAAAACTAAGTCGCAGCATGAGGTTCCTTAATCACTCTGAAATAGTTTGATATCTTTTGTGTGTATGTATATCCTAGGAAACTACATGCGAGAAAGGATTGACCAATGATGAAATCAAAGCAAATATTTTTCTCTTCATGGTTGCTGGCTTTGACACAACATCGACAATGTTAGCGAATTGTACTTACGTATTAGCTACAAAGCCTGAGATCCAAGAGAAGCTTTATGAAGAAATTCACAGTTTGGATAAAGACAAGTTTGATTATGATACAATAACTAAAATAGAATACATGGAATTATTTCTACGAGAAGTTCTTCGTATGTATCCTGCTTCCACATCCGTACTCACCAGAGTATGCAATGAAACAACAACTGTATGCGGTCATCTTATTGAGAAAGGTAAAGTGCTTTTCGGACATGTTTTGATTTGTTTTTCTATTTTGCCTACTCAGGAAGTGTTATTCAAACAGATTTATTTACAATTCATTATAATCCTGATCTATGGGGTCCTGATGATCCACATGAGTTCGTGCCTGAACGGCATCTAACCAAACGACATCCAATGGCACTTTTAACATTTGGTGCCGGACCGCGTATATGTATTGGAATGCGATTTGCGACGATGGAGATCAAAATGACTCTCGCACGTTTAGTACACGATTATAAAATATTGCCTGGTAAACATTTAGAAGAAAGCTTTCAACTTCGTGATGGATTCGTTATACAGCCAGATGCTGTTTATATTAAACTTCAAAAGCGTAACTGATGAAAACAAGCTTACAAATGTTATAAAACAAATCTTTTTCTTCTATTATCATACATATGTACTCGGGCTGCTACTAATAGCTCTATAATGATTAGACAAGTGTTTCAAAATTTAGTGTTGTGGCTGGCAATTGAACTGTTCGAAGAACTACGAGGAACTGAATAAAGAGCAGGAGTTCGAAGAATATCACGCTTAGTACTGGGTCGAACGGTACGACGTATGAAATAAATAGATTTCTTGACTAATCCAGAGAGATAGTACTTGACGATTACCATGTTTTGGCACATAAATAATAATAATGCCAGAATACTTATACTTCCGAATATGATAAATACACCAGCCATTGTTCCAATCGACAGCTGATCAACTAGTATCGACGATGTATTCGAACAATAGCTGGCTTGAAACCATTTCGTTTTCAAACTATCTAATACACCCGATTCTCGCAATGATAGGATATTTACGTCTAAAATTTGTTGATAAATCCAGTTCTTTTGAGTAACAATTCCAAACTGACTGTAATCAGCAGGCGCGCCAACTAATGTTAAATTGCAGTAAACATTCCCAGCGAAATACTCTGACACGCCACTATCCATCAAAGCTACGTCGATTACATTAGTCAAGAGTTTCTGAAAGGTTTCAGCCTTTGTGCGTAATGGATAAAAATCTCGACTACCACCGGATACTTCTCGTAAATAAAAGGTTTCAATAGCCGTATTCGTACGGATACCTATCCGTCCAGGTGCCACTTTTCCGTTTTTCAAGTCCTCAATACCAGAAATGATGTTATTTGTCTTAGCTACTGTTAAATCAGACGTCAGATTCGCTTGATATTGCGCTACTAGAACAAAACTGAGAATGTATATAGCACCAGTTACTAATCGACTCATAGGCGTCCTGATACGATAATCCCAATTATATCCAACAAGAGTTCCAAACGCGTAATACATACTTAATTCAAATTGATGAATGAGAGATTTACGTTTCATTGTTCGATTGCGACGGCCTTCAAATAAAAATATTAAAATAGCCGACCAGACAATAACGCATATGATGATTATCCAAAGATGAAATGAAAACGGTCGTAGGAAAGACCAATAATTGACTGGTTCGACGGGTGCAATACGTGTGATAATTCGTAATGAATTATCAAAAATTCCGGCGGAGAAAGTAACTAATTTTCGTCGATCAGCATAGATTGTCACATCACCAACAACCATATCATAAGCGCCATTTGCAACGGCATTAATAAGTGCATTGTAACTCTGATTTGATGGTAAACACGTTATATTTGAAATGAATCCCATTGCTTTTTCTAACTGTTTTATAAGATCAGGAATATATCCGACTATTTTCTGAGCTGTTTGTCCATAGTCATCAGTGGTCGCTGTACATTTTGTAAACGGTACTGCCTCGATAACAGCAATTTGTAGAACTAAACCTGAAATTGATGCATAACCAGTAGGAGGTACGGTTGATTTACCAGGCCATATAATCGAGCTCATCCGTCCATTAGCTGTCCATTCACCTGTCTCTGATGAGACGAGCACTGGAACATAACTTAGAATATTAGAAGAACTCTGCACATTTTTCACTATATAGTAGGTGCCGTTGACACGATCAGTTGTGTTTGCGCTGAATGCTATTGGACCGGATACACCAAGAAATGTATTTGAATCAATGATATCAAACAATGAGCTTGAGTTGATTAACTGTCGATCAAAACAGTATGAGCTATTAAACAATGAAACACATGGAGTAGTTGTTGAACAAAGATGACTCAATGCTTGAATCAGCGTCCAAGTTGCATCGAAGGCAAAGAGAGCATAATAATCAACGTTTTTCGATTCTGGAAACGATTCAGGCTCATACGTTTTCCATATCTCATATGCTTCGTTGAGTAAGGTTTTATTGATGAGTCCATAAGCAAGACCTCCCACCACCGGCTCGAGGGTGAGCATACCACTCAATTGTTCCTGCCATGTAGGCAGAAAAGAATTCAAAGGAATATTCGTACTCAATATCCACATGAATTGTGGACCGAGCACATCAGCGCGTAAGGCAAGTTCTAAGATAGAAGCTGAATAGCCTGAATCAGCCCACAGTATGACTAATCGTGTTGAGCTGCTCATTAAAAGAGCTCTTAAGTCACCTTTAATAGAACGTGTCATAGTATCGAATACTATCATTTCTGCCACGGTTAAATTATTCTTCTCAAACGTGTCGCTGATTGCTTTTGTTCCACCCAATCCAAATGCATCATTTTGATAGATGATAATACATGACGTCCAATTGTACAGGTCAAAAAGTTTAGCTATTGCTAGCGCGGCCGCCGTGTCTGCAGGAAGCGTACGATAGAAACTGGGATATGTCCGTCGATCGGACAGATCAGGATCAGTCGAAGCATAGGACACCATAGGAATACGAAGTTGAGCAGCAAACGGAGCCATAAAATGAGATTCTCTTGAAAAAGGAGGACCGACAATACCAACAATGCTTGAATTCGGCACTAGTCGGCAAGTACTGCTCAAAGTATTTATCGAATTGCCATCACTCCTAATCGTCTGCCAGCCAATAAAATGCCCGTTAACAGTTATATTGTATTTCTGAGCCAGTACTATCGCCGATTTGAACATTGCGCGACACTGGCGAGACCATGATGTCGATTCTGTGGTGTTCGAATCCTCGTAAAAGATACCTGCTAATTGTACCCCGGACGAATTCAATAATGGCCAGTTCGCGACGAAGCGTGGCACGGTATTGTATATAAGGAAAAGATGTATGCATTGCCATTGAAAAGTCCACATAGTTCGTATTTTTTTCCTCGTCAACTCGTAGAGAATACAATTGTACGAATACAAATAGCTGAGTCTGTCAAACATTCGCTTATCAATGGAAGGCAGACTAAATAAATATTCCCTACAGCTAAATTCTGCTTTTGATATTTTGACGTCAAGCATTGCTTCTTTTGTTTTAATCCACATCAACAAAAAATGAGAACCTTCTCCTTCTATTGAAAACGAAACAGTTCTTTTCTTCGATTCTGTTACCGTGATTTTTATAAGGAAGTGAAAACAAAACGTCAAGTGACGCATTATAACAACCAACGAAAATCATCGAATTCTACTCATGCAATGTATCGTTGTTTTTTTCTCGAAAAAATTCACATGTACCCGTTCATGTGTTCATCAACGATATTTATACACTGATTTCTCCTTCCTTATCAGTCATGGAGTACATAGATAACACACTCATTCACTTGTTCTTCTCAAATATAACAGTCAATTTCATTCTCATTTTCACATGCAAGGTAACTTCACTATGAAATCGATTATTCATCTTACTCTCTTGTTTCTTCTGAATGCTCAAGCATTCAATGCAAATCATCAGCAAGATCAATGCGATAATTTATGTGCAATTGAGATCAATGAAATTGACATGTCCAAATTTCTCAGTGGTACAGATGAAGAAAAGAAACACATCGCAGCACTATTTGATCGAACTTTTCATGAACAAGGTGTTACCCGTTTAATCAATAACAACATCACATCAGAACTAATGGCCAAAGCCAAGGAATTTTTTGCGTTAGATTTAGAAACAAAAATGAAATATAACATCGATCGTCACGATATTACTACATCAGGATACAAGCCGTTAGGGTTTGAAACGGTTGCCAACTATAAAAACGAGAAGCAAACGGCATCAACTGATTCTACTGAAGCTTTTTTCACATATTTCAAATCGCAACCCAAACAGCTCAATTTTCCAGCCGATAAATTACCTGAGCAATTTAGTGAAATTATACCAGAGTATATCTTCAAATCACGACAATTAATAGCATTAGTTCATCGTATTGTCGACATGGCTTTAGGATTGGATGAAAATACACTGGATCGCAATTATACGAACGATGACGCTCTGTTCAGTTCGCGACTAACTCGATATTTACCAACGGAAGATGAGCATGGATTGGCATTCGGCGAACATCAAGATTATCTTGGATTTACTTTGTTACAAAACGATGATGTGCCTGGTATGTTCTTTTAGATTAACATCTCTACTAACTGATGATCTGCGCTTTGCTAGGATTGGAAGTGAATATCGACGGCAGATGGTTTCGTGTGGATTCTAAGCCGAATACTCTTATATTATTGGGTGGCGAGCTGATTCAGAGATGGACGAATAATTATTGGATATCGATACTACATCGCGTTAGTGCAGTGAAACAGCTACGATTTTCAGTCTTGTTCTTTACTGGACCAGATGTAAATACAGTTATTGAAACATTACCATGTGAAAAATGTCTGCGAACATCGTCAAAATATACTCCTGTTAGTGTATCTGAACATTTAAAACGAAAACAGGAGGCTACATTACAAAAAGACCGTTAGCGTTAATATACAATGTGTACTTTTTTCTTTTCTTTTCTTATCAGTTGGAAACAAACGCATGTGAAAAGTTTATATTCACCAAATAGAAGATAGCTCATAGTTTCTTTCTCTGTTTTCAATGATTGCAAGATAACGAAAATATGTAAATCATTCATATTGAAAATAGATATGAATTTTATGCTTTCTGATACCATCACCAGGCCATCGATAAGCTATGAGAGAGAAATGGTGTTTCCGTACGTTTCTGAGTGTTACAAAATAATTTCATTTCAAGAAAATGTGAAGTTGACAGAGTAAGTGAATGCTGTTTTAATTGTTCTTTTCCGAAGTAAAAAAGAATTTTACACATGGAAGCGTCATTCACTTTTCTTTGCTTCTCTGTTAGCTAATTCTATAGTGGTGATTACATCGCTCCGACTTTGTGTTTTTATCTACTAGAAGAATGATAATAAGATCGTGTCCGTTTTCTTATCAGGAGTGTTAATTTAACTGTACTTTGTAAACGAATACTAGATTAGAGTTATACGTTCGCAGACGTTCTCTCGAATTTCTCTTAGCGGTTCATTCTAAAGCACTGATCAACGCTTTTTCTAATGCGAAAGATACATATTGCGAATCAGAAATGTGTATGTTCTTCTTTGATTCGCGTCATTTCGTGTGAAAATTCTCGTTTATTAGCTGTAAATAAGAAGGAACGCGTTTTTCTGATGGTTTCGCACAAAAGAATTTTTAATAAGTTAAACTTTTGTTCGCTCGCAAAATTGAGGAAGAAAAATCTGACTACGTCATTGGAGAGAGCGTCATCAATCGCATGTTCCTAGAGATTCAAAACTTTGCAGCACGGTTTGAAGTACACCAAGAAAGGGAAAAAAAGAACTTTGAAAAATAGTCTGCTCTTGTATTCTTGGTCAGTAATGCATGCATATACTCTATACGGTAGCAAAATACATTAGATATTGCACCCTTTCGTATCATATCACTAAACGGTAAGGATTATACAGCATTTCGTTTTTAATTTCCAAACATAGAGACAACTTGTATTTGTACTCTTCGTTAATAGAAAAATAAACTTCGAGGGACAAATCATACTTTCATCCCAAGCGGTATACCACATATTGAATTACATCGCTTGAGTTGACGTGTTGATTTCCCTTCCGTCTCAGTCAATCTAATTAATTTTATGAAAAAATGACGGACGGCAGCGGTACTAATTCAACACGCAATGTACCTTCGTACTTATCTATGACAACGATTGAATCATGGTTTATTCCTTCTGACCTCTTCATGACGGTTTCAATCTCTTCCGGAACTATTCTATCTTTCATTTTCCTGTGTATTATTACCATTGATAAAGCATGTCGCACGGTTTCGATGATGTTAGTTGCCAATTCATGCTTAGCTTCTTTTATGTTTGGTTTTAACATAACTTGCATGTCAATCTTCACATTGATAGATGACTTTCATCAAGTAGGATACGAAGATTCACTGGGTCTCTGGCGTGGCTATGCCATCCAAGGTAATGTTTCCGGAATCCGGATCCGCCCGGACCCCGAACGATCCTATGTCTTTTCCCGCATCTTCCTACAGGTTCCATGCGGGCTTGCAAAGTATCCCGCAGGAAAAACCCACGGCAAGTGGAAGCAGTACTCCCCGGATATAGTATGATATAGAGGTGAGAGAATAAAGAATAGAAAGAGATGAACGATATCATTATCGTTACACCCTCTCACTCAGCTTAGACGCGCTCCTGAGCGTCTTTACAATATTAAGTCGAAGGCGAAAAAAAAATGAAGATGAGTAGATAATGATCACGAGAAAGGTCACACGAATAAGAACAATATAAACTCATCGAATGCACTAGAGATATCTCAACACAAAATGCGATTTATAAGCGTTTACACATAACGAAGTAGTTTTAAAAAAATTTCGATCCAACAACTACGACGTTTCATACAAAAAATTAACATAATGACAATCACACACGCATTAATACGAGATATTCCATACGACTTTTTCTCATCCTCTTGCTTAAACCGATTAGCTTGATTTGTAAAATACAGCAAAAAATATAATGAGTCAATTAGTGCAGTCTTCTGTATGCGGCTTTACTTGAACGAATCTTGTGCCAATAAAATGAATCGCCACGCAGTAGAAGTGGAACACTTCCATGTCATTCTTCTCCCGGATAACTCGGCTGTTCAGTCGTTGGGTCGTTCTTGCAGCTACAGACAAATAAAATTCTTCGATTTCTTCATTTCAAATAATTCTTTCTGGATTAATATTCCTGCCAACGCTTGCCCACCCGATTCTGATGCCGTTGAGGAGGTTCCTCATCACATCAATTCAAAATTCATCTTTGTTATTTTACATACATTGCAGTCACCGATTGCCCATTAAATTTCGATTTATCCATTGATTGATCTTCAGTGTTGTTTGTGTTTACTAGAGAATCTACTTCGAGTGGATTTGCGAAGATTCACTAGCCAGGGTCGCCATGTAACGACAAACTGGTTGAGTAGCTGACCGCTTCTCACGGTATCGATGTTTATTGACTACTCTACATGACCAGAATGTGTCTCTTTCAAAATAAGACATGCGCTTATATAGAGAAGAGGAAAGAGAGATATGACCCGGAAATAGTATGATACAGAGGTGAGAGAAAAAGAACAGAAAGAGATGAACGATATCATTATCGTTACACCCTCCCACTCAGATTGACGCACTCCTGGGCGTCTTTACATCCAAAAACAACACAACAACAAGCGAATAATAAACTGAGAAAAACAATCTAACGTATGATGATGACGCAATATGGAAAAAAAAATGGCAAAAAAAAAACAAAAAAAAAACAATTTCATAATATTTAACTCATGCGTTACACTTATTAAACATATAATTTCGAACATACAATGTTTAGGCGCAAGACAATATTTTTCTTTGACAATCATTTGGACACAACAAAAAAAATTGTTTCACTTAAGTCATACAGACAGAAAGATCAATTATATAGAGAATACTCACGGCTTTCGATTTTTTTTCCTCATAAAAACTCCATATTTCGCGCGATGCGAACAGATAAATCCATCTATAAAAGGTCAAACACTTTTATGTCACTTTTCATAGATTGCATTTAATATCCGATGACAATTCTTCCATAATATATATATCATAAAAAAATTTAACGACGAGAATGATACCATTGATTTAACAGCCAGCGTAGGATAAATAACTATTGAATGACAAATCTTGATTGTTACATGCATCGATCGACTAATTTTTTATTGAAATAAAGTACTCTTTGACACAACGGGATTTGAGTCTAGTGTATAAACGATACCTAGAACGATCTCTAATAATATATATCATTTGATTTAATCTTTCTCTTCCATCTAAGAGAGATGACAGAGTGTGAAGCCATTTCACACAAATTAACCTAAAATTTGATCGATTGTTGGTCATTAACTTGATCATTTCGGATAAAGTGCAGCTGCTGATAAAGATGATAATAACAACTGACCATTTCATTGATAGATAATGATAGATGATTTTTTACGGCCGATAATAATCACATTCATTATCATCGATGATAATTTTTGTTTGATGAACCGAACAAAAATAAGAACGTAGCAAGAACGAGATGTTGAATCGAGCAGAAAGAATATGAAACGTACTGATGTTGTAAAGGAAATGCGACACCTCTCGCATAAACAGTAAACAGAAAACCGTCCTTTAGTACGTCAACTGATGAACTGTTACATTGTTTTGCAGTAGAACAAACAAGACCTGCAGTTGTCAACAACGCCAAATTCTTCATCTTCCATCAATATCTTCCTTCTTTACGTCAGTCCAAATTTTCATTCATATTTTTTTGTTGTTGTTGTTTCGTTGAATGATGTTGCAAATTTGCGCTTGTGAATAATACGGTATTTTTAATTGCGCATCGTTAATTTGTTTTTGTTTTGTTTTTCTTTATCGCGGCTGTTGTTGTTTCTGGCGGAAGCTAAACTCATGCGGCTAGACGGACATAAATACGGCTAAGGTAGATAGTCGTGAGTAGATCGAGAAGAGAGAGCATGAAACGTATCGATGTTACTAAGGAAAGTGCGGTGACAAGTCGCACTATCGGCTCCCAACACATAAGCCGCCTTTTGATACGTCTACTGATGTTCGGTAACATTATTGGCGAAACACATTTCAACAATGCCATGCGTCTTAACTCATATCACCTCGTTCCATTACCTTAATCAGTTCTTCTTACCATCTAAACATGTAGATTTCTTCATGGATCGAGTTAACTGGATGACGACGATAATGATAATTTTTTGGTGTTATTTCTGGCAAGGATTTATTCTTCTTCAGGCTTTGCAAGGGTCTATCGTGCCAGGGTCGCCATGTAATGACAAACTGGTTGAGTAGCTGACCGCTTCTCACGGTATCGATGTTTATTGACTACTCTACATGACCAGAATGTATCCACTTCACAATAAGACACACGCTTATATAGAAAGAGAAAGGGAAAGAAGAAAACAGAGAAGAACAAGAGGATACGCATGATTAGGAGAGATGATCGTATATTGATATCACCCCAGGGGGTAATATCTTTATCGTTACAGTACCTATGTGTAGAGATCGGGCAAACTTAGGTGTCAAGGTCTTATATTGTGAGAAATGGATTTCTATATTGTATTTATTGGTTTTTCTCGTGCAATTTGATGCGCTCTATCTAACTGGACCATTAGATCCGACGGCTCGTGTCGAATGATTATGGGATTCAGCAACTTTCTGAATAGGACCTCACATGATAGTGGGCTTCCGTCCTATCTATCTTATCAAACTCTATCAAAATACGCTTTGGTCGATATAATTTCAAGTAGAACGATGCTATCTCGAGGAAACAAGTCTGCGGGACTAGTTATGCATGCATAAAATCACAAAAAACGTATCTCATGCCCTGGACTACAGAGTGAGTAGTAAGACGTTGGTGAAACTCTCATAACGACCAGAATTTCAGAGAAAGTTTTGACAAATACTAGTACAGAGGTGCAGGAATATATGGAATTTACTTTATTTCTGAGCAAGATCCCTGAAATCAGGCGTTGATCTGCTCTAAAAAATCAAGAAATCCTTTTTAGTATAGGGGGCTTATAATTATGGTACAGCAAGTTTTCGAGAATTTGCATTTTTTTCTCTAACTGTTAGGGAAACGCAAATCGAAACTTAGCATGATAGATAGTACTTATGTAGTCATACACCATCATACCATTAGTTGATCATCGTCTTCTATTTCGGAAGTAAAATAAAGATTTTTCAATGCATCTGTTAGGGGGGGCTTATAATTTTGGTACACCCTGTATATGCCATTAAGACGATTTTAACCCTTTCTTACCCTTTGGGCGCTATAACGCCCACTTTATAAAAATTTGATTTTTCTGAACTAGAGGGTATTTAACGAGGATCCTTGTATCACCCTTAAGAGTAACTATCATGAATCGGNCATTTGCAACGGCATTAATAAGTGCATTGTAACTCTGATTTGATGGTAAACACGTTATATTTGAAATGAATCCCATTGCTTTTTCTAACTGTTTTATAAGATCAGGAATATATCCGACTATCTTCTGAGTTGCTCGTCCATAGCCATCTGTGATCGCTGTACATTTTGTAAATGGTACTGCTTCGATGACAGCAATTCGTAGAACTAAACCTGAAATTGATGCATAACCAGTAGGAGGTACGGTCGATTTACCAGGCCATATAATCGAACTCATCCGTCCATTGGCTGTCCATTCACCTGTCTCTGATGAGACGAGCACTGGAACATAACTTAGAATATTAGAAGAACTCTGCACATTTTTCACTATATAGTAGGTGCCGTTAGCACGATCAGTTGTGTTTGCACTGAATGCTATTGGACCGGATACACCAAGAAATGTATTTGAATCAATGATGTCAAACAATGAGCTTGAATTGATTAACTGTCGATCAAAACAGTATAAGCTATTAAACAATGAAACACATGGAGTAGTTGTTGAACAAAGATGATGCAATGCTTGAATCAGCGTCCAAGTTGCATCGAAGGCAAAGAGAGCATAATAATCAACGTTTTTCGATTCTGGAAACGATCCAGGCTCATACGTTTTCCATATCTCATATGCTTCGTTGAGTAAGGTTTTATTGATGAGTCCATAAGCAAGATCTCCCACCACCGGCTCGAGGGTGAGCATACCACTTAATTGTTCCCGCCATGTGGGCAGAAAAGAATTCAAAGGAATATTCGTACTCAAAATCCACATGAATTGTGGACCGAGCACATCAGCGCGTAAGGCAAGTTCTAAGATAGTAGCTGAATAGCCTGAATCAGCCCACAGTATGACTAATCGTGTTGAGCTGCTCATTAAAAGAGCTCTTAAGTCACCTTTAATAGAACGTGTCATAGTATCGAATACTATCATTTCTGCCACGGTCAAATTATTCTTCTCAAACGTGTCGCTGATTGCTTTTGTTCCACCCAATCCAAATGCATCATTTTGATAGATGATAATACATGACGTCCAATTGTATAGGTCAAAAAGTTTAGCTATTGCTAGCGCAGCCGCCGTATCTGCAGGAAGCGTACGATAGAAACTGGGATTTGTCTGTCGATCGGACAGATCAGGATCAGTCGAAGCATAGGACACCATAGGGATACGAAGTTGAGCAGCAAACGGAGCCATAAAATGAGATTCTCTTGAAAAAGGTGGCCCGACAACACCAACAATGTTTGAATTCGGCACTAGCCGGCACGTGCTGCTCAAAGTATTTATCGAATTGCCATCACTCCTAATCGTCTGCCAGCCGATAAACTGCCCGTCAACAGTTATATTGTATTTCTGAGCCAGTACTATCGCCGATTGGAACATTGCACGACACTGGCGAGACCATGATGTCGATTCTGTGGTGTTCGAATCCTCGTAAAAGATACCTGCTAATTGTACCCCGGACGAATTCAATAATGGCCAGTTCGCGACGAAGTGTGGCACGGTATTGTATATAAGGAGAACATATATGTATTGCCATTGAAAATTCCACATAGTTCGTATTTTTTCTTCTCGTCAACTCGTAGAGAATACAATTGTACAAATACCTGAGTCTGTGAAACATTCGTTTATCAATGGAAGGCAGACTAAATAAATATTCCCTACAGCTAAATTTTACTTTTGATATTTTGCCGTCAAGCGTTGCTTCTTTTGTTTTACTCCACATCAACAAAAACATGAGAACCTTCTCCTTCTATTGAAAACGAAACAGTTCTTTTTTTCGATTCTGTTAACGTGATTTTTATAAGGAAGTAAAAACAAAACATCAAGTGATGCATTATAACAACCAACGAAAATCACAGAATTCTACTCATGCAATGTATCGTTGTTTTTTTCTCGAAAAAATTCACATTTACTCGTTCATGTGTTCATCAACGATGTTTATACACTGATTTCTCCTTTTCTCTTTCCTTATCAGTCATGGAGTACATAGATAACACACTCATTCACCTGTTCTTCTCAAATATCACAGTCAATTTCATTCTCATTTTCACATGCGAGGTAACTTCACTATGAAATCGATTATTTATCTTACTCTCTTGTTTCTTCTGAATGCGCAAGCATTCAATTCAAATCATCAGCAAGATCAATGCGATAATTTATGTGCAATTGAGATCAATGAAATTGACATGTCCAAATTTCTCAGTGGTACAGATGAAGAAAAGAAATACATTGCAGTACTATTTGATCGAACTTTTCATGAACAAGGTGTTATCCGTTTAATCAATAACAACATCACATCAGAACTAATCACCAAAGCCAAGGAATTTTTTGCGTTAGATTTAGAAACAAAAATGAAATATAACATTGATCGTCAAAATATTACTACATCAGGATACAAACCGTTAGGATTTGAAACGGTTGCCAACTATAAAAACGAGAAGCAAACGGCATCAATTGATTCCACTGAAGCTTTTTTCACATTTTTCAAATCGCAATCTAAACAGTTAAATTTTCCAGCTGATAAATTACCTGAGCATTTCCGTGAAATTATACCAGAGTATATCTTCAAATCACGACAATTAATAGCATTAGTTCATCGTATTGTCGACATGGCTTTAGGATTGGATGAAAATACATTGGATCGAAATTATACGAACGATGACGCTCTGTTCAGTTTGCGACTAACTCGATATTTACCAACGGAAGATGAGCATGGATTGGCATTCGGTGAGCATCAAGATTATCTTGGGTTTACTTTGTTACAAAACGATGATGTGCCTGGTATGTCCTTTTAGATTAATATCTCTACTAACTGATGATCTACACTTTGCTAGGATTGGAAGTGAATATTGACGGCAGATGGTTTCGTGTGGATTCTAAGCCGAATACTCTTATATTATTGGGCGGTGAGCTGATTCAAAGATGGACGAATAATTATTGGATATCGATATTACATCGCGTTGGTGCAGTGAAACAACTACGGTTTTCAGCCTTATTCTTTACTGGACCAGATGTAAATACAGTTATTGAAACATTACCATGTGAAAAATGTCTGCGAACATCGTCAAAATATACTCCTGTTAGTGTATCCGAACATTTAAAGCAAAAACAGGAGGCTACATTACAAAAACACCGTTAACGTTAATCTAGAATGCGTACTTTTTTCTTTTCTTTTCTTTTCTTATCAGTTGGAAACAAACACATGTGAAAAATTTATATTCACCAAATAGAAGATCGCTTATAGTTTCTTTCTCTGTTTTCAATGATTGTAAGATAACGAAAATATGTAAGACATTCATAATGAAAATAGATATGAATTTTATACTTCCTGATACCATTCTCAAGCCATCGACAATCTATGAGAGAGAAATGGGTGTTTTCATACGTTTGTGAGTGTTACAAAATAATTTCATTTCAAGAAAATGTGAAGTTGACAGAGTAAGTCAATGCTGTTTTTGATTGTTCTTTTTCAAAGTAAAAAAGAATTTTACACGTAGAAACATCGTTCACTTTTCTTTGTTTCGCTGTTAGCTAATTCTATAGTGGTGATTACATCGTTCGGACATTGTGTTTAATCTACCAGAAGAACGAAAATAAGATCGTGTCCGTTTTTATATCAGAACTGTTGATTTAACTGTGTTTTGTAAACAAATACTAGATTAGAGTTATACGTTCGCAGACGTTCTCTCCCGTTAAAATCATGTCCTTTCAACTCAGTATTTTTCTCCCACTATCGGCGCAGTTACACAAATCAGAACAGTTTTCTTCACAGCTATACGAGATAGACAAAGGAAGTATTGCTACAAGATGAAGTGTTCTCGAACTTCTCCATTCTAAAGCACTGATCAATGCTTTTAGATTTCTAATACGAAAGACACATATTGCGAATCAGAAATATGTGTTGTTCTTTGATTCGCGTGATTTCGTGGGAAAATTCTGTTCGATCAGCTGTAACTGAGAAGGAACGCGTTTTTCTGATGGTTTCGCGAAAGGCAATTTTTAATAAGTTAAACTTTGTTCACTCGCAAAAACTGAGAATGAGGAAATCTGACTACGTTATTGGAGGGAGCATTATCAATCGGATGTGTCTAGAGATTCAAAACTTTGCACCACGATATAAAGTACATCAATAAATAGAAAAAAAAACTTTGAAAAATAGTCTGCTCTTATATTCTTGGTCAGTAATGCATTCATATGCTCTATACAATAGCACAATACATTAGATATTATACTCTTTTTGGTATCATATCACCAAAAGGTAAGGATTATACAACACTTTGTTTTTAATTTTCAGGCGTAAAGACAACTTGTATTTTTATTCTTCGTTAATAGAAAAATAAAGATAAAATGACAAAACATACTTTCATCTCAAGCGGTATGCCATACATTGAATTACGTCGCTTGAGTTGATGTGTTGATTTCCTTTCTGTCTCAGTCAATCTAATTAATTTTATGAAAAAATGACGGACGGCAGCGGTACTAATTCAACACGCAATGTACCTTCGTATTTATCTATGACAACGATTAAATCATGGTTTATTCCTTCTGACCTCTTCATGACGGTTTCAATCTCTTCCGGAACTATTCTATCTTTCATTTTCCTGTGTATTATTACCATTGATAAAGCATGTCGCACGGTTTCGATGATTCACTGTGTCTCTGACATGGCTATGCCAGTTACGTGACGTGCGCTGCACTGAACTATTCATTTCTATTACAAGCTTTATATAGATATGTATCCGCCATCTGTCCGACTTGTTTGTTCTATAGATCATTCGAATTTCAAATTTTACTTATTGTGGCGACGTGGATATTCGGTTTCACGTATCCTTTTGTTCTCTTATTTAATAACGGAATTGTCTACAATGTGGATAATCAGATATGTCAATTACTGCTTCGACGTTCTTTTCCTCTAATTTATATGATACTTTGTGTTTTTGTAATTCCTATTCTATTGATCGCGTTAATTTATATAAAACTATTTCGGTACGTTCGTCGAATGAGTAAGCGTGCCATATCCGTTAACATTTTAATTTGTGCACGAAAAGAATTACAAATGGTTCAGCGAGTCGCCATACTGATCATGATCTTGATACTTGTTTGTTTGCCTTATACAATCTTTATTATTGTCTCTCTGTTCACCAATCCGCCACGATATCATTTTCGAATCGCTTACATATTTGTGGATCTGGTGTATACATTTGTCATGATTACTCTATTCCAGTTTACCGAACCTATTAAATCATATGTGAAAAAGAAACTAATACGATCGCGGACGAATGTGATTGCCGTCGTGAGGGCAGCGTAAACGTCGTTACAATGTTGTTTGTTGTAGATGTGAGTGTGTGCACATTTTATTTTATTTATGATGAATATCTTTATCAGGTAACATTACTCTTTGCTTGCAACAGATGAATGTGAATATGAGAGAGTGGATGAAAAGATAAAGATGACATTTTTTGTCATTTTACGATTGTCAATATTATTGAAGGACTAATTCCGAAGAGGAAAAAAGTTCTAGAAGTTTTAACTGTAAAATATTCTGTGTTGAGGTCGGATTCGTTTCTATAGTTCCTTTTTACGTTCATGTTTGGAATCTCCTTCTGATTGCATTGCAGCAGTGATGATTCCCACTGATGCCGGTGCTCCATAAGTGCCAATGTGTTTCGTGGCTGTATTGGAGTACTGAATCGAATTTGGATCCACTTCCCGAATATCGACGATTTTTGAATTGAATGAATCCAAGTTGGCTTCACCTTTAATACCAAGATTGACTTTCCCGTGCGGATGATCAGCTAATCGTTCGTTATTGATCAAATTCTTTGGTAGATCGCCTTTGGCTGTACGTTGTCTGTTTATAGCACCGGAGTTTTTCTGAGGTATAGCTTCTTGCTTAATTGTCTCATAGTCAGACTTTCGTAATTTTATTTGAACGTCAGTATACTTATTCGCTGGGTCCATTTCATTTTTGTGTTTTAAATAATTTTTCTGATGTCGGTTGATGCTTTCGGATGTCCATGTTTCACCTTCAGGTGTTGCAACCTTTGGTAGCTGTTGTTGCTTAATAGCTTGTACTGCATCTTCTTTCTTCATAACACGATAAACTCGTTGGTTATTCATTCGATCGATTGCCTTTGCTGATATTTTTCCACCGGCTCGTCCGGCCATACCATCCATAGCTACGCCAGCTACTAAATCAAAAATATCACCTGATTTCGAACTGGATTCATCCTTAACTAAATTCGTAACCAATGCAATGTTACCAGCTGGTCGATATTCACCATGCACAGCCGAATCAACTCCTGTTGTAATTGCATCCATAGCAGCACCGCCTGCGACACCTCCCGCGATAGCACCAACTGGTCCACCTGCTAGCAAGCCAGCAGCTCCACCACCTACTACACCGACTGTTCGCGATGCACTTTTCATTGCTTGATCACCACCTTCTTTGTCTCCAGCTGCATAATGAATAGCGCCTTTCACATGACCGACAATAGGTATTCCGTCGGCTAAATTACTCATACTATTTACAAAGTATTCTTGTGTTTTCTGTGCTGCTTCAGTGTTACCGCCTATTGCTTCACCAGCTGATCGAAGTTGTGATACAACAGGACAACCACGAGAAAAGTTCTCTTGGGTTCGTCGTGCTCCTTCGGTATCACCCGCTATTGCTTGAACTGCAGATTTCAGCTGTGAAATTACTGGAAGTATATCAAATATATCACCAATAACTACATGTGTTGAATAACAAAGTATCAAGAGAAAAAATATTTCACGCATCATTCTTCGTTCTCTCCTTAATAGCAAGATATAGAAAACGATCACAAAAAATGAGTTAGAAATTATGCAATTTATATACACCGTGTTAATATATCTTAGCGACTGACGAGATGACACGTAGATGCAATCCAATTCGTCCTCAGTAGTATTTACACTCGAAGAAGATTTCAAACATCGGTTGATAAATATATATCGCAACAATTGTGGCGTATATACGCTGTGCTGTGATGATAAGCAGTCATGGGTTTTTTCTCTTTTTTTTTGTTGGAATTTTTCGTAAGCATAATCATATATAACGTTTTATTTCTCATTTCATTCATAAAAGAATCTTGTATAAAGGAGTATGATGCTTTTAATATAGGTATTAGTAAAAAGAAACTCCGTTAATTTCATTCAATAAATGCGTAACAACACTTGTAACTGTCATATTCGATGTCTTCAAGTGTAGATATTCTCGGAATGAACTCATAAACAATGCAATTCGTTTGAACAGAAAATGTTTGTTGTTATTGAGATATATTCGTTAGTTTCAATTAACACAGAAAAAGTTGTGTTCCGTCCTTGTCAGATTGTCCTTGTTGTTCCAACGATTTAAAACCTGAAAAATTCACGAGTGATATTTCAAATATTGTCTGTATACCAATATGAAGCCAGCAGAGTTACCTTCACATCGATGATGATATCATTTCTGTAATAAATTGCATGTGTGCGATCTATCTAATTGAAAATATTGATCGAATCCTTATCGTTTGAATATCGTCATTAAGGATTATCATAAAAAGCAATTAAATCTTATCCAGATCGAGGTAGAATGCGTCAGGGAGACTTATTCGTTTACGGGAGCTATTACATTTCTCTAAAATCTATATACCACGCATACAGTAAGAAGTTAGAACCACTTGTTCTATTGTATTAGTATTTGATGAACTTTTTCCGGAAATTTCTCTCTGTCTGCTAATGACCCTGTTGAAAGTCTCAAATAAAAACTCAGACATCGAGGACTTTTATTTTTCGTTACAAAACAAAAAACACTTTATTATAGGTACTTTTTTGAAAAATTAAGAAGATCATTTTGCATTTGTTGATTGTTCTATTCATTGTTAAAGAATTTTCAAGACAGTTCCCGTGGAAAAATGCAAATCAGTTTGAAAATGTTGAGTAAATTGAATCGATTTGATTTGTTTATTGATGAAAGCATCGAAAATGAAAGAAATGGACGGGTTTTGATTATGCACTCTGCAAGGAAATTAGAGTTTAACGCTGAATATTTCAATGAATTTGGTAAATTCCTCAAGTTTATTTGTCACGAAAGAAAAAAAGATTTATGTTGTTACATTGCATTCGTCAAATACACGTGTTGTGAGTGAAAATCAAACTATTTACTGTTCATTATCTGCCCAACGGGATATTTGTCAACTATTGCGAGCACAGAAAAGGGCAAGAATAACATCAATGACACTCTGAAATCCTCGTGAAATTTTTCTTGATAAAACAGCTCTTTCGAATCAGACATTTGCTTTGGATTGTCTAAACGGAATAGTATTCGATGATCAAGATTATTTATTCGTTGTTGATTCGAATGATTTTTGTTGTTTAATTGGGCGTAATTGATCAGCAGGATTGGATGCAGATCAATTGAATTCTCCGTTAAATCTTCAAGTTAACTCATTTGGAAATCGTTTTGTTAATGATCAACAGAGCCATTACAATCAAAAATTTTATTTACGTAACTTTCCCTTGAAAACGCTAGTTGAAATAAAAAAATCAAAAGTTGTATTTTATTTTCCTCATCATACTGAGAATGGAAAAAAAGAAAATACGTGTTGCACGATACGATCAGACAACATCGATTTTATCAAATAAGACAATATTAGTGATAGATGGATGTCGTTCTGCTTCAAAAAAGTGTCGAATTATACTAATTCACAAAGATGTGAAGACGAGCGCAGGATATCGTAGCTTCAGATTTAACTTCTTCTGCAACCAATTCGTATTAGTATGCGTTCTAACTCTGATCATACCTGATCCTAGTAGTATTCAACGAGCTCTATCGATTCCAAATAGAATATTTCGGAAAATACCATCTTTACCTCTGAAAAATCGCGGGAAAACGTTGAAAAGCACTAAAATTTCAGGAAAAACTCGTCCGGATTAGTTTCTCAATCAATTATAATGTCACTTGAGATGGGTTCAAGTTCAGGTCAACGAACTCTGCTGATTCCAACTATAATCAAGTACCGACATATAGTATCCCTCTGAGAATACCGACAAATCACCACAACCACCCAAAAATGCAGTTTTCCACCCTCACCCTCACCTTCGAGCTGGTTCAATTGCAATTTGAGATGGATCATGGTCTAGCTCGACGAGCTCGGTCGATTTCGCATCTTATTTCTGAATTTTGAGTTATTTATCGCCGTGAAAAATGCTAATTATTAAACTATCCATCATATCTGCATTCACCAAAAAATTTCATTCGTTAATCCATTGAGTCCCGACGACGCATATATGCATTTATATGCATTAATTTGACAAAGATATTTCATAGTATACTTTTTAACCCTTTAGAACACCTCTTATTCGTTCTATTTGATGACATCGCACTAGTATAATCGTTTTTCCTTTCTGCCAGTTAATAATGCACTTTCTTTCGTTCTGTATGATGCCATACACTATCTTGCATTCTAGTAGAGTCTGCTATAGCCACTCCTTTTCCCCTTGATATCGACCTTTTATTGTTCTCTCAAGTACTTTCTGATCAGTTTCTATCCTTTTGTGAAGTTCTAGATAGCCGTATCTGACCTACAACATATAGTAAGTTCTATGGGCTTCAGAATCATAGAGCATATATATGTCGTATCGAAGTTAGGTTTTTGTCGAAGTTATAACTTCGATACGGTATATACATATTGCTCGAATAGTACAACGCAAAAGTCGGAACGAGCCGAGTATATTTCTTTTTTAAACAAAAATTGTACACATCACTTATTCCTCTTTTATACATTTTCAGCATGGTAACTGAAAGAAAAAGCTGAGATTGAATGAGTTCGTATACAATCAACTGTGGAAACTAAGTAAAATGTGATGACTTATAGTAAATCATTCAAAAATATTTAGATCAAATCAAAATAATTTTCATAATATGTTCTTTGACAAATGGCATTTCTTTGTCCAAGGGATAAATTTTCATAGTTAGGATATGAACGTATTCGAAACTCTAAATACGAACGAAATTGATATAGTATACATTCAATATATTGTGCTGTTGGACGATATTGATAGTTTGGACATAAAGAACGAGCAATTAAATTTGAAAACCCTCTGCTATACCCATGTCTCCTATTTTAGCTCGATAATTCGTATCAATTAAAATATTATCCGGACGAATATCTCGATGGATAATACCATGTCGATGGATACGATGCATACCTGATGCTATATCACAGGCAATCGATAGTTTTCTTCTCAAGGTTAATCTGTGGTATTCCTTTTGTAAAAAATTTGTCAAGCTACCATTTGACATATATTCCATAACAATAAAAAAACGTGCAGAGCTTAGTGATGGTATATCGTAGAAATAACCATAAAAAGGTAAGATGAATAGACCGGCACATTTAACATAGCCGTATATTTCTTTTATAATCATATCAGCTGTCTGTTTGGATGATCCATCAGGTTTTAAAACTATACATTTACAAGCAACAACACGATTCTTTGACTTCCATTTTGCTTTATAAACAACACCTTCAGATATGATTACATTAAATTGGCAATACTAATATATATTTTCACTGTTATTACACTTACCGAAAGCACCACTACCCAGTTGTTGTTGAAGATCAATATCATTTTTTGGAATTTCTGAAAAACTCATCACTAATGCCGATGAAAACTATATTAAGTTTGCCACCGTATTGTCTAATAAAATTTTCTAAACATAGAAAACAATTCAAAGTTTTACTTTTCAATCATAATAATGATGCACAAGCGAAAATCTATCGAGCAATTTCTCATGAATATCTATAAAAGTCATTACAGTTTATACTGTATTTGAATCTGCGACTTTCACTTGTGATCGGTTTATTTCATAATTTCACAAATAAATGCAATTCAATGTTTTATTAACATTGTTTTATATTCCTCAAAAACTGTACGTTGATCTTATGTTGTAATGTATTTATTAGCAGTTTGATTTTATCTTTTATTGATACCATTTGTACACCTCTTTAAAAACGTGTTGATAAGAAGATCAAGCAAATATAAGAGGATGTTGGAAAATTCTTTTTTTCCAAGTAATAATTCATGTGTAGGTGTATTTATCATGGTTTTTATTCTACAAGGATGTAAATAGTGACGTTGCTTTATCTTTATTTCACGAAAAAAAAATGGAATGAAAACAAAGTATTGTTGAAACATCATAATAACGTCAAAAGAGTGATTTACGCATGTATGTTATCAATTCAGATGCCTATTTAAGAAATAGCAGTGAATCTACTTGGAATTCGCACGTTTTTTCATCTCTTTCCAGTGTTTTGAATTTTCGAACGGGAAGAGGATGGTTTTTTTGAAATTTTGTCATTGGAATTGATAGAGCACACTGAGTTATACTCAGAACCAGTGAGATCAGAGTTGAAACACGTATCTGGACGAATAAATCTTTAAAAATTCGAATCGGGCGCTAAGATTTTTAACGTGAAGATTAAACATTTGTTTCTTTTCGAGAGAAGAAAGAACAAAAAGAAAATTGAGAGTATTTGTAAGATAAACAAAATGTTGTAAAACGAAACAGATATGAAAAGTTCAAGAAAACTCATTGAGTTTCAAAAACAATAAAATAATTTGTTTTATTCGATGATCTGAAAGTGAATTGTTAAAATCGGATTTTTCCTTAAAGCAAAAATATATCGCAAAAGACCTTTCTTTCAATATATATACATATAAGAAATGGTCTATCATGATTAAGATGTTCATTATATTCATGATGGTTGTTCGTTATTTTATGTATAAGAGAAAAGTTTTAGCACCATTGTGCTTACGTTAGAGAGAAAAACTTTGACTTTGGAAAATTCCAGTAGCCTTATGGATGAAACGAAGGCTGTTTTCGGAGAAAAATGTAATAAAATAGCTTTTCAGCTGTAACAACACATTACTGCTTATATCGATGGTTAAATCATTTCTCTAAACAGGGAGAACACCGCATTGTAAAGACAAATAATTTGAATGTAAGAGAGTAAAAAAGACAAGATGGTGACTCTATGCAAACATTCTCTCATAACAACAAAACTTGAGTTTTGCTCGTTGGTTATCTCAAAGAAGCCCGCACGTGTATATAAGATAAACTTCATTCATGATATTTTATATTTCAGTGATATAAGATGTAAACTATATGACTCGATGAATGATTCTATTTCGTTTTAGAAAGCGTCATTTGGAAAATGTCATTGATTGTTGCTTTGATACTCGGCATTGGGCATGAAATTGAAGATGAAATTGCTTATCAATTAGGAAAGAAAGGAATATGTGTTGCATATTATTCTAAAAATAAAAATAATCTTGATCGAATAACAAAGATATTGAGCGATGAAGATATCCAACCAAACTTTATTCTACTGGATACTGCTGACAATGTAATTCAACGACTTGATGAAGAATTCGGAAAATTAGATGTACTAATCAATGTTGGAATATTACTTGACAATGGTCAATTCAGAATCAATCTACTGACATCAACAAAATTCGAAGCGAACGACTTTTTCGATACGTTGCATGCATCCGAAAAGTTCATTCCTATATTACAAAAATCGCCTTCAAGTTCTGTGATTAATGTGTATACTCAAACCAAAGGAGCATCGCTCAGTGCACTAGTGCAAAACTGTACAGCGAAGATGGCTGAACATCAGTTCATGAATCATTTCAATAAATCATTCGCAAATACAAACATTACGATTCATTCGGTTACTTTAGATGACAATCGACCGGTTCCAACTATTCAAGATGAGTCACGTCGAATTGTTGAATTAGCACTTACACCTTTTATTGAACCGTCAAAAACGAAATCAATGCGTATTCTGTACGGAATCGTCGGTGAAGGACTTGGTCATGTTACGCGCTCGAAGGTAACACTTGAACTGCTTATGAAAGAAGGACATCATGTGAAAGTTGTCGTCAGCAATCGTGCATATAAATTCTTGAACGAAAACTTTTCCAGTCGATATCCGCGTTGTTCTGCAGCGAGTTCTGATGAAGCAGCAATCGATGTAATTGAAATCGAAGGTTTAACAATGCAATATGTTAATAATATTTTCGATGAGAAAGCATCAGTTCGACACACGATGCAACGTTTACCAACGATGTTAAACAAGAATTTCGGTGCATATTATCGAAATCTTGTTCTTTGGCGGCCAAAAGCAGTAATAAGTGATTTCGATAGTTTCGCTTATCTATTTGCTAAAGCACATGGTCTACCGATCCTTTCGATCGACAATCAACACGTTGTACAACGATGCGTGATACCAGAAGAAGCGAGACAATCAGATTTACGGGCATTTAATACGTATAAAAACTTTGTTAAAGTTAAATTGCCCTATTGCGATCATTATATAATCACTGGATTTTTCACGCCGGAAAAACGTGAAAAATACAAATCGAAAACAACACTTGTACCACCAATTTTACGACAAGCGATTCTAGACGCTAGACCTACACCGGCTGAGCAAGGTGAACATTTTCTCGTTTATCAGAGCAGTAAAAGCGATACGACTCTCCTGTCGACTCTCCAAGCTTTCGGTGAAAAATGCATTGTCTATGGTCTTGGTCGCGATGAAACTATTGGAAATTTACAACTAAAAGGTTTTTCCGAACAAGGTTTTATTGATGATCTGGCACACGCAAAGGGGGTCATTGCTAATGGTGGACTTTCACTTATGAATGAAGCGATCAGTCTACAACGTCCATTTTTCAGTGTACCCGTGGAGAATCAATATGAACAAGTTTTGAATGCGTGGTACTTGCAAAAGTTAGGCTATGGCGTGTTTGTTGATAAACTCGAAGTGAATGCACTTCAACAATGGGCGGAAAATATTCCACAGTACGCTAAAGCACTTTCTCATTATCATCATGATTCAAATTTACAATTGTATAAAACGGTGAAACGTGTTCTAGCAGAATTTAGTACTCGATTTATTTGGTGGGATCCATTGAATTTGATTTAATGCGTAGAAAATAAATTTCAAGTTTGTTATGTTGAAAATCTAAGTGCATACCAAGAATGAAAGGGATTTACAGCCTTTGCGTCCATCTGTACGCGTTCTATCTTTGATGCAGTGACCTATTGTAGTCGGGTATCATTATCACATTCATTGAGATCATAGGAACTGAAATAAATGTAACTATTCTTAAATGATCTATTATGAAACAGGATACAGTCTTATGGATTTGAACCATAACTCCTGGCATACCCATATATTAAAAAAATGTGTCCCAATTTTACCATTGTCCACATTACGTTGACCTCTCTAATTTGCTAGGTCCTCAGCACTATAATGTCCACTCTATCGGCATGTATGTCTTGAAATCGATTTCAGCCGCGAAAGTAGTACCCGATTGACGAATCAGCATGCTTTTGTGTCTTTTTATGTAGTAGCTAATGTTTGAAGATCTGTTGACAAAGAGTCATTTAATGGTAAGAGAAGAAAATATGGGTTAGAAAATGTATCTTCTGAAAAATTTCGATGTGAAAAGAATATGATTTATGTCGAACGCCATTTGTAATCTAATGAGATGAGAGTCGCTGGATTTTGATGTCTTAAAAGTTGTATGAATCGACAGACATTCGACGACATTCCACATAGAACATATTTTGCGTCGATCAACATTTGCATTTCAGTCATGAATAAACGCGTTTCAAAGATTTTGTCTTTCTCCGATAGTTGATCAAAATTCTTTTGATAATGACCAGTGGTATCCGTTTTTCGATGCTTCCTTCTGTCTATACCAACAAAATGCCATCTTGGTCTCAGTCGACGTAACTGACCAATCACAGTATGATCATCCGATGCCACGAAGATATGACGAATCTTTTTCTTTCTCTTCACCATCGCTTCGATCAATGTTATGTATTCCATTAATGGTATTTCTCGAGCTTCTTTTATCAGTTTATCACCTTTTCGAACGTGAATGCCAATGTAAGTCTTCGGTAACCGTTTTATTCGGTGTTCTTCAATGAATTTCAATGTTTCATTCGTTAACGATTTCCAGAGATAATGCGTCACGTAACGAATTTTTTCTAATGATTGAACTTTTAATGAAGCAATCCAAAATCGATTCAATATATTCCCAGTACGCGTTGTTTGTGCATGATCAATCAGCTCATTCTCGTTATTATTCTTGCCGAGATACGTACGATTCGAGTAAGGAAAATAGTTCATCGATGGTACATGAAAATAGTGCGAAAAATTACCATAATTCCATTGGCGAGCATCAATAATGAAATGTCGTTTCGACCAAACACTGTAAGCAAATGCTAATAATAATTGATTCATCTCGCTACAATAACCACCTTTGCCCCAGATAATGTACATCAGTGTACGTTTTGGATTACGAGAGGCTTGGCAAGAAGCGATAGAATCGAACGAACAAGGACATTTTTGTTCGATTGAGACTATTGAATAGAAGTACGATTGATTGTGAAAGAGATAAAATGCAATGGGAAGAAATAATAATGGGATTAATTTGAGTATTTTGAACCATCCGACCATTTTGATTAAGCAATTTCGTTTTTATACTATAGATTTAGTTTTGTTGTGGCGAAGAAAGAAAAATAAATTCACGCACAAGGTTCTTTTTCTTCTGCAGATTGTTTCCAGTGCATGCAACAATTGTCAAGTGTTTTTCTTTTCATTGCTGCAAAAATGAAACTGTCGAAAAAATCACAAGACACTGATTTTCGTACCACCTAATTATAACCACTTCCATGTGAATACATTCAAGTCTATAAGGATTGTTCCCGATTACTTTCTATCGGTTACTATATCTCCTGTTCTCATTTCACATGTCATGAGATAGTGGAAACGACAAAAACACAGTCTTTCAAGCACGAGCTTGTTATTGTGCAAGATACAATTCAAAGTGAAGAACGTTACAGTTGAATGACACGATATGACTAATTTTCTTTCTCGTTTTCATTAATGTTCCAAATTACATTTTATTTCATCAACGCAGTAGAAGCCACGCGCTTATTATTTCACGAAAAGAAGCATGGACGTCGAACAAGGTATTGAAAAACGTTCTTCTGTCAAGAGAAAGTATTCAAAGGTATTTTATAGGTACGCTTGCTCCCAAAAATCTTGTCTATTATCGCGACCGAGTCGGTCAATCCTTTTCATTTTTGATCACTGGAAATGTCCAAGGACCTGTCTATGGTACCAATATTTATACCGATGATTCGGATCTGGGCACTGCTGCTGTTCATGCTGGCATTATCAAAGTTGGGGAAACAAAAACAGTTGATGTGAAGATTTTACCTGGGCAATCGAGCTATCTCGGGTCAGCTCAGAATGGTATAGCATCATCATCGTATGGTCATTGGCTGGGAAGTTATGTTTTTATTGAAAATATGATCAGTTCTGTCACAGATTCGATGACATTGATCAATTTTCGAGACAAGATAGGACAATCGTTCTGCTTCTTAGTTACGGGTGATCTCGGCATGCCAATTTATGGCACCGATATTTATACTGATGATTCAAATATTGATGCGGCTGCAGTTCATGCTGGCATCGTGAAAGTTGGAGAAACTAAAGAGGTTATTGTGAAGATACTACCTGGTCAAGCGAGCTATCAAGGATCAACTAAAAACGAAATTACATCTTCTTCATTTGGACAATGGATGGGAAGCTTTAGATTTGGAGATCATATCACTCCATCTATGCCAACTGTGACAAATCTTACAGGTCACCGGGACAAAGTAAATCAAGTTTTATCTATCACAGTTGTTGGATCATTGGGAGGCGTCGTTTACGGCACAAATATCTACACGGATGATTCTATTATCAATACTGCTGCAGTACATGCTGGTATTGTCAGTGTTGGTGAAACAAGAACGGTTGACGTAAAGATTCTACCGGCTCAAACTAGCTATCAAGGTTCAACACAGAACGGAGTAACTTCATCATCGTATGGGTCATGGATAGGAAGTTACATGTTTACGTGCAAAACTATTAGTTGCCCTATGGCTCCTACCGACCTCTTGAGTTTTCGAGAAAAACTAAATCAAGTGTTCTCTTTTGTAGTCACTGGAGCAAACGAAGGTCCTGTGTTCGGAACGAATATCTATACAGATGATTCAAATCTAGCTGTTGCTGCAGTCCATAGCGGTATGGTAACAAGGGGCGAAACCAAAGTTATCATTGTACAAATTCTACCTGGACAATCATCGTATTGTGGTACAGCACAAAATGGTATAACTTCGGCACCGTATGGTACTTGGATGGGTAGTTATTCAATTCTTGCTAGTATACCTACTTTCAAAATGGCTGTATCAAATCTAACCAATTATCGCAATAGGGTTGAGGAAACTATTTCCTTTACGGTTATAGGTGCAATGGGAGGAACAGTGTGGGGTACAGACGTTTACTCGGATGATTCAAATGTGGCTGTTGCAGCCGTACATGAAGGTGTGGTTCAAGTCGATGAAATGAAAACAGTTAACGTGAAAATTTTACCTGGACAAGCAAGCTATGATGGTAGTACTCGTAATGGAATCACCACGCTTTCATTTGGTTCATGGTCAGGAAGTTTTGCTTTCGTTGACAATCCGACAAATTCCGGTGAAAAAGCATCTTTTTGAATACATTCTTTTTTTATAAAAAAAAAGAGAACATCTGACCCGTCTATATCAAACTTTCATATAATAACAATACTAAAATACATCGCTAATTTCGCGCTCTACTGTCTCTGATCGAGGTTGAGAATATGAATTGATTCACTAATAAAACACACGATCAAAATACGATGTAGAGATCACACTGAGATACATTAAAATTTCGATGAGAAAACTTATCGATTGTGATTGGCCATTCATTCATGAATTCATAGTTAAAAACAAAGTAAATGTACAAGGATTTTGTTAATAAAGTCAACGTGTTTCAAACATTATACACCTTCACTAGTTTTTTCTGAAAGTCATCTCTTTCACAGATATCCGATCCTTTATAGATCTCTGTATCGTTTTGAAATCATGATTTGATGGTAAATTTATTTATATGATAATCATAGACTGATAAAATACTTTTTTCAGTAGCTTTCGATTTGCTTATGTGAGCATGAGTAGAAACCGTGCTTTATTTTTTTTCAATCAACTGAAACGTTATGAATTTGTATCGAGCAAATATTGCCTTGTATATTTAACGCAACGATTATCAGTAAACCATTAAACACGGAGATAAATTGTTACTATCGGCCAGAATGATTCATATTTCGTCTTTGATTACTTTAATTACATATGAAAATTCATACAAAAAGTGGTGCCCTTTTATTTCGTCACTCGTTATAAAAGAAAAAACTTGCTATATATTAGTTTTCAATCTGATGATATTGCCAAATACACACATCATAGTTCGTCACCGTTTATTTCTGGTTTTAATTGCTGCTAATTAACTTATTCAACTGATACACGCGGCTTATTTCGATTCATATAGGAAATACTAATTGTGACCGAATAATAGCTGAACATGCACGCTCTAATACTCTGGAGTAAGGCATTTTATTGCGTCTCACTTTCGTGTAAAACTTTGAGTAAGCCAATGAAATATTCAAAAAGAAATAATGGCTGAAAAGCTGTCATATAATTATAAAGAATATCTTGTTTATGTACTAGTCACACCACGAACTTCCGCGGCATCCTTGATTGTCGGTTCTCATTTCCTCAAAGGGTTGCCAGAGGCAATTCTAATATTTATGGTAATTGTTTTCGGTGTCCCAGTCTTTGATATGATCATATTCATGGACGGTTGTCTTGGCTACATAATAAAACGATTTAAGAAGAAAAAACGAAGAGTTTAAGAACAGTCACAAAATCCGTATGGTACTGAATCTCCAGTCGAAGAGGCATCATATATTTCTGTCGACAAAGAAGTTGCATTAAAAAAAATCAGTGCATTTGTTTTCATATTACAGCGACTACTTATATAACCAAACTAATTTTGCATAGTTGCGCGCAGAATATTCAAAGATAACCTTGCAAGTGATTATAGCATAGATCGTTTTGTATTTTATTTAATTCGATATATGCATTAACAGATGACCTTACAAGTCACATCTCGCTGTCATCTTATTAATGCGCCACGGCAAACAAATATTATCATAAATCTGTAAATAAGACTCTCACCCGCCCTCCTACAATTTAATCGTATATGATGACGAAAGCAAGCAAGAGAATACTTCTTCTACTCAGTTAAGCATCGGGTGAAATCTCATTAGTGGAAGTTATCAATATTTTTAACAGGTTGATTGGGTTGCAGGACGTCAAAATATGATGCTTCACTGAGATATGACGATCGACCTTGTGCTTCAATTTCATCGAGTCATGTGTTTCAATGTATCCATACGCTTGCGTACTTTGCTCGAAATGTTACTTGGATAATTCGTTTCTATTAATAACAATACTCTATCCCATGTTCCTAAAACACACTTATCTGACATGAGGAAGATATCTAAACGAATATGTTCGCCATTTTCCAGCTTCCTTCGAAATCAATGGAACGAAGCGCATGCAGATTTGGTTACGTAAGAAATAAAGCTAAGCCATCGTTATCAATTACTCAGACAAATTTCTTTGTTGTTTCGAGTGCAACAAGTTTATATGATTTCACAATGTATCGGATCACGGCTTTATTTCGATTTCATTGACAAATTATTTTTCGTACAAGGTTTTTCATAGCGCTCACCAATGCTTTGCGAAAGATGCTTCCGCCAATCAACGTATAGATATAAAATGGCATACTATTACTCAAATAACTCAGAAGGAACAATAGAGTAAAAATTAAGTCGTTGACTGCAAGACTCAATGGTGTGCGGTTGTGATATGGATGTATATCCGAATAAAGATATTGCACTGCTAGAGGGAAATTAAATACAGTTGTGAGAGTAACTTGCACCAATAGCATGAGAAGTAGATGAAAGTCACCTTTTTTCAATCGTCGTCGGTGTCGACGTCTGTCATTCTCCTGATTTGTTATCGGGTCCGTTACCGGGACTGTTCGAAATGTATGTATGTTCCGAATGGTCAACAATCCGAATATCAAGGCCAGTAACGAAGGAAATACCACATTCAGAAGAGCGAATTCCATGTCGGTCAATAAACGACACCATGTCACTGTGCTATAGCATTCCACTGGACTGTCACTCAAATTCGCTCGATAACAATATAAAATATGCACGTGAAGAGAACTTATTAGGCATAGTACGATGTACATCGCACGTTTGGCATTTTCCATCGTGCTCATCTGTCGGCGTTGAGCGTTTTTGGATGAGGAGAGCCATCGATCAACAACACCCAATGTAATTAACCACGAAGCAGTCGTTCTCGAAGTGTATAAAATAAAAAGACGTAACTTACAAAACAGATCAACTGTATTGCTGATGTTTAACGACCAAGTACCAAGTAGACGAACGAACGCACCGGATGTAATTGTAACAAGATTTGCGATTGATGAATGAAAAAAGAATAAGGCGCATGGACTTTTACGAAGTTTTCGTTGTGCTGACGCTAAGCAATTAAGAAAATTACCAATAATACCCAAAAGTATAAGCACAATGGAGAAATATCGATTAAACCTATTCGTTATTGCATTCACATTGGTAATTAGAGTATCATCCGACGAATTAATTGACATTGTACGAGAATGGAATGAAATATCAAATCAAAAACATGAAAACGATGAACGTGCAACTTCTATTATAGGCCAAACTTGAGACAATTAACTGTATTTATTTATTCCCTTTCATTGGTTATAACTTAGACATACACTCAGACATGATGTTTTAAATAAATAGGAACTATTTAAATAATAAATGACTAAACAGAAAAGAGGTGATGTGTACTTTTCATAATTAAAACGTACCTCATGTTGAAAGGGTAGATTGAAACCTCCTCTGTAATAGAAGATCTTCGAGTCTTCTATTATGTTTCTCAAATCAACTCCACCTTTCTCTGAAATTCCATACAAAATGCATATCCTTGGTATAGAAAATATTTTCAAAGGACTCTTCTATTATAGAGAAGATTACATTCCTCAGAATAAATTTAGCGTAATAATTGGGAAAACAACATATTCTAAATCAGATCCGGCGAAAAAGATAGAAAAATTAATGTCGGAGTGAATAATTAATTCATAGTTTTGAGATCATTTGTTCATGGTATCTCACTTGGAAATGTCGAGAGTGAAGATTAAAGGAGAAAACGGTTCATCAGTATGACTAGAGATTCAGTGACACTATAGTCAAATATGATTAACAAGCATTTTCAAATTGCAGGTGAGGGATTGATTCCAATTTTCAGGTATTTATCTTTTGAACAAAAATAAGAAGTACTAAAATATAATGTAGCTTTAACTTGATCCTAAGCTTTATTTTGCGTATGAACATTCCGGTCTTTTAATTAATAGTTTATTCTATCACGAGACATTATCAAAACTACATTTATTACTCTATTGTGGCTCTACATGAGAGAAATACTTCTAAAAATGCAGAATTCATGATAAAATCACGAAAGCATTAAGAGGCCGAACATTGATTTGAGATATATTCACGCGTTTCTCTTATAAGCCTGACCATTTCAATCTCACACACTGAATGTCATGCTGCTAGATGAAGCTGCCGGGTTTTGCATAACTGAATCTTGTAGTGGTTCAATATGTGTATTGGAATTCAATTTTAAGTAAAACCAAGATGTACGTGTGAATGTCAATTTGCTCATACTTTCCGTAATGAAAATGTGTTTTGATTTATCATTTCGTATTTCAATGAGCACAACAAAGCCTGTAAAAGTTCGCAAGATCATATACTTCATTCTTTTATCACCACAGTAATGTCAGTTAAAACAGAACAAATACATGAATATGAGGATTGTATAAAAAAAACAAGCCTAGATTGAAGAAGTACATATCATTTCTTTACTGGTATGTTTTATACTTCTATTATCATAAACTTTATATACCCATTTTTTTTTCTACATTGTTTTGATCATAATCCTTTTCTTCTCAGTATATAGTGTCGTTACAGGAATCTATTTATACATCATTCGTAGATATCATATGAAAATGTATAGTGCTTACATTCTACTGATCATTTGCGCACTCCATCAATACAATTATGGCAAAATATCTGCTGGTAAGTCCAGTAGAGTGGATTAGAAAACTATATACGCGACGCTCCTTAGTGTTTGTGACATATTTATATAATGTACATCTGAGTACTCAAGTACGAGAGTGTGCTTCTCAAAGATTTTGAACTATGAGATATAAAAAATGCATCATTTTTATTAAATAATGAAACCTTTTTATTGGTATTTATAATTTAATCCTGCAATATTAATTATTCAGCTTAAATAACATGGAACTACTGTTTTTCTGTGAATGACTTGTTTGATGCTTAAATATGTAATATAATTTCAGCAACATCTGCTCATAACTCGACAACAAAATCGAAACAGGCTGAGAAATTCTTCTCCCACGTTTTAGGTAAATCAATTTAAATTGGCTTTGCGCTAAAATTTATTGATTCTTTCTCTTTTATGCTACATGTAGATATAAACAGTGATGGTATGGTCAATTGGATCGATTTTGAAAGTGTTATTGAAGTCTGTCAAATTAACAAAATAACATGCAATGCATTATATTTCGATTTTCATTAGTAGAGTATTGTATCGAAGGACGAAGCATCCAAAAATGCTCGATTAAAAGTTCTTCGTAAACGTCTTGAACAACATTTTCAAAAGTTTTTTTGGGAACTACTTAAAGTGGGTGACAGTAACCAAGATGGTGATATTGATTTAAGTATATTGATTTCTTTCCTATGTATGGCACGAGAGTCATTTTTGTAATCTTAAAGACGAATGGCTTAATGTTTTGGATGATGTTGTAAACGATTTGAAGAAAACAAATGAGTTTCCTGATTGGTTTGAAGATCTTTTCAAATCTTTATGGCGCGCCAATGAGTTTTTCAGTAATTATGAGTTTTGTTCACTATCACTGTAATGCTTCAATTTATTCTTATAAAGATGAAAAAGCTGTATTAAAAGATGAATTTGCCAATATGTTAATAGCATGGGATATTGATGAAAACACTGCTGGAAAGTTATATGATTTCATTACTGAAAATGGGAAAAAAGCAATGGACTGTAAGTAACTCTAAATAAAAAAGATCTTGATTATTATGAATGTTGATTTTTTAGATCATCTCTTTGCGATATTAATGAAGAAATTCTTCCTCAACGAGATTCCCAATCATATATTAAACCTTGGTCGTGCTTGAATACTATAATAAACATTCTTGCTTTGGTTTATTCATTCACATTTAGAAAACTCACGTGAATGTGCTTCTTCATAAAGCATAATAAAAACTATATCATGCGATCAACGTTATCTCTCTTCTTCTTAAATGATGTCATTGATGAAGGAAGTAATAGAAAATTATTTGAATACTTTTTATCTCTGAAAGATATATTCATGTAATTTCGAAGAAAAAACTTTTAAGAAAGATGTGTGGTGGTCACAAAGAACTTTAACAATCGAACGACAAAAACTTACATTCGAATTTCTATATTGTTTTAAGATAAAAAGCAAGAACAACTAAAGAAAAACAGCATTCAGTCTCGCTTACGATGAATGACGTTGCTGTTGTCAGTATTGTTCGTTCTCTACACTCTCTTTGTTCAAAGAACTGGCCATTAATAGAAAGAATCGCCGGTGGAGAACCTGTGAAAGCACGATCTTGGAAATGGATGGTATCGATCGTCAAGTGTATTATTGATCCTAATCGTAATAGATTATATAAAGTTCTCAAAACAACATCATGTGACTAAAATTATTCGCTATCCCCACTACAGGCGGATGGGTCATCTCCACGATACTGCTTTACTGAAACTATCATCATTACTTGACATCAGTGATGTCAATATCGGTAAAATAGGAGCGCCAATAACAATAAGTTCCCTTAGCGAATCCATTTTGCTTTTGTAAAGTGCATTTGATTTCTAAAATGAAAGTACGACGTAAATTTACAAAAAAAAACGTATGTGAACACGGCGATATGTTTATGAAATCGGATAGTACATAAGGTATCCAAACAAAAGAACGTCTTTTATATAACTTGTTGCTATTGGTTGAAAAATTGAACAAAAAAGAGTTGGTTCAAAGTCACAAGAACTGCAACAGGTGACAGTAAAATCAATATATGTCAACATTTGATCAAATTACTAGCCTTCCAATTTTGTGTCGGTAATGAAGAAGGTGGTAAAGATGAGCACGAAGTTATTTCTTCTTTTTGGAAGCAGATGTGCTTGAGCTGTCCTCAATGAAACATTGCAACCAAACACTGCGAAAATTACTGACTGATGCAATCATTCACGGTTCTGACCTAGGAGAAGAGCTATCAGCTGGTATCTGCTCCCGTTTCCATCTCTCCGTTTTGCTCCATAGCTTGATAGAAATCACTTTATTATTGCGTATAACACGAAACGACTAACAATCGGATTCTAGCCTTAGAAAGAAAGATATCAGTGATCAGAGGATAATAAACAATTCGTTTTTAGAGCAAAGTATTGAAGTTACAATGTATGAAATTCTAATTAGTCAGAAACGTTGAAATAAGTATTCAATTGGTTCGCGGTTGACCGCATGTCTTAGCTGTACAACATGTACTTGGACCAGGGTTTAAATTAACGACACACGACATGGCATCATTGTTACATTGTCGACAAGCAACCATTTGATCACGAATTTTTTTCGCCTGTTGTAAACTATCTGCGATCACGGCAGCACTTGCTAAATTGAACTTTTCCGCAAGTAGCTTGCTCGCCTCCATACTTAATATTGATTGTTCGATACTAGCTACTAACGAATCTGTGAGACGAAACAAAATAACAGTAATGTATTGAGTGAAGTATTTCTAGCGCTCTTTATTGGACTTCAATTATAACTTACCGGTGTAGAGCCAACTCGCCCATGTGCAACCATGTTCTTTGTAACATTGATCATGCACATCACAGCAAGCGCCCTTTGAGCCGCAACTGGTAACGAAGGCATCACAACCAAAATTGTCTCTCTTTTGTCGATGAATGTTCTCCGAGATTGATGCTGCGCCAATCGCGCAACTGTCGTACAAAACTGTTATGAATACAATAATTATGCAATAAGAACGCATCCTGCTAATAGTTATTTCGTGCTTATTTACTCCACAATACACTTCCTACAAAAATCCTACGCGTCCTTTTGTATATATAACATTTTGAAGATATGTAAATAATTAGGCATTATTAAATGCACATTGCATATTGAAAACTGCATATATTTTGCCTGAATATTTACATAATACGAAAAAGTGCTTTTGTCTTTTATTTAAATGATGACGATAAAAATAGCAGAGAGTAGAACTATATTATATTAGAAAATAAAATACTCTTTAAAACCTGTCTAACTTCACGATTATACACAAACAGATCAACAATATCACATAATAGACATAGTTCAGCTGAGATGGACAAAATTCGCATGACAATCAGATCGACATAAGCATACGCCATGACAACTGTCATCACATAGATAGGCATCCATCCACCAACGAAGATAAAAAACATGAAGATCATATGTCGAAGAAGATGAACATCGCGCCGACTGATTTTAGTCTGATGTTGTGCTCGTGGTTGGTTCTGATTAGTGGGATTAATCATACTGATTTGAGTTGCTCTTATTTCTGGTCGAACTCGCAGCGATGATGCACGGACATATTTGACTATGATACTATTGATAATCACATGACTCAACGATGGAATAATGACTACCAGAATCAATGTGTAGATTCGTTTCCATTTGACTGTTGTACAAGACTAAATATTCAAACAGAATTATTAGAGATCTGTCATAGATCGTTATTTATATCTTTACCGATTGATCGATTAATATCGGTAATGAAAGTACAACACCAACACACCATTGACTTAACACACAAATAGTAGCCCATCGTTTCGTTTTGAAAAATAATTTTGTTGGATACGCGATCAGACATAATCGATGGATCGAGACCACTGTGAAAGCAAGCGATACTTGGAAAGTGCACAGCACTTGAGCATACGATAGAAAACCACAAGTATTTACTGAAAATAATTTCAATGGATTAAATTCCAACATTATATAGTAGATCATCCAATAGAGTGCACAAACGATAATTGCCAAACATACATTGAGAGTGAACATATTGATTTGACAATGAAAACGTCGAATGCACAAAATTGTCAGAGAATAAATTAAAGATAAAAGAATAATTAAAGCGAATAAACCGATCTGTATCAAAGTAAATACCAGTGAGACAGTGGACATTTGAATTTAATCGTTTAGATAATGTTTATGCTGAAGAGAGAAATCAAGTGAATGAGTTGATACTTTAATTCTCTATTGAATCCAAAAATTGTAAAGGAATAAAATATGACATCCGGTGACGTACAGACATCCCACAGGTCCTCCTTTCATACAAGCTATATTTTTACATCCTCTGAAAGATATATGTATATCTGATGCGTCCCCGTAGAGTATATTCATGATCCATTTATAATCTTTTGAACGATATAGTTAGAAGGAAGATGCTTTTCAATGATCCTTATTTACAATGACGTCAACTATGACGTATCTTAGCATCCTCAAATAACATCGAAGATGAGAATATATATATATATATATATCTGATCTATGTTCACTTGTACTCTACATTGCCGAATGTAAAAACGTTCAGAAGAAAATTAATAAATTTCCGTAGCCCGGTGTTCTCTTCCATTCGAAATGTACTTTGAGTTCTTTTTTTTTCATGACATTCTATTTCTATTTCATTAATAACATTCATTTCACTGTCCGTGTAAGAACAAATCTAGTCTTTTCGCACCCTCTATGGCTACAGAACTCAACAACTTACTTAAGTAACCTTATCACAGACCCATTATTTATGCTATTGTGTAATTTTCATTAGAAAATCCGTGAATGTGAAAAAGCCAAGTTGCACAACACAACAGAAAAGGAAAAAGAATATTCACGATGGTATCAGATTCACGTACTGTGTTTTTTCGGCTGAGTCAGAAGATATGTACATAAAGATTTTTCCCTACGCTTGCACATTGTATATAAATAAGTGTCTTCTTCGTTACATACTCATTCTATATCGTCGACAACGTCAAAGTATAACTGACATTCTTCTGTGTTTATGAATTCGTGATTGTTTTCGTCACTATATCTAGATATGCAAATTTTCGTGAAAACATTAACAGGAAAGACAATCACATTGGAGGTCGAGTCTTCCGACACAATCGAAAATGTGAAGGCTAAAATTCACGATAAAGAAGGTACGGTAGTTGGACTGATATTTTTCTAATCTTTCATATTCGAAAAAAATAGGTATTCCTCCAGATCAGCAACGATTGATTTTTGCTGGCAAACAGCTTGAAGACGGACGAACACTGTCGGATTACAATATTCAAAAAGAATCAACTTTGCATTTAGTTCTTCGTAAGTGTTCATTTTGGATGTCGCAAAAATTCTTATTTTGTTCCTTAAAAGGTCTTCGTGGTGGTTGCAACACATTTTCTTGTGGTGATACCATCGTTTGTGCACCGAAACAACATACTGGTCAATGTCCAGGTACAACTTATCATAACACTCCCTGTTGGAAATGTACTGCCTACGGTCACAAATGAAGACAAGATTTTTTTTTTGTTTTGAGAAATTGTAATCATCCAGAATTCAAACAAATATTGAATAAAATAAGAACATTCGAGACGATTGCGCTTCGACATATTCCTCCTCTGCTTTTATGACTAACGAATGACTCGCTTTACATGCCAAACTTCTTATCAGTACTTACGCAACACATTTTACTTTATGCGACATATAAAACGTGCTGTTGGAAAGCAGTTTAAACAATAGTATGTCTACGAACGATTGTATTCTTTCACTTCCTATAAAAACTTATCTTGAACCAAGCGAGATATCGATTCTCCCTCAGCATCGTTTAAAAGCACGTCGAACAAATTTGATTCCGGCGATTTGCTTCTACAATGGTTCATTCGCACCAATCCATGCTGGTCATGTCAATGTATTACAGTCAGCGAAACAATATATTGATAGTTTAGGAACACATGAATTGCTAGCTGCGTACATGTCTCCGTCACATTCCGAATATCTTGCAGCAAAATTAAAATCAACTGAATTTCTGAGTATCGCGCATCGTCTAGCTATGATTCATCTAGCAGTGGAAAATCTCGATTGGGTGATGGTAGATCTGTATGAAACTTTTCAACCACGCACAACTCGTTTAGGTATTATCATGGATGCGTTTATGAAACGTGTTCGTTCACAATTGCCTGATGGAAATGAAATTGATGTATTTTGGTTACAAGGTGAAGATGCTCTGCGTTTTCCTCCTTTTGAAATAGCAATTCGGTTAGGATTTCAACCTCTGTACGTTTTGAATCGTAATTCGAACGAGAATACCGCCGGCTCTAATCAAGATAAACGAGAAAACCAATGGCAAAAAAAGCGGGCATGCTCATTGTTTCCAGAACGGTTGGTTCATCGATCCGATCACCAGGATTCTAGTCATATTTTTTTTCCTAGATCTCATTTAGTCAAAGCAACTGACCTGAACCTCTCGTCGACTGCAATTCGAAGATGTGCTAGCGAAGCTTCGGTAACACATGAACAACTTCAACTATGTACTCATCTAGATAATATTACATCGTATATCTTAC